TGACTGTGAGCCGTGGACGTGAGGAGTGGCCCTGTCTACAGCGGCTCTCTGGTGACTTTCGTGTTGGTGACTTGAGGACAGGAGACAATGAGAAGAGTAATGGTTGGGTAGTAACCGACACCAGACTAACTTTTCTAATAGGCACTTCCCGCTTTTAGAGACTCGGCTGCCTCTTGCTTTTCTCTGCCTCGAAGGTCCTGCGAGCCTCTCAGGCTTCCTGGCTTTCGTGCCTTTGTTGGTGTGTTCCCTGCCCCGCAGCAAGGTTCTCCCCCCTCGGTGCACGTCCCCATGCTCTCCAGCCTTCAGGGGCCAGCAAGAATATCGCCTCCTCTGGGAAGCCTCCTGGGTTTTTCCAGGGCCGCAGAACATGCCCACCTTCTCCTCCTTCCCCAAGCGTTCCCTAGCATTTACCATTGTTGGCATTTTCAGCCGTGACGTATCCATGGCACTCGAATGTGAGCTGCGAGAATGCCGATCACGTCTTACACACTGTTGACGCCAAGCAAGTGTGCCAGGTATCAGGGCACGTTCAGTAGCTGGGGGATGGAGAACGTCCCCTTGCCTCTCACTCTGCATTCTGCAAAGAGCGTTCGTTCACGCACAGCCTTGCTCTGGACCCTCCGGATGGGCCCATGGGAGGAGGTCTCGGCTCAGGAAGGGCGTGTCACTCCTTGCCGAGGTCCCACAGGCAGGAAGGATGGACCAAGGGGCAGGTGGGGGTCTTGCACGCCTGGTGCACTGGGCTCCCCGCACCTGCACGGTGCGGCAGGCAGGGCAGGCTTTCCAGTTCGAGGCACCAGGGAGTCTGCAAGGAGAACCAAGCAGCCAGGGGCGAGGTTTGGCCGGCGCTGAGCAAACGCCAGGGCGCTCCCAACCCTTTTGCTCTGTTTTGTCTTAGGCGGGTCCCCCCCCCGCTCTGTTTTTCCCTCCTTCTCGGGGAGTGAAAAGAAAATGAAAGCAAGCTCCGAGGCTCTGCAGTTCGTGGAGCAAACATTCTGACGAAGAGCAGAGGGGAACAGAGAGAAAGGCCGTCGGTGGTGTCCTTAGGTCTGGGGCGGAGAGTGGTTCCTTTTTACTCTTTGGTTCTCTCCACATTTTCTGAGCGAGAAACACACTGATCGTGGGAGAAAGATGAACCCTTGTAAAGAGCTAGTGCAGAGCCCTGGCTGGGCGGCTCAGCTGGTTGGAGCATCATCCCAACACCAAAGGGTTGCGGGTCCGATGCTTGGGTGGAACTTGTGAGAGGCAACTGACTGATATTTCTCTCTCTCTCCCCTAACCCCCAGTTCCCTCCCTCCCTCTCCTCTCTCTCTCTGAAATCCATAAACATATCCCTGGGTGAGGATTTAAAAAAAAAAAAAGCTAGCGCAGGATTTCAAAGTCACAAAGAGCAGCCTTGCTGAATTTAACGACGACACTCGCCCCTGTGGGCTGTGGGCTGGAGCGGGCTGTCAGGTGTTCCTTCGGCCGAGCTCTGCAAACAGGCCACGGCGCGGAAGAACACCGGGCCTTCTTCTTCTTCTTTGTTATTTTGTAAAAAAGATGACAGATTATCTTTATGATCGCTCTTAAAATAAAATTGCATGCACAAAGTAAAACATTTAAATAGTTTACAAAATGGAAGGAAATAGTGGAAGTCTCACTTTCACCGGTTCTCGTTGTTCAAGCTCCTTCCAGAAAATGTCTCAGTACCAGTCGGCAGTGAGGGGGGCGACCCCTTACGTGTTTTTTTAAAAGATCATGCAACAGTCTTACTATGTAACACAGTCTTCAACACCTGGTGTTTTTACCCAGTAATCTCACTGACCTCCTCACATCCGTGTGAGGTCGATTTTATTCTATTTATTGGCTACAGGTGCTTTACTGAACAGGCGTATCCGAGTATTACTCACTTCTGGAGATGTAGGTTGTTTCTAGTATTTTTTGTTTGTTTTGGAAAAAAAAATGCCGCCACGTACATCCCTGTGCACGTACCTTTATGTTTTGTGGTGAAAATGCCGGTAGGCTGTGTTCCCAGCAGATGAATTGCTGAGTCAGAGCCGCTGTGCTTTGTAATTTTGACACGTAGGGCTTCACCTTCCAAAAAAGATGACCCAGATTCATCCTTACCCCTGCAGCGGTAAGCTCTTCACCCCACACTCTTACCCACAGCAGATAAGGATAGCGTCCTCCTCGTCAATCCCTGTGTTCACACTGAAACTCGCTGCCATGAACCGCCGCCCGAGCCGCTCTCTGTTCTTTGGTTGGCTGCTTTTTGTTTTGGAAATTTGTGTCCTCAGGTATTATCTGATTAATATTCGGTCTCTTCACGCAGTTCCAAAGGAGGTGAGGTTAGCCACGGCTACTAGAAATATCTATGAAGGGTTTCCTAACGATGTCCCCCAAACCAATCTTCCTGTTCCCCAAACTGCAAAGAAGTTAAATTGGCTGAGCGGGGATCTTCCAAACTTAAGTGGGCATTTTTTTAAAAGATTTTATTTATTTATTTATTTATTTATTTTAAAGACTTTATTTATTTATTTTTAGAGAGGGAAGAGTGGGAGAAAGAGAGAGAGAGAAACATCAATGTGTGGTTGCTGGGGGTGACAGCCTGCAACCCAGGCATGTGCCCTGACTGGGAATCAAACCTGCAACACTGCATTTTTTTTTATTGAGCATGATTCAGCAAAGGGAGAGGGTGGGGGTGGAGAACGATAAAGCCGGTGGGCAACGCGCAATTTTGGAGGAGACCCTTTGAGACCAGGTAAAGATCCAATTCCTTACGAAACGTTCACCCACCCATTTCAACATCTATTGGTGATTTTTCCAGTTCCATTATTCCTTCTAGATGTGTTGGTTGGCGCCGTGACGACTTGTTCCTCCCCTTATTTATTTGCTCCTATTGTTCGTCAGTATGGATTCATGGGTCCTCATTCAATTGCTCTCATTATTTAATTAGACGCTCAGATCGCCTCAGATGTGGCAAGGGGGGGTGCCCATCGGACTGGCTCCTACGTCCTTTTGACGAGTTCTTACGGTCCGCGGAACACGTCCTCGCCTTTTGGGCACAAAAAGCAGTTCCGGGGTCACCTTGGGGCTTCCGCGCCCCAGCTCTGGACTCATCCCTGTCCCCAAGGAGCCCCGGTCCCTGTTGGTGCAGAAAAGTATTTAGAACCCAAGATCGGGGCACGAGGTGCTCATTCTGTTGTGTGGGGCTGCCTTCAGGGCTTCTCAGCAGCCAGAGCCAGGGGACACGCATGTGAAACACAAATGCACAAACACACCAACCATCTCTCTAATATCTAATCTAATCCTCCAATTTTTAAAGACTTGAGCTTGCACCGAGGCCTCAGCCCCCTCAGGCCCCACGGGACAGAGCAAGGCTGCTGTGAGAGGCTGATGGAAGGGAAAAGTTCTGGCCGCCTTTCCCCCTCCCTGCTAACGGCCAGAGCGGCGGGCGCGTGAAGAAAACCAGACGTTTTCATCAGATCCTACTTTTCCTCATTCCTTCACTCCAAGCACCGCAGTCAGTGCAGCCAGTGTGGTCCACCTGCAGTCCACGGCAAATCTTCAGAGGGCGGAATGCAAGCTCGGACCCGAGAGCTCATCCCACGGTCAAGAGCGCGGACGGACCGGCGGTCACCCCCTCCCAAGGCTTCCTCCCGCACCGTCCCCCTGCCCCACCCTCCGCCGCGCTCTCTTAACAGGAGACCACTGGTCTGCTTTCCCTCACGACAGATGAGCTTGCTTTTCTAGAATTTTATAGGAGTGGAGTTACGCCGTGTGCACGTGTATTGGTCTTGCCTCTTAGCGCAATTATTGGCGACCCGCCCACGCTGCCGTGCGTGTCAGTGGCTCACCTCCGTTCTGTCGTGGGGACAGCCCACGTTCTACTTACCCATTCACTCCGCCGGACGGACACCTGGGCTGCTTCCCACAGTGGGCTGCTACCAATAAAGCCGCCGTGAACATTCCAAGATCCGTCTTTGGGTGGACACGTGCTCGCACCTTTCTTAGGCGAACCCTTAGCAGTGGGACGGGCAGGTCACAGGGCGAGTGTAGGGATGGTTCGCTTCCTGAGAAACTGACAGACGGTTTTCCAAAGTGGCTGTGCCATACTACGGGGCGCACTGAAAACGGCTGGACTTTCAGAAAAGCGAGATGAGCCACGATGTTGTGCAACAAAAAGGAAATGAACAGGTTAGGCTTGAACTGATGAAGGCACGTGTTCTCTTCCAGGACGCTGGGGTGCGGTGCTGGACACGGCAGGCGGAAAAGGAAACGCCCACTCAGGCACAGCCCTCTGCCTTGGAGGGGGTCCCACTGTTGTTCCAAGGGTCCCTTGGGGGGTCTGGGTTTCACGGAGATTCAAAGCACATGGGAACAAGAGCAGAGACTGGTTTCATCAGCTCAGAGGCCGTGGGCATCAGGGAGCTGTCTGTCCTTTGGTGGACAAACCCAGGACCCCCTCTGCCTGCTGGAGTCCGGGCGCAGAGAGAGGAGGGCCCGCTGTCCTTCCCTGGGCTTGTACACGGAGCGTGCCGGCAGGGGCCGGGGTGCTGGGCTCCTCCGGGAGAGGGCCCTCGATGCTGGGGCCCTCGATGCCACCCAACTTTCTCGTTCTTGCTACCGGGTTACCCCGAGGCCCCTTCCCTGCGGAGTCTGGGTCACGGCCTCCCCACGTCCTGTGATCTTCAGGCTGATAGAACGGGACAGCGGAATTTAGCAAAGCAAATGCGGACAGAGTTGAGTCCGGAGAAAACGGGCTAATGGGAAAAGGACAGGCCGGGAGGCTAAAGCCCCAGAGGGCTCTCAGGGGAGAGGATTCTCTCGTTTCTGTGCCGACGACCAGGCTGGTTCCGAAATCTGGACGGTTTGGCTTGACGTCCGCACACCGTGGACTCCAACCCTTGCTTGAGGTTTGCGCTGTCGTGAGAAAAACAGATCTAACATCTCACCTGCATCTTTAGGTGTTTATTGCGGTTCGTTGATGAGTCCTCTTTTCTCTTTTTCCCTCTTTCTAGAAGCAAGCTTGTATCTGGCCCACCATGACACCCACGGAGTTCATGGTGAGTACAGCCGCGCTCCCCGGGCTACCGGGAGCGCACTCCCGTCTCTCCTCTGTGGGGGTGTGGGGCACAGTCCGTTGTGGGGGAGGGGCTTCTCTGCCAGGCTTCCTGGGGTAGGATCTCTGCTGAGCAGCGCCCCATAGAGGCGGCCGACCGCCAGTGCAGAGGGGCTCTGCCAACAGGAAGGGCCAGAAGCCCTCCCAGTATGTTGTGGAGACAGAGGAAGACGCTCTGTTCGATTTTATTGATAGGTAAGGGTTTTTATGACCTTTCACTAGGGTGGGCTTCATGCCACGTGTCTCTTCTGAAACGCAGACAAAAGAGGGCAAGGGCGGATCCCCTGACTTTGTTTTCACAGGAGCCCCCCCGGTAGGCATGCTGATTGTCATTTCTCCCACAGCATAGTAGGGGTTTTCAGAAAACCACACAGTGGGGCGTACATCTCAGAAAGGGACAAGGAAGCTAACAAAAGCCAGGAAGTCCTTACCCAGGGACTCCCTTATGACCTGACAGCCAAATGCGATCAATGACAGAATCATATTAAATTCCCATGCTTTTGTTGTATTCATAAACACCTTGCAAAGACCTCTGAGGCCTTTCTCAGAGGGCAAGTCTGGGTCTTCACAGGCAGATATTTGAAATCAGGCCTTTGTAGTGGAGCTGACAAACCGACGCCACAGAGGACGGTAGGTTTCCATGGTCTTCGCGGCGCTGCGGTTCAGTCGCTGACGTCAGGTGGGCCGTTTATGGTATGCTAGTGACGCTTAGCGCTGTGTATGTGTCACCATGTGTTTGTGACAACAGCAAGAGGTGATTAATCTGGACCTGGTGAAGGGGTGGGGTGTGTCTCTGTTTTTCCGGCCAGAATTAGACCCTCCGGTTTCTCCTCTCGTTAGAGTTGGCCCGTCACCCCGATGCAGCGGGACCAGAGCTAAGGGTGGGGGGGTGGCTGCTTTGGGGACTGTCATTCGGTTTTCCCATCCGGGATCTTGGAAAATATCCAAATCCGGCAAGTCAGCCTCGGACGGGAAGAAAATGCACCCCAACGTGACCTGGTGTGGCCAGCACCACCCAGGTAGGGGATGGACGGGACGGCTGCGGCCCCAACGCCCAGGTTCATCGGGGAGCCGCCGTGATGGCCTTGCGGCCACTCTCCCGAGGAGGCCCGGCACCTTGGTCACTGCCCAGGACACCGCGGTCCTTCCTGCTCACAGGAGAGACAGAGCCCCTTTACAGATGTGGGAGCTGAAGCTGAGATAGTAGACTGAGGGCTCAAGGTCTCACGGAGGATTGGAGGGGGACCCCTGCGGGGAGCACCCTCCACTGCCCTGGGCCGCTCCCTGTGGGCGGAGGTCAAGTCTCCCTGCTTGGGTGTCTGTCTCCCCCGGGTGTGGGGACAGCATGCCTGGACCATGGGGGACAGAGCCTCGAAGGACACTGTCTTTGCCTTCCATCCAATCTGCTCCCCCCGCCCCCCCAGGAGGCGCTGAGGGGCCTGGAGTCAGTCGGTGGAGGGTTTCCAGAGAAAATGCGTCAGCAGGGGAGGCCTTGGCAAGCTCTGGAGGCCTCTTCCCCTGCACAGCCCTTGTCGCTGGGGCGGAGGGGAGGAGGGCACATCTGCGGGGGAGGTGGAGAGCTGGGCCTGCGGTGAATGCCTTGTGGGGGGGGACACAGGCGGGCCAACCTCTTGACCTTCCTGTGTAAGGAGGTTGGTCCCTGGCCCAAGGCCGGTCTGTGCTGCTTTCAGCCAAGCTCGCCACAAGGCAGCCTGTGGTGCTAGGCAGATGGCGGCGGGGTGGGGGTGGGGCGCTCCCTGTCTCGGTGGCTCAGATTTGTCCTGGTCGTTTTCACATCAGAATGTGGAGAGCAAGGCTTTGGGTGGTGGGGGGGATTAAAAGCGCCCCAGCTTGGGGCTGGGGGAGCTGGGGGCTGCCTCTGGCCTTGACACCCCCCCCACTCCCAGCGGCTAAGGATTGGGGGCAGAACCTGCCATTTCTCCCGTCTGTCTCCTCCTCTCTGAGACGAAGGGGTCAGGCCCAGTAGTCTCTAAGATCTCAAAATCAACCCTAAACCTGCCGGGGTCCCGAAGGGTTTTTCTAGAATAGAAACAGAAACGCACAGGAGAAGAGGGCAGCCCCACCGCTGAGTGCTGGGTGCCCCCTGAGAACGCCGCACGCGCTCTCGCGTTCACGGAGATGGACGACTGTCATGCCCTCTCTCTTCTTGATCGAAATGCTAAAATTCACCTGAAACAAATGATACAAATCCCTGAATGAGCAGCTCCTTCGGAGTAACCCAACTGTCCCCAAAGACCCACGTCCGCGCTGTGCAGCTGCTGCCAGGGCCCCCCCCCACCCGCCTCGCCCCGCCCCGCCCCGCCCAGCTGCGTGCGGGCCTGGCTTTGGAGCTGCGGAAGTTTCTGATGTCTCGCTCCATTCTCACTTCCATCATCAAGTTGGACAGTGTTCTCCGGGAATCGTTTCCTTGCCTGCATGTGGACGGTGCCCAGGAAACACCTGTTGAACGAGTGAACAGACTCCATTCCTCGCTGCCCGTGAATGGGACACGAAGAGCCAACGCTTCTCCAGCCTGGGACGGCCCGCCCCTTTCTCAGTCCCGCCGTCACCCAACCGCCGTGCGGGTCTGCGCCCCTGGCGCGCTCACCAATCACCTCTCCTCGCGGCGGAAGCATCCCAAACTGGCTCGGACTTCAGCTCATTGGCACAGCAGGCTGCAAGAGAAGTCTAGCTTCAGTAAACACCGCGCTTTTTCAGGAGGGTCTGAGAACGACGTCGTTTGCTAAGAAATACAGGAAGAGAAACCTTTGGTAAGAGTATTGGTAGACATTTTAATAAGATGCGAAAGAGAGCTGGTCAAGCCCTTCAACAAGCAGGGCTGGGACGTTTACTGCGAATAAGCCCTTTCTAACACTACCCCCGCCCATAACCTCGTGTCTCATAACTAATGTAGGCATTTCACAAATATACATACATCAGAATAGGGAAAAAAAAAGAACATAAACTAAAACGGGGTCAGAAGAAGTTGACAGAATAGGTGGAAAAGATCAAGAGGAGTTAGAGTTGGTGTTTGCAGCCTGAAGCTGTGCTGTGCGCTGAGGTGGCCACAAGCCACGTGGGACGGTGGGGCCCTTGAAATGTGGCCGATCCAACCGAGATGGCCTGTGAGTGTAAAACATACTCAGGCCAAAAACAGTTCCCCCCACAGGAAGTAAAATCCCTCAATAGATTTCAGATTGCTGACATAATGCAATGGTAATATTTTAGGTACACCCGTTTTCCATAAAACGCATTGAAATGAAATCCCCCCGTTTCTTTTTACTTTAATGTGGCTTCTAGACAATGCAAACTTGACCTGTGGTTTGTCTCATGTTTTCATCGTACAGCGCCGGCCTCAAAGATCCTGTACGGTTACTATAACTGGGCTACGAGTTTGGCTGAGCTTCCCACTTAAAAGAGAATCCCGATCAGTCATAAAATTCCTGTTTCATGAGAATAAAAACCCTCCTGTGTTCTTCAGGAGCGATGAAGCCTTTCTTCACTGATCTTTTGTGTTTCAGTGCCCAGTCAATGTCTAGAGTAGATCTCAGTGAGTAGGATGCAGAGATACACTAACAAGCCCCTTGAGGACCACCCCCCTCTCAGTGGAGACAGTCAGTTACATGGGGAGCTCCCTTAATGCAGACTGGGAATAAAGTTAGAGCAGCCGGGGGGGAGTCATTCTAGAAGGTTCTGCCATGTGCTCTTGGATGGAATGCGGGGTAAAAAATGTGTGGATTTCAAGCGTTTCCACAAATCCTCTCTCAAGATCCTTGTCTGACTGACCCAGGCTTTGAGAGCAGCCTCTGTGGGCAGCTTCTCCAGAACAGTGGCTCTAACCCACGACTCCAAACAGGGAGGATGGAGTAGTGACTTCACTCAGAATTCCTCATGGGGGCCCGGAGCCCCTCGTTGAAAGAGGGGCCTGCCCCTGCCTGGAAGCCTCAGGATAAAATACACGCACGACTGTGCTCAGCACTGGGTCTGGCATGCTTCAGTGATAATGAATCAATGTGTTCGTAAATACTGACACGGACTTGTTATGAGGATTTTCAAAGCATCTTGTGTCTATGATCCAAAGGATATCCACCCATCTGGAATGTATACAGCCGTCAGTGTAGTCCTGAGACAGCAAGATGCCTTTGTTCAGCCTGGGTTGTGAATGATCGTTGTTACACTCATAAAGATGACCAAAGCTTTGAACTTGGAAGGATAATGTAGGCTTACCTTCACAACAAATATGGTCATGACAAAATGTATACATATCCAGGGGTGTGTGTGTATGTGTGTGTGTGTGTGAACTGAATCACTTTTAAAATATACCTGAGCAATTGAATCAGGAATTTGGAAGATAAAGAAGCAGAGAACACCCAATCGGGACAGAAAGAAGAAAAAATTTTAAAAAAAATGAAGATAGTTTAAGGGGCCTCTGGAACAATATCAAGTGTACCAACATTCACATCACAGGGGTACCAGGAGGAGGAGGAGGAGAGAGAGAGCAAAGAATTGAAAACCTACTTAAAGTAATAATGACAGAAAATTCTCTAAGCTGGTGAAGGAAACAGACATACAAGTCCAGAAGCATAGAGAGTCTCAAACAAGGTGAACCCAAAGAGGTCCACATCAAGACACATCATAATTAAAATGGGAAAGATTAAAAACAAAGAGAATCTTAAAGGCAGCAAGAGAAAAGCAGTTAGTTACCTACAAGGGAGCTCCCGTAAGACTCTCAGCTGATTATTCAACAAAATTTTTGCAGGCCAGAAGAGATTGGCACAAAATATTCAAAGTGATGAAAGCAAGGACCTACAACCAAGGCTACTCTACCCAGCAAAGCTGTCACTTAGAATCATAGAAAAGATAAAGAGCTTCCCAGACAAGAAAGAGGTAAAGAAGTTCATTACCACCAAGACAGCAGTGCAAGAGATGTTGAAGAAACAGAAGAAGAAGAAGGAGGAGGAGGAGAAAAAGGAGGAGAAGGAATGAAATGGCAACAAATACATATCTTTCAACAATTACTTCAAGTGTAAATTGGTTACATGTTCCAATCAAAACACATTCAGTGACTGACTAGATAACAGAAAAGACCCCCCTATGTGCGGCTACAAGAGACACGCCTTAGAATGAAAGACACACGCGGACTGAAAGGAAGGGGATGGGAAAGGATATCCCATGAAAATGTAAGGAAACAGAAAAAGCTGGAGTAGTAAATACTTGTACCAGACAAAATAGACTTCAAAACAAAGAAAGACCCACTCCTGGGTATTTATCCAAAGTAACCTAAAACACTAATTTGAAAAGAAGATACATGCGTTATGTTCCTTGCGGCATTATTCACAAGAGCCAAGGTCGGGAAGCAACCTAGGTGTCCGTTGGGAGATGGAGGGGCTGAGAAGGAGCGGTGCCCATATACAACGGTATGTGACTCAGCCACAGAGAAGAAGGAGGCCTCGCCATCTGCCACAGCATGGATGGACCGGGAGAGCACTGTGCGTGCCGAGTGACGTAAGTCAGACGGAGAAAGACAAATGCCACGTGACTTTGCTTATATGTGGAATCTAAAAAAGAAAATGAACAAACACAACAGAAGCAAACTCGTAGGTACAGAAACCACTTTGATGGCTGCCAGATGGGGGGGTGTTGGGGAGCAGGGTGACAAGGGGGAGGGATTGAGAATTGCAAACTGCTAGTTACAGAACAGTCACAGGGATGTAACGTGCAGCACAGGGAATATAGTCAGTAATATCGCAGTAACTGTGTGGTGTCGGATGGGTACTAGGCTTACCCGAGTGACCACTTGGTGAGTCATGTAAACCTCTGATCACTGCATTACACACGTGGAACTAATCTAATATTGTATGTCAACTGTAATTGAGAAATAAAAAATTATTAAAGAAAAAAAGGCACCCCGGGAGTCCCTGACTCCATGTAGTTTTGTGCCCAAGCACTGGGCCTCCAACCCTCACCCAGGAAGGAAACACATGCGTTGTGCGTGTTGTGCTTCGAGTGGGATGCAGGCGCCTGGCTCCAGGACTCATCTTGGGGAGTGGCGGTCACAGGCCCCTCGCTGGGCAGTGGAGAATGCAGGGTCCCCCGGGACACCGGGACTGCTGGAGGTCCCCCCTGCAAAACCCCCTGGGCTGCATCTGGGGGTGGGGGGGGCTGTGTGCCGCCCTGCCTCCCAGCATCAGCTCGGGTTCCTATGGGAGTCTGTTTGACCCAAGGAGTGTAAAAACAAAACAAAAAAAAAGCCCTCTCTGAAAGCAGTTTCATGCTTCATCATGGGGACTCACCACGGACACCTGTCACTTGCGTGGTTTTACTGCCTTTCCTCCAAAATGTCATCCTCCCCAAATCTTCACTCAAATATGTGTCACCCACGAGACTGGCTTTCCAGACAGCAAGGGAAATGGTTGCTTGTAGACCAAGGACGGATCAGTCGGGCCTGGGGACAAAGCACGTGGGAAAAGGGGGCAGGCGGTACCCTCAGCCCCTCCCACGGTGGGCGGACCCTTCCTGGCTGCCCGCCCCGCTGAGCCGTCTCCAGGATTCATCTCCCAGGGTCCCCCTCTTTGCACTGGGACTTTGTCTTGGTCACACACCGGAGGTAGAGTCAGGACTAGACTCCCTATTTTCCTAGGTGTAGTCCAAGTTACCGTGGGTGTCCTCCCTGGGTCACCTGGTACTCTCCACCAGCCAGGGCCCTAACAGAGTGGACATGCCCCTTCTGCTCTCGGTGCGGACTTCCGAACCCAGGAGACAACAGCCTCCTGACACCTCCTGCCCTTTATGCGCCAACGTGGTGTGTCCTGATATCTTAAAGAGCACGAGTCAAACACGCACACGGGTTCCGTGCTCCAGTAAGTTTAGGGAGCACTGTTCTGCAAAATCCCCGGATCTGAAGGACTTTGCAGGAACTACTTGATTCAGTTCTTAACGTTATAGTTCAGTTATAACGTGCAGTTATAATAAATCAAGTTCTGCAAGACTTTTCACAGCCTTTCATGTGCTCGTGAGTATCGTGAAGTTCAAAGAAAGTGCTGTAGTGTACAGAGATTCTCCACCATTTAACCATCAGCATTCCACCCAAGGACAGTTTGGGAAATGCTGGCCGGAGTTATTAGAAATAGACAGAAATTACAGTGTGTCTAGACAGGGAGACCGTGGTTAACAGGAGGCTGGCAGAGGATATTTTATTATTTCACTGAGTAGTTAAATATGTAGTCTAAGTATTTATACTTAAATATTTAATATTTAAAACAAAATAAAAACCTATGGTGGGTTTGAGGTTACTTCTGGTCCCAATGCGTCCAGGCGAACTGAACAACCGTCGTATTTGCCTGAGGTGAGATGAAGGTGGAGAGGCAATTTGGCAAGGGGTGTGCCTTGGGGCGAGGCAGCCAGAGCTGCGGTTCCGGCTCCCAGTGGAACGTGGGAGCCTCGCTGGGAGTCCCGGGGGTGCCGGTGGGAAGTGAGAGTGTCTGAGGTTCTGGCAGATGCGGGGTGCGTCCCTCCTCCATCCCCGCGGCTCTTCCTCCCCCTTTCCTCCAGATGCAAGGGCTTGCATCTCAGGGCTTTGATCACCGGCCCTTATTCCCACTTCCCTTAGCAGGTGTTCTGGGCTGGCCCTGGGCCAGGAACCCGCCGAAACCGTAACGAGGTCGTGTGTGTGCACATTCCCATGAGTTGTGTGCATATGTGTGAGTGTGCACTGTGGAGGCTCAACGGTATGTGCATATATGTGTATGTGTGAGTGTGTGTGTGTGTGTACCTATGTGCATGTGAGCATGAGTGGAGGCACACTTGTGCATATGTGAGTGTATGTGCAAACCTGTGCATGATTGTGTGTGCATGTGTGTGTGTGTGTGTGTGTGTGTGCCTAGGACGGCCAGCTTCACAGGCATCTGCCCTGCCCAGTTGCATGGGGCCGTGTACTTAGAAGCACCACTTGCTTGATTTAATGCTCTGCTGTCTTGGGATTCTTAACAGATTTTCAGCAAGAGACCCTGAAAATTCTATAGCTTGTCCTGGTGCTGGTGTATGTGCATGTATGTGAGGGTGTATAAACGCGTGTGCACGGTGTGTGTGGAGGCTTCTGGAGCAGAGGACCCACAGCGTTCTGGAGACTCAGAGGGGGCTGGACCCGGAAAAGTTGAAGAGCCTCTGGGGACCTGCTGGGGAGGACGGGACAGAGAGGAGGAGGGACAATCAGAATCGTTCACAGAGGTTGATGAGTCTGTGCCCATTAGTGGTCCGGGGGGACCCATCCCCAACACAGCACCTGTCACGTGTCCCATGATGGCTCGCTCCTTGCATGCACCATCCACAGGCAGGTAGTTCCCTGGGGGTGGGAACCACGTCAGACTCACCCAGCACCGTATCTTCAGCACGGACAGAGGGTATGACGTATTGTAGCTGCTCCATAAACATCTGTTGAATAAATGAATCTGTTACGACCCAAGCAGACGCTCTCAGAACTCCTGCTTCCTGCACACACATTTCTTTCGTCTCATCACAGACTTCTGGGACTGGAAAGGTCGAGTGGTCCGTGCCTCTGCCGGCGGACAGAACCTCCGAAATGTTGTCCTTGACCTGGTGCTGTCTTGTGTCTCCTTGCAGAGCCTCGTCCCCAATATGTCTGCTGACTACATCTATGACCCCATGGACGACGACTATGTGACCTTAAACTTCACAAACTTCTTCTGTAAGAAAAACAACGTCAGGCAGTTTGCAAGCCACTTCCTCCCACCCTTGTACTGGCTCGTGTTCCTCGTGGGCACCCTGGGCAACAGCCTGGTCATCCTCGTCTACTGGTACTGCACGAGGGTGAAGACCATGACGGACATGTTCCTGCTGAACCTGGCCATCGCCGACCTCCTCTTCCTCCTCACTCTTCCCTTCTGGGCCATCGCCGCCGCTGACCAGTGGAAATTCCAGACCTTCATGTGCAAAGTGGTCAACAGCATGTACAAGATGAACTTCTACAGCTGCGTGCTGCTGATCATGTGCATCAGCGTGGACAGGTACATCGCCATCGCTCAGGCCACGAGAGCGCAGACCTGGCGGCAGAAAAGGCTTCTGTACAGCAAGGTGGTGTGCGTCACCGTCTGGGTGATGGCGGTCGCCCTCTGCACCCCAGAGATCCTGTACAGCCAGACCAAGGAGGAGTCCGGCATCACCCTCTGCACCATGGTGTACCCTCACGACAAGAGTGCCAGGGTGAAGTCGGTGGTCTTGACCCTGAAGGTGATCCTGGGGTTCTTCCTCCCCTTCGTGGTCATGGCCTGCTGCTACACCCTCATCATCCACACTCTCATCCACGCCAAGAAGTCGTCCAAGCACAAGGCCCTGAAGGTGACCGTCACCGTCCTCACGGTCTTCTTCGTGTCCCAGCTCCCCTACAACAGCGTCCTGCTGGTGCAGACCGCCAACATCCACACCAAGTTCATCTGGGACTGCACCATATCCAACCGCATCGACATCTGCCTCCAGGTCTGCCAGACCATCGCCTTTTTCCACAGCTGCCTGAACCCCGTGCTCTACGTCTTTGTGGGGGAGCGGTTCCGCCGGGACCTCATGAGAACCCTGAAGAACCTGGGCTGCCTCAGCCAGGCGCAGTGGACCTCCTTCACGAGAAAGGAGGGCAGCCTGAAGCTGTCCTCCATGGTGCTGGAGACGACCTCGGGGCCCCTCTCCCTCTGAGGGGCCTTCTCTCTGAGGGGGCTCGTCCTTTGGGGAGTAGAATGATCAATACGTGTGCGGCTCCCCGCCCATGGCCCCCAGTGGGGCCAGAGGGACACCAAAGAAGGAAAAGGAAGCGAGAAAGAGAAAACTCCAAAAAAATGAATCGGAAAATGATTCCTTTGAGTCAGAACTTGCCGAGACAGGGTTTTCAGAACGGACTGGCCATCCCAGGAGGCTCCGACTGGCGCCCAGTGGCGACGCCTGCAGTTTTCAAAGGCGAACGAACCGGCAGGCGGTGGGGGCAGACCACCCCAGCCGCCCCTGGCCCGCGGCGGCGGCGGCGGCGGCCGAGATTCTCCGCGCATGCGCATGGCCGCGGTTTCGGTCCCAAGCCCTCCCCTTCCAAAGGAAACACAGAAGCAGTGGCCGCTGTACATAGTCCCCGAGAGCCCAGGGGTTCCCCAAAACTTCCAACTTCGGGGAGTTTCTGCCCTGGTTTTGAGGCCGATTCCTATGCCAGGTCTTACAGAGCCTTAACCTAGAATCTTCCCGAACACTCTCAGATCTGATTGCCCTCTGGCCCCCTTGACTTGTTCTGGGCCGGGGGCGGGGGACGGGGGGAGGGTCCCCGTTCCTCTTTGGAGACTCTGTGCAGGACGGGCCAGTGAGTCCCCGGGGAACTGACCCTATCAGCCCGGCACGTGGAGTCGGCCGACTTCCACCCCACTTCCAACTCCTGCTGGGGGCTCTGTGGTGCCACGCCGGCCTGCAGGCTTGACGTGGGCGAGCATGCCACTTGTCCACCAGTGTCGTGGGAGTGGTCTCCTCAGCCTGCGCAGGGACCCCGGGAACCTGAGTTTGCAGGACCAGCCTGGCTTGGCTGTGGGCTCGCCCTGCCAAGTGGCCTTTGTGAAGACCCGGTCCGCTCCCTGTGAACTCGGCCCCACCCATCCGCCCCCCGGTGGCTGAGGCTGCTGGGAGGGCGCTCACCTCCACGCTTCTCCTCTGGCTGCACATCGCTGGCGGGTCCTCCGGCTTTCAGCCTAGACATGAGGCTGAAAACAAAGTCATGTAATTCTTCTTTTTCCCCTTTTTGTTCTTTATGTTTTTCTTTAAGCTCGTCGGCAAATGCATTACATTTCATATATTAGAAAAGTGCTTAACACTTTTTAGGTGTATATTTTCATTGCAGTTGACATATGATATTATAATAGTTTTAGGTATACTAGAAAATAATTTTTTAACGTCCATTAAAAATATCTGTTACCAGTCACTGTCTTCCCCCTGTATCTACATTTCAAATGCGCATTACAGCTCAAACGGCCACGTGAAGAGCGTGGGGAGGAGGAGACTGGGATAAGGAAGTAAAATCTCCAGGACACCTGGAAGCCGCCTTGGCTGGCCCCCTCTCCTTGGGTCACACTCACTCCCCAGTGGCTCCCAGTGAGTCCAGTGCCGTGTCCCAGGTAAACCACCGGATCCACCGCGAGTCTAGAGGGTGCGTCTGATTTCCCCATGTGCTGCAAACCGCTGCGGCTCCAGCCCCGGGGCCAGGCCTTCCAAAGGGACACAGAGGCGTTGGCCACCACCGCCTTCTCCTCCGTCGCCTGCCCGCTCTAAACCGCGTGTTAGTGAGACAGGGAGCAGAAAGCGGGCAGCCACGAGGGAGAGCAAGAGGGGGCACAACCCATCGCTACCCCATCCCATGGCGGGGGGGCAGCTGGTGGCAAATACGCACCTTGGCCCAGCACGTCCACCTGGGCTCCGGTCTGACAAACACGGTCAAGGGGAGAGGACGCACCCAAGGCCAGTCCACGCACAGAGCCGTCTGTGTGGCCACGGTTTCTAGAAGACCCGGATGTCGTCCGAGAAACCTGGAAGACTAGGAATAAGCACAGGCCGGATCGGAAGGACACTGCGCAGTTAGGCAGAAAGAACGCAACCGAGTCTGGCTTCTCCATTCCATGCCCTCTGGTGCTGTGGTTCTGGTGCTGTGTGTCACGGGGCCCCCAGGGCAGCCGCGGAGTGGGGGGAGGGTGGGGAAGAGGAAGGGAGGGGCGCGACTGTGCTGTGGAGTCTGCTCTGGGTCTGGAGTTACCCGAGGGGCACCGTGACGGGGATTTAGTGGGGGTTTGCAGGTAAGTGAGACTTCGGCCAATGCACGTGAGTTGGAACAACAGTGCCAGGAGGTCCACCTTCCCCCCTTCGACGTTTAAGAAAGACGTGGGGACACCACAAGAACTATGAACCCTGCGTTGCATCCTAAGGCACGTAATCACTCCCAGCTCCAAAGGGACCGGACTCTCACTACTGGACTGCCCAGGTCCTACCCCAGCCTCAGTGCAGGATTAGCCGCACTGCGTTTGAAGGGTTTCAAGTGTTCCTTGTTGGCAAATTGTCTTAGTGTTTAAGTGATTGCATACATGCAACTATTTTACATTCCTGTCCAGCCAGGTCTCAGTGAGGGATGTACCTTAAAGATAAGAACGTGGGAAGAGTTGGCACGGGGAAATCCGTGAGGAAGTTGCGAGCCACCCAACATTTCTAGAAAATACACTGTGTCGAGTACTTTTTGAAAGAAAGATAGAAAAGGATTATAGTGTGTCATTACATCGCACTAGAAGTCTGACATCAGGAAAATGAGGAAATGAAATAAAATATGTTTTCATGGCCAAAAAGTAGCCTTTTTACTAAATATATATGTATTTTTTTAAAAACAGACTTTAAGGCAACACATTGTGTAACACACATATTCAAGTGGGGGTTATTGTTCTGAAGTAGCCAGCTCGAAATCTGGCCTTTGGGAACTGCCTTCCAGGCCTACGGAATGCTCACTCATTCATTCATTCTGCAAACACTCGTGTGTGCACCACGAACCTGCCTGCTGGCTGAGGTTAGAATGGGAAATAATCGTCCTTTCCCTCAGTCCTCACCCTCTGGCAACATGGACAAGCCGAGGGTCACGTGGCCGAGAGAGAGGAGACCAGAACAGGAGGCTCTGCCAGGTGACACCCTTGGGGGAGAAGCCGCGGCTGGCGGGTGGCCTCCCCGGCTTATCCGCGGTCTGCAGACGGGCGGGCGGCTCCCAAGGCAGCTCCGCGGGTCAGCCCTCAGACAAGCAGCTCCGGGAGCGCTTTGTGACCTGGTGTCCGTGCCGAACATGCCCGGCCCCCACACAACCACGCAGTGCTTTGTATATAGTAGACACAGTGTGCTGTTGAACTAATAAACGTGTTAAAAATCTTAAATTAAGTCATTGTGTCCAATTTGTACTTCAGGTATCAGAAATCAGCTGCCGGAAAAGTGTGAAAAAACCAAGACGACCTTGACGTCCTTTGGCATCTTGTTACCTGCAGGCAGCTGAGGGGAGCCGGCTGCCCAGGGCAGGCTGGCGAGAAGGGCCGGCCGCAGCACCGCCCCCGCCCCCCATGGCCTGGCGAGGGCCTCAGACAGCCGCCGGCCACCTCCTGCGGGACAGTGTGTGGTCATAATCCCCTCCACTGGCCCTCGGTGGTTGTTAACACAGTCCTGCATGAGGGAGCAGCCAGCCCCAGGGAGCGCCTGCCGTTGTGACCTGGCCACCCCTCCCCGGGGGCCGCCGCCGCCACCGAGGGTGCGGTCACCTGTGTCCGTGACGGGCTGAAATGCGCAGCGGAGGCTGCGGGGAAGGAGGAGAGCCCTGGACTCTCCCGGCGGCTTCCTGAGCCGACCAATGGGAAGCTGTCACGCGTGTGGTGTGTGTGTGTGTGATCTTTGCGCGGGCGTGCTTGGCTTTCCAAACCCGAGCCTCCTTCGCTGGAGCTTCGCTCAGAGCCAAGGTCAGGGCCCGGGCAAAGCCAAGTCCTGCCCCATCCCGGCCCGGCCCACAGAAGGCTTAGGAAGGCCATCGGACGAGGAAGGTTCCAGGGGCAGGAGGGTGGTTCCCAGACCATCTCAGTGGGAGCTGCGGGAGAAGCATCTTCTCCAAAGGGTTCAGACTGACCACTCCCCCTGCCTCGGTCTCCTCATTAGCAATAGCCGGCTGACTCATGGCAAGAGCCCGTTAAGTCGTATGTAATATGTAATAAGTCACAAGTAACATGCTATTACTGCCACTCGTAAGCCGTGCTGCAGTGAGGGGGTCCTCCTCTCATCTCCCACAAAAACCAGTGCCCCTTCCGTGCGTGTCTCGTGCACCTTTCGGCAAGCTGACAGAGCCCACGGCTCCCTTCTCAGAGTGTTTTGGAGTGAGTGAGGCAGACAGGATCCCAGAGGAAACCAAGTGTATTAAACGTAATCCTCTAAATACTAAAGCACATTCATGAACCAGGAAGACAGGCGCCTCTGTACGGGGGCATTACCTGAACGCTCCCAGCAGGGGAAGGGCACCCTTCACGTCTGAGTGGGGATGCGCATGAATGACATTCGAGAGTCTTCTCCAGCTGTTGCATGATACGAAGACATCTGTCAGGTCCCGTGGTGACAAAGTCACAGGTCTTGCTAAGATTGTTTATGTTCCTCACTGAAGGGAGACCTACGTTTCAGCTAGAAGTTAGGGGAGCGATGCCAGCCCACCGTCCAAGCTCAGAGCTTCTGAGTTCTGTGCGGGGGTCACAATTCAGGAGCCGTGTTTAGCCTGACCCTGCGCCCCCACACACATACACCCATGGGCATCAGACTCCTGTTTCTGCCTCCGATCCTCACATTCTGGGCGTGAATGGAACTATTTTGGATTTGGGGAAAGGGGCTGTTTCCACTGACCAGCAATCTGCCAGGTAGCAACATGCCCCTCGAATGTAAACACCAGCCATTGAAAACAAGCGGCTGTAGAAAGATTTTACCTGTGGCGTGGTTTCCCCCCAGGGGATCTGTCTAGAAGGGTCTGCCTCTCCGAGAGTGAAGTTTCCGTCATGGCGTCCCCGTGGGCCCAAGGCTGAATGAATGGTCGCTGGTGGAATCAAATTAGGAAAAGGACCCATCCGCTCATTTTACCCGAAGTCCTCAAGTTCCAACCAAAGCGGTGGCACAGCGGCCATCCCCAAGGCCCTGCTCGACGTGTCCACAGGTCACCTCCGCCAGCATCCCCTGGCGGGCTGGTGGAAGAACCAGACCCGAGGAACCGGACTTGACTGGGTCGGTGCCCGTGAATCTGCATTTTCCTGGGCCTCCAGGTAACCCAAATGGGAGAACTCTTTGCAGAAACTCTTCGGTACGTGCCCTACACTTACCCCAAGTGAACAGCTTGACTCGGGAGCAAAGCTGAGCCCTGGGTCCCTCCCGGGCGTCCCCCGGGGGCCTGCCGTCTGCACCCTCGGCGTTCCGGGAGGCCCCGGGCCGGTGTCCCTGCCCCCCTCCATGTCTCGGGGCACCAACGTGCAGTCCCCTTTCTGAACACACCCAGCTGCCCAGTCGGGGTCTTTGCTGCGGAGAGGGCTGTCCTGACACAGACTTTGGTTCTGCACGTGGACCCCGTCTCTTGTCCCGAGGCGTCTTGGAGGGAGTGACGGCACTGCCCCTTCCCCGTGGCTTTCCGTGAGGGCGTGCAAGGCCTCGGAGCCAGCTTCGGCGCCAGCGCCGCAAGCCGATGATCTCTCCCACGCCTGCAGTCTCTGCCTTCGCTGTCTGCTTGGTAAGCGGTCCGGGCCTTCATTCCCCTGACGCGCTGCATCCACTGAATGGGGTGGCTGGTTCGGCTACACCGGCTCTGCACCTCCCCCCCGCAAACTGCCCCCCCCATTCTTCCAAGGAGAAAGGCCACTTCTGCTACCCTAGCCTGCAGTCCAGCTCCCCGGGAAAGCAGCCTTGGGGAAGGCCCTTCCCTTTTATCTTGCTTTCCACACCCCTTCTTTGCTCCCCCATCCTTATGGCGTCACCCCCATCTCCCTTGCCTGCCCCGCCGGCCTGGCAGACAGAGGTTCAGGTTCATGGGCACGGCTTCCTCCTCTCTCATGGCCCAGCCAGGCCCGCTGGGAGCAGCAAGCTGGGGAGGCCCTCCTGAAATCACCTTGTCTCTCCCGAGTCCCTGGAGCCACGGGCCCACCCGGGGCCAGGAAATGAGGCCTCAGTAAGGACACTCGGGCATCTCAGGTCTGGGGAGGCCTGTCTCCAACCTCCCTTTTTAGCTAAGGGGCCATTGATTCCAGGCTCCAGGTGGGGCTGCCCACCCTGAGATAACCTCATGCGTTCCGGACTGGAGGCGGGAGGAAACCACAGTTTCAGGCCCCCCACGGCGCCCGGAGGAGGGGGAGGCGGGGACGCACATCAAAGGCCAGAGCTGGGCCTTGCACTTCTGCTCGGCCTCGCGGCCTCACTGTCTTTCCCCAGAAGCCAGTGGGGCGTGGGAAAAGTAAAAGGCTGAACTTTCTTTCAACCCTAGACCGCTGAGAGCCGCTTTCATAATAGCTCTGCCCTCCCTCTGGTGCTTCATTGCTTCAGCTTCAGCTGCTCCCCGCCCCCCCCCCCCCAAAAAGCCCGGTGTTCTCATCTCGGGCAACCGGTTTCACCAATTATTTGCTTATCAGTCATGTGGGCGGTGAGCTCCCCTCGCCGGAGCTTTCCCATGCACCTTCAGACCGAAAGGGCTCACCCTGCTGGAAGCACTCTTCTGAGTCATCCAGGGGACCGCGACATCCTCCAGCACCAAGGGGCCCATGGGGCCTGAAGAGGCACGGTCCCCCCAGGGCCAAGGAGCAGGCGGCAGTGCATGGGGCCAGGAGCCTGGGACGGAGCATGGGGCTTGGAGAACCTGGAGCAGACCTCGGTCATCCCGGGCTCCTCGGTGGTTCAGCAGGCGGGGGAGGTGGGGTGGGGGGGTCTGACACGGAGGCCCCCAGATCCCAGCCCCACACGCAGCAGGTGCATCTGTGTCTTGGTTCTTGGACCAGAGCCACCAAGCCCTTGGAGTGGCTGTTCTATCAACACAGAAATCCTTCTCTGTGCTGTTTTGGGTGTTTGGATGAACCGATCTTCGGTTACTTCTAGCTGGTCGCTGGACAGTGCGGGGCTTGGGTTGAGGGCATCGCCAACAAGAGGGGGTACAGGGGGCGGAGCCAGAGACTGCTCAGCGCACCCCATCTTCCTCAGACCTCCCGCAGGCTCGCCCTGGGCCCTTCTCTGCCCAGGGAGGTCCAGGAGCTCCTGACCCTGGCCAAGCTGGCCCGCGGGGCTGCTGTGGGCCCACAGCTGACCAAGGCATTGGCACCGACCTGCGTCCTCACGGACTCAGTCACCGTGCATCACTCTCGTGGCCGGCACGGCGCCCGATGCTGCGAGGCTGAGGGGAAGGAGGGAGATGGCGATGAGCGAAGCCAGGGAGAGCACGGGTGCAGAGAGTGTGACTTATTCCAGAATAATTGATTAAAGACGAAGCCACACGAGGATCTGGGGGCATGAGGGGCCTGGGGGAGGCAGGTGGAGGGAAGGGGCCAGGAGGTGTTCCGTGCGGCACAGGGGACTCAGGGGAAGGAGCTCTGGCACCCCAGGTGTGAGTCTAAGGTGTGATGGACTGCCCAGCCTGACCTCAACCTGACCAGTCCGGGAGGGAGTGGGAGGCGCCGCTCCAGGCCTGCCCCAGCAAGAGCCCTGTGAGTCGTGGTGGGCGCCGAACCCCTCCCTCTCCGGCTGCCCGGCCTGGCGCTCTCACCCAGTGCGGTACCACAGGTGGACTAATCGTGGGTTCATGCCGTCCACGACCTTCTCCCCAGCCCCAGGGTTCTGGTAAATCAGGTTTGCCCCTTGCTCACAGTGCCCTGGGGGTACCACGGAAGGGCTGGCGAGATCTGGGTTGAGGGCAGCTTGCCTGGTGGGGGTGGAGGGGGGTGGCACAGCGTGTTGGCTCAGGGAGGTCTGAACACCCACCTCAGACTGGGGCAGGAAGTACCCAGGTATCAGGCCAGGCGGCCACGGCTCAGGACACCCGCTGGCCCACTGGGGCCCTTCATCCCCCAGGAGGGCAGCCCCACTCCGGTCTGGGCAACCCCATCCGACCCTTACATCCCAAGGGAATGAAAGATGATACCACTCAATATCATAGTGTTTATTTAAATCCTGAGGTTAAAAATACATTTCCAAGTGATGCAGCAGATGCTATAAAGAAATGTTTGGGGTACAAAGTTTCTCACCCCCGCCGGGCAGGTGGGGGGTTGGCATCTGATGTGCTTCTGGGTAATTCTTTGGCAGATAAGGAGGGACTGGGTTCCCAGACCCGCTGTCCCCTAAGGCCGCGAGAATTGAGGACTAGTCAGTTCAAGTGCAATTCCAATCGGAGGCTGAGCAGCAGAGGCCCCGGTGTGGCAGCCACCAGAGGCAGGCGCGTCTCCGGACAACCCGGCATGAAGTTCCACGGGAGGGGCGTTCCTATCAGGGATGCCTCCCAAAATTCAACGGTCTACTTCATTATTTTAAAAAAGTGATTAAGGGGGAAAAAGCTCTCTTCGGTCTTTCCCATTTCCTTGAAAGAATGACAATGAGAAAAACTTACCCAAGTTTCCCCTAAAAAGTGCCTTTTGCGTGTCTCTCACGGTGGAGGGCTGGCGCGGCAGTCCCCGTGCAGGCGGCCCTGGGCTCCAAGCACCGAGCACGGCTTCTCTGCTCGAACCCCCCAGTGTCCTGGGCCAGGGACACTCACGAGATGGAATCCCCGTGACACTGTCTTGGGGGGCGTCTACCAGCACCAGGACATAAAGACTCTGAGCCTTCATCCCCAAATGGGGGACTTCTGTTCACGTCAGCCTGGAAGGACTTTGCCACCATAGGTGGGTGACAACCGTCTGGAAAAGCCACCCCCTTTACTTCGGAGTACATGTTTTTTAATTTCCACTTCCCCAACCCCGGGGTGGGGGGTTTCAGTCCCAGAACCCTGCGTGAGAATGCGTCTGCTCTTGTTCAGCCGACCTGCCGGCCCGTGGGCTCCGGCCAGAGAGCTCTGCAGAGACCACACTTTCTCCACACACTTCCTCGTGGATGCCTGTGCCCCCGGAGGCCACGTGCTCAGGGAGGTTCAGTGGCTCCTGAGGCTGTGGGGACAGCCAGCGTCAGCACTAAAAACAAGTGGCTGTTAGAGAGCTGTGGGCCATGGAGGGGCTGCTGTGCAGGTGTTTGTGCGTGATCTGGGGTCCCAGGGACACCTCCCCCTTGCTGATCTCTAGTGTAATTTCGTCTACTGCCCGGGCTACCGCCTTCGGTAGTTCGCTGTCATTTGCATTTTTAAAAGGTACCCCAACCCCAGAGCCTCAGTAAAGCTGGGGGCCTGTTTAAAAATAATAAAGCTATTTGTACAAACCACTTAAATAGGGCAAGATGTTCTCCAGCTGCAGAGTGCACAGCGAACTCGAGCTCGCACGGCAAAATAACAAAGGACAGGGGTCCGTCAGGCACAAAAAACAAACAGGCTGCAGGGGCAGGCCGCGGCCACCAGCAATCGGGCGGTCCTCTGAGCCCGGCAAAGGCCCTTCGACAACCGCAGCTGACGGCGCAGGGTGCTCTCCAGGGTGGCTCTGGGTCGAAGAGCCACGCCGTTTTTTTAAGCTGCAGCAGGAATGTACCCGCTCTGCTGGAGTATCCCGGCCTTTCGCAGGGAACAGATCAGCATCTGCTAGATGTTGGCTCTGGCTGCGGATGGTGGCGACACCAGGGGAGGGCCGTCAGCCCGGACTGTCTCCAGTGTCCGGGGAAAGCTCAGTACTCATGAGACGCCAGGCTGCTTAGGGTTCTCTTCTAACTGTCGTTTCCCTGCAAACGGTGAACCTGCTACTCCCCGCTTCCCTCTCCTGCAGGGCGGCTGCATTGGAAGGCAGGGCAGGTGCCCTGAACAGCCCACCCTCGCGCTGCCGCACACCCGCGAGGGCCAGCACGGGGCCGAGGGCCCTGGCCAGCAGGAGAGGGCAGAGACTCTGCTGGCTTTCTGCCAGAGGCTGCTCCAAAGAGAGCATCAGGCCCACCTTTTCTCTGGAAGGTTCTGTGCACCAGTCCCCGTTTAAATGAACTGGAGACACCCAAGTCTCCTGTTTAAAGGGGAGGGTCTGAGTCCATTGCAAAGGTCATCTCCTCCCACCCGGCCCCCAGGAGAGCACGCTGCCGGGGCCCAGGGCACGCGGAGTCTCTGCTGGACTCAGCCTGGGCCGCCGACCTGTCCCAGGCCCTCAGAACCAGCCCAGTGAGACTGGCAGGTGACAGAACGAAGCCCTGAGGCGCTGTGACTTGCCCTGGTCACCAGGCGACCTAGAGGACTGCCCGGGGCCCCACGCTTGCTCCCCCCCTAACCCCCAACAGGTACAGACAGGCCATCAAAGACGACTTTCTGCGGCAGAGAAAGGGCAGGAGAACGGAAAGATTATCTCCTTCTTGTCCGTGTAGAGGAAGCAGGGCTGATCTGTCTGCGGCGGAGGGGTCCCTGGTTGCCAGGCACGGGCTGAGCCGCAGGAAGTGGGCAGGTGCAGTGTGGGGAACCTGGCCAGCGGGGGAGCTGAGGCCAAAAGGTGAGCAAAGGGCAGATTCACGAACCACACCTGCTGACACGCGAGTCACCCCAGACCTGTTGGTTTGAAAGTGGTCCTCACCCTACGATCATTAGCACACGCGTCTGCACATAAAGCCGGAGCCCTCGCTTGTGTAAACAGAGATCGTCAGCTGAGAAGCGGGACCTCAAGGCCACGGCCTGACCCTACTTCGTCGTGGCATTGACCTTGGCCAGCACTAGGCTTCAGCCAGCTGTGCACAGACAGCCGCTGCAGGCTCTGAGTGCGACGGGTCCTGTTTCCAGATGTGTCCTCGGTTCTCGCAGTCAGGGTGGCGTTCTGAACAGGCGAGAGCCCGGGGGGGTGAGGGCCTCTGCCTCGGGACGGAAGCATGCCGACAGGGGGCCAGGGGGATGGCGCAGCCGGGGGCCTCCTGAAAGGCTGGGTCTGGGGACGACCCCGGACTCACCGGGACAGGGAGGGACAGGAGCATGACGGGAAGAGGCTGGCTGAGAGCTCAGAAGGGCCCCTGGGCACCCCGACTCTTGAGTCCCGGGAGGACCCAGGACATCACAGGGTCTGGCAAGGGCGCCCCGGCTCATGGCCACGCAGGAAGCCTGGGCCCAGCCGGGCAGAGCAGGGCAGCTCGCTCCGCGGGCAGACGCGGGTGTCGCTGCTGGCCGGCCTGTGACCCTCTCTGCAGCAGCCTTGGAACCAACTGTGTCCTCGGGGGGCGGTGGGGGGCAGTGGGCAGCGTGGTGGAACCCTTCCTTCGGCAGAGCACCCCCCGGGCTGTGAGCCGGCCAGGCCCCTCACTGAGGGAAACGCTGCTGGAGCCCCCTCGGCCCGGGCCAAGCGAGCCGACGCCCAGAGCAGCTGTGAGGGGCAGCGAGGGCCTGCCGCCCGGAGTTGCATAGTTGATCAGCCCTGGAGGGCCTGGCTGTTTGTTGTTTGTTTTTGTTTTAGTGTTTTATGTGACAGGTGAGAAAGGTAGCGTTTCTTGTGGCTAAAGTGAAACTGAAAACCCAGGTGCCCAGGGCTACAGGAAGTCACTTCCATCGTAGATCACCGGCCGGTCAACCGTCAAGTGATAAAACACTTTCTTGGAGACAAACCTGGGGGAACAGAAATGGAAAAGGGGGGAGTTACCCGGAGCGCGAGAGGCCGAGGCTGCAGTGGCCCGGGCCCCTCACCCCATTTCCTGCCTGTCCAGCCCAGTCCTCTTCCTGCAGAGGAGCAGGGGTCTGGGGACATCACCACGGGCTCTCCTGGGGCTGGGGTGCGGAAACGCCCATTTGGCACCGCGCTGTGCGCTGCTCCCTCTTGCTCTGCCGCTCTGAAAAGGCCCCGGGGTGGGGTGGGGGGCGCTGGAGGCCTGGGGGTCCGTCCTCCACAGCGGGAGCGGAGGGCGGGCGGAGCAGGGGTTCAGAGGTGAGGGGGGTATGGACTCCATGCTGACCGGGCGTCCGAGTCTGCCTGGCCACCCAGCTCTGCAAACGGACTCAACAGGCGAAGGCCAGAGCTGGCCACGGCACCACCGGCACCTCTAATTTCAACCGGGGGCCGATGTGGGGCTCGGAGCTGCACTCTGCCCCCAACCTGCCCCTTCTCGGCCCGTCAGCTGCCAGTGGGGCTCAGGGACACAGCGACAAGGCTCACGGTCCCCGCAGAGGGAACGGGGGCTCCAGGCAGGCCCACAGAGGGAAGAGCGGAGCCTGGGCCTGGCTGACCCCTGCCCTCTGAGGGGCCACAGGACACGCTGGACCTGTGCCCTTGAGTCCTGCTGACTCAAGGCGTGTTCCTGTTCATGGGGGCGTGTAGGAGCCGGGCAGGGCGGGAGTCTCGCCCTCCCAACCTCCCTGTGGGTGGACGCCTTTGGCCACAGCCCCGGGAGTTCACGGCCTGGTGGCAGTGCGGGGATAGCACAGCCTCCTCACCTCGGGTGTCCTACAGAGTCCTTCTGCTGAAAGCCCCAGGGGACTGGCAAGGGTGCCCATGTGGGGGGAGGTGGCCGCTAGCTTGGGGCACCGCTCAGAGATGCGGCTGGGTGCCGGTGAGGCAGGGCGGAAGACATCAAAGGGACAGGTGCCAGTAACCTCAAGGGTCCCCTGTCTCGTGTCCCCGGGAGCCCCGGCTGATGGTAGGTGCACACCCAACACCGCCTCTCCCCGACTTCCTCCCCTGGCCGCCCCTCCAGCGGCCCGGCGTGGTGTCCCCTCCTTCCTGCCCTCCCGCCCCCGAGCCCTCCGCTGCTGGGCCGTCCCGGCGCTCTGACAGTGCCACCTGGAGCCAGTGCACGTTGCTGCTGCCGCTCGCTGACAGGGAGGGCGGGGAGCTCACCTCGCAGGCCTGGTCCTGCCTGCCTCTGGCTTTAGCCTTCCTTCTTTTAGTCCCCGCTCTCTCATGCACCAGCCTGTCCGCCTGCCCACCCCCGGCCCTCCCCATCGGACCCTGCCACTGCGTGTACGGGCCTTTCTCTGGGCAGGACAGTGGGAGCCCGGGCATCGGAGAGGCAGGGGAGTATGCGGGCGGAGTCCGGAGTCCGGAGCTGGGTCGCCTGTGCTCAGATCCGGCTCCGGCACTGGGTGTGCGGCTTGGGAGAGCCAAGCGTTGGCCCCTCCGGGCGTCCGTGCCTTGGCAGTAACACGAGGAGAAAGACGGTCCCCACTGCAGGGGGCGCCGTGGGGCTTAAGCGACTTAGTGAGTGCGGAGGGCTGGGGACACGGCTGGCACGCACTGAGCCCGCAAGGGTCAGCTTGCGCGTGTGCTCTAAGGCGGGTAGCAGACACTGGAACCCCACAGTGCCGGGGTCTGCAGTCAGAGACCCCTCGTAATAAACTGATGATAATTAAGTCATCTATTTGTAATGCCGCCTCTGTCCCCGGACCAGCGGTGGGCGGCCGGGACGCTGCCCAGCGAGGGGCCCCGCCCTACCTGGAGAAGGTGTTGTCGAAGACGAGCAGGTAGACGCCCGGCGCGCGGACCTTGAGCCGGCCCCGGACACTCTCCTTGTGGGAGCCGCAGCGGGTCGCGGGGATGAGGACCTGGGGGGTGAGGCGGGCGGGAAAAGGCGTCACGGAGGCTGACAGGGCCCCGGGATCCTCTGGGGGGGGGGGGGCTTTACTCTGGGGGAGGAGACGGAGGCCCAGGGAGGCCGAGTGCCCTGTCTGGGGCAACGCTGACCTGGGCTGGGGCTGGGGCCAGCCCCCGGGAGGGCTGGGGTGCCTGGGTTTGTCGGCAGCTTGCAGTGGGGGTAGGTACAAGTTTCACCCAGAATCAGTAACTAGTCGCCACCCCGCAAAAGTGGTCCCCCTGCCTCTGTAACCGTGGCCAGTGCCGGAACGCCCTGCCGGCTGGAGCACCGGTATCTTTGCGGCTTTAGGAAGCTGGGGCTTCCTCTAGGTAAAACCCATCTGCCTGGCTGCTTCCTGCTGGCCCCCGTTTTATACAACACAACAGCTTCCGAAGCACTGACGTGGCGTGACGAAGGACGGCGATCTCGGGGAGAACCGGCGAGGCTGACGGCTGCCGCAGCTCGCACCGCTCTGAGGGGCGGAGGGAACGGCCACCAGACGGGACACACGGGGACAAACGGGAAACCGCTACGTCAAACCTCGCCACCCCAATGATCACACTGAACGTGAACAGTCTGAACGTGCCAATGGCAAAGCGGAGCTCACCAGGCTGGAGAAAAGCGAGACCCGTGCCCAGCGTACCCTTGAAAAGTGCAGTTTAAGTGTGAAGGCACAGATAGGTTCGAAGTACAGGGATACAAAACGATGTCCATGCTACCGCTAGTCGGAAGAAGGCTGGATCGACCACGTTAGTATCAAAGGAAATATCCCATCAAAGAATACGACCCGGGGTAGCTTCGTAATGACGAAGATGTCGGTTCTCCGAGAGGACAGCAGTCCTACACATTTACGCTCCTGGTGACAGAGCTCCGAAACACACGAAGAGAAAATGGCTACACGGAGAAAAGGAACACAGTCACAGCTGCAGCTGGGTGTTTCAGCATCTCCCAGCGGCTGAGGGAACAGCAGACAGGAACTCGCAAGGAAGCGGAAGGACGTGAGCCCCCGCACCAGCCAGCCCGCTCCGGTCGGCAGTCGCGGGGCACCGCGTCCGACTGCCGCAGAGCACGCAGGCGCCTCCAAGGCACGTGGGCCCCGCACCAGGCAGCTCACACTCTGCCAGGCTGTTCGAGGCAACGGCGGCGCACGTTTCAGAGGATTCAAGCTGCACCCAGTGTGTCTTCCAACGATGGAATTAAAGTAAAAATAAAGAGCGGGGCTCTACAATATCCTCACGGATTTGGAAACTAAATCACGCCCTTCTAAATAACACGGGTGAAGAGGAACCCAAAGGGGGGTCCCAAAGGCACGGGAGGGAGAGCGCGAGTGCACAGGGTGCGCCCCTGACCCCGCAGCGCGCCCGCTCTGGCTGGGAGCTGGAGGCGGTGCGGGAGGAGCACGGGCCCAAGACACACCTGGAGGGCCCAGGAGGCATGGGGACCTGCTGTGCGTGAGCTCCGTGGCAGCCACTCCTGCACGTTATCTCCTCCAGCCCGGTGACGCCCGATGACATGCTAATTCCCCCGGGGCTGAGGGTCCTGGGAGCGGAGCGGCCCGTGAGCTCAGGCTTCTGGGCCCGGCTGGACACTCTCCGGCGGCACGGGCAGGAGGGGCTGCTGGGGAGCAGGGCACCTCCTGCCTGCAGCCACTGCCCTGGTTCCGAAGCAGCACCCAGGAGCCCGTTAACTCGGGTCCTCTGGAGAGGCTGTGTTTGGAACAATACTCTTGGTTTCTTCCAAACATCCTATCCTATAGGGTTTTCGGGCTTTTCAGCTGCTGTTTTCCTACCACAGTCAAATGTGTAAAGTTCTCTCATTATTTTAAATAAAAAACCAGAAGTGTCCAGGGGACACTAATAACTCTGGTGTCCAGAGCTTGTGCCACTGAGGTGACGGGAAGGTGACCGACAGGCACCTGAGAGACTGGACTCCGCGGGCTCCCTGGGGACCTCTCCCCGGGGCCTCCGTGCCCGAGTGGCCGTGCCCTGACTCACGCCGCGTGTCTGCACAACAGTCCACGTGGCTTCACTGATCTCCCCTCGGGCTCCAGCGGCTCGGGCTGCAGGTACAAAGCACGGGTTCTGTGCTGCATGGGACCAGCCAGTCACCAAGGCCACATCCTGCTGGCTTCAGTGCACGTGCCATGCCCAGAGCAGGCGAGTCCACAATGACAGAATGTAGGTTGGTGGTTGCTCATGGGCTGGGGGTGGGGGTGGGGAGGAGACTGCTAATGGCTCCGAGGTTCTGGGGGGATGAGGAAAATGACCTAAGGGTACATGGTGGGGACAGCTGCACAACTCCGTGAGCGTGCTAAAAGTAGCAATGCCTTGTACGTTTTAGATGGCTGAACTACGGCTCAGTGAAGCTATTTACAAAGTAAAAAGCTGAGGGTCCTTGCTCCCAGTCCTGCTTCCTCCCCACCCCTCTGTGGCCCCAGGCAGCCACTGAGTTTCTCCGGCCAACACGGGTCCCCAGGCCAGACAGAGCAGGGCCCGTGTTCTGCGCACGGGTGGCCTCAGGTCGCTGTTGTGCTGTTTCTTCTATCAGGTGCCTTCCTGACCGCACAGTCTCTAAGCTTGGGGTCAGGCCCGGAGGAAGGCACCCTGGCGGGAGGGTGGCCGGGGGCCAGTGTCTGACAGGTGCCGCCAGAAATGAAATGGGCTGGCCTTCTGCTGTGCTGCGCCCCTGCCCGGACGCTTCCCTAACCCAGGTCCCCACACGCGTCTCCCGCTTTGGCCCAGGGGTCTCCCGCCCTGCTCGCCGGCCGGCCCCCGGGCCAGGCTGACCGTGACACTCACCGCGTGGGATCACAGCTGCCTACTTACGCGGGTCTCTGGTTATATCATGAGCTCCTCCAGGGCAGGCCCCACGTTCCCCCTTCTCTCTCCGTCCCCAGGGGGCGCTACGGAGCCCAGAGCACAGCAGAGGCTCAGGGAACGGCTGGGAACAGACTGCGGGTCCGCAGCACAGTTCCCGAGTCTGCGCCTCCGTCATCACCGCATCCCGCGGTTTCTGGTAAGACCCGGGCTGGTCAGGGGCTCACATGGGAAGTCACCAGGACAGAGGGGTGTTGGAAATAGGTTTCCCGGGCTGGCATGGTTGGGCACTTCAGGCAGGAATAACTGTCTCCGCCCACAGCTGGCTGGGGACAGTGGCCTGTGGCGGCAGAGGAGCCTCTGAACACCTGGCAGCCCACTCACCCTGTAGATGGGCTCCTTCTGCCCCCTGGCGTCCACTGTGGGGAAGGCAACGTGGTCATGACCGACCCCCCCCAAGTCTTGGCTCCCGGGGCCATGAGGATTTGGCAGGTGAGTGACTGAGCAAGGGGAACGACCCACGGCTCAGCCACGTGTGGGCAGGCGGAATGGCAAAGGCCAGGACACCTGCTCTACTCACCCCCTCCACCCCACCCGCCCTGCTGGCCACGGACCCCTCCAGTGTCTAATCTAGTGGACGCAGCGCTGGGTGTCTGGTGGGCCTTGGGAACAGCAGGGCGAGCAGCAGAGGCACCGGCGAGAGTTCCTGGCAGTGCGGCGGGGTCAGAGCAGGGCCAACAGGCTCACGCCGTCACTGATGCTCCCCTCAGGGCCCCGGTGAGTCACTCCGTGTCTCAGTCTCCTCATCTGCAAGCTGGACAAAGACCTGCCCACAGAGTGACATCACCCCCTCATGCGCAACAGCAGGTGACCCTCAGTCCACTCTCAGGCCTCATGCCCGAGGGGCTCGCGGCCAGGGGTTCCCAGCCCCTCAGGAAGGAAGGGCCCCGAAGCCAGGTAGGTAGGTGGCGCTGCTGTCAGCCCCGGAAAGGACGAGAGGGCAGAGCAGTGTTCGGGTAAGAAGGAACGTGAGACTCAGGGAGGCTAGGATGGCATCTCAGGAGTGACTCAAAGAGCACAGAAATGACCAGCAACGTCCGCATGAGCCGGGCAGGGACGGCGGGAGGGCGGGCCCAGACGTTCCTCCGCGGGGCGCAGGGCTCAGGAGCAGCGGCCTGGTGCGCCTTCAGCTCGGGGCCTTCCCACCCTCCCCGGAGCCCCTCAGGCACCCGTGGGCCACGAGCACGAGGGTAAATGGATATTACCTTGTTTCACACGATCTCAAATTGCATCCCGCTATCCTGACTCCTGTCTTTTTGGAAAATGGTGATTCGGGCAGCTACCTTAAGGGCCTGGGCTCTTCCCTAAGCTCCTGTCTGGTGTCTGACTGTTCTCACTGTCCCCTCCACTCAGTGACTCAAATGGAGCTCGGGTGTTCACCCACACGGGCTCTCACCCACTGTCCCCCGCACCCTCTCTGTCCCTGCGGAGGAGCAGGCGTGGATTCTGCTGCCCTTCCTCACCCCACACTCAATCAGCCACCATGGTCCCGTTCGCCCACCTCTGCTCTGGATTCCGCCCGACCCGTGCACAGTGACTTCCTCCCCTCACCCCAGCCCGTGGTTCCCATCCTTGGCTGCCCCCTGGGTCGCCCAGGGGTGTCTGCGCCCCCCCACCCCCACCCTGAGGTTCTGATTCAGTGGTCTGGGGTGTAGCACGCCTGTAGTCCCAGCTGCTCGGGAGGCTGAGGCAGGAGGGACGCGTGAGCCCAGGCATGCTGAGCTGTGGTGTGCGCTATGCGGATCGGTGTCCACACTAAGTTCGGCATCAATACGGTGACTTCCTGGGAGCGGGGGGGCCACCAGGCTGCCTAAGGAGGGGTGAACCGGCTCAGGTTGGAAAGGAAAACTCCCCAGGAGCTCTCCTACCCTTGTTTCTCTCAGCTGGGGCCCAGAACATTTCAAGAGAGGCCTGCCCGGCAGAAGACAGACCAGCCCCAGCCCACGGCGGGAAGGGCCTGCCCAGGCGTCCTGGCGTGCCAGCAGGGCCCGCCGGCAGGGAGCTGGCCTCACCTTGCACTGTTCCAGCGGTGCGTCCTCGGCCTCCTGGAAGACCACGCTGAAGGAGATGCTCTTGGGGTCGGAGGAGAAGACCCAGCTGATGGTGAGGCCCGCCTCGGCCACGGTGATGGGGATGAGGCTGTAGGTGCTGGACCGCACGAACAGCTCCCGGCTGCCCTCCCCGAAGCTGGTGATCTCTTCCACTGTGAAGGGCACTTTTATCCTAAACACAAACAAACAAACAAACGAATGCAGGGAGGGACCTGATTGAAGTAGGTAAAAGCTGCCCTGGCGGGTGAGGCTGGCTGTGGCTCCTAGGCGGCCAGAAACCCGAAGCTCTCGGGAGGATAAGCTCTGGGTGTCCTTGACCATGGGCTTAATACGGAGAGAGGAAGTTTAAAGTGAAACTCACGCCAACAGGCATCTTCCGAGCACTTACTACGCACCTGCCATGGTACTAGGCACCGGGGACACACTGGTAACAAACACAGACAATCCCCGCCGGTGCAGGCCCGCGGTGCTACTGAGAGCTCAGCCAGAGCCCTCCTGTGCCCTCCGGGGCGGGAGGCCAGTGCTGAGGCCCCGCCCTCTGCAGCCCGCCCTCAGCTGCCCTGCCCCCATTAGCTGCCCCCTGCTCCCTCCCATTCCCTGTCGCCCCCTATCTAACCACCACCAGCAGAAAGCACACCCCTCATCAGGAACCTCCGAGTGGACACCCTGACTTTTCTTACATGCAAATACCCCAGATTTTCTTTTTTTTTCAATTGAAAAAAATTTTTCTCCAATTCTAGTTTGCATTTATTTTGTATTAGTTACAGTTGTACAGCACAGTGGTGAGACAATCACATACTTTACGGAGTGCTCCCCCTGATATTTCTAATACACACCCAGCCCCATGCAGTTATTATATTATTTTTAAAAGACTTTATTTACTTATTTTTAGAGAGAGGGGGAGAGAGGAAGAAGGAGAGGAAGAGAAACATCAATGTGAGAGAGAGACACTGACCAGCTGCCTCTCACACACTCCCTGACTGGGGACCAAACCTGCAACCCAGGCACGTGCCCTGACCGGATCAAACCAGCAAACCTTTGCTTTGGGGGACGACGCCCAAGCAGCCAAGCCACACTGGTCAGGGAAGTTATTACATTACCACTGAATGCACCCCCTGTGCTGTTCTTTACATTCCTGTGACTGCTTTGTAACTGCCCATTTGCACCCAATCCCTCCACCTTTCTCCCAGTCCCCCAAACCCCCAAACCCCCAAACCCCCTCTCCGCTGGCAACTGTCAGTCTGTTCCCTGTATCGGAATCTGTTTCCACACTGACTGTTTATACTGTTCTCTAGATTCCCCGTGTAAGTGAAAGCATGTGGCACTTGTCTTTCTCCGACTGACATTATTTCACTCAGCATAATACTCTCTGGGTCCATCAACACTGTCGCAACTGCGAAGACCTCATTGCTTTTACGCATGAGCAGTGTTCCGTTTTCTAACCTGCTCGTCTGCTGCTGGGCACTCGGGCTGCTTCCAGAGCTTGGCGATCGTAAATAACGCTGCTATGAACAGAGGGGTGCATATACTTTTATTCTTCCAAATCGACATTTTGGGTTCCTTTGCACATATCCCCAGAGGTGGAATCACTGGGTCATGTAACGCAGTTCCATTCTTACTTTTTGAGGTGACTCCATACCGTTTCCCACGGCGGCCACACCAGTCTGCGTCCCCACCAACAGTGCGCGAGGGCTCCCCTGTCTCCGCACCCTCGCCCGTCATCGCATTGATGGCAGGTGTGAGGGGAAACCTTGTCGTGGTTTGGATTTCCATTTCTCTGATGACTAGCAATGCTGAGCATCTTTTCATGGATCTGTGGGCCATCTCTATGTCCTCTGTGGAAGCGTCTATTCGGGTCTTTTGCCCATTTTTAAATTGGGTTGTTTTTTGGTGTTGAGTTGACTAAGTTCTTCATCAATTTTGGTTATTAACCCCCTATCTGATGTATCATTGGAGAATACATTCTCCCACTCACTGGGTTGTCTTTTCACTTTGTTACAGGTTTTCTTAGCTGTGTAAAAACCTTTCAGCCTGATGTGGTCCCATTTGTTTTTTTGCTTCCCCTGCCTGAGGAGACACAAAATATTAGTAAGAAAAATATCCTAGATTTTACTGCCTATATTTTCTTCTAGGATTTTTTGTGGTGTTGAGTCTTATATTTAAGTCTTTGTTCCATGCTGTGTTTATTCTTGTGTGTGGTGTGAGAAGGTGATCTAGTTTCATTTTTGTTTGCATGTATCTGTCCAATTTTCCCAATACCGGTTACTGAATAAACTATTTTTATCCCATCTTATGTTCTTGCCTCCTCTGTCCAATATTAATTGACCATGTAAGTATGGGTTTATTTCAGAGCTCTCTGTTCTGTTGCACTGACCTATACATTTGTTTCTATGGAGTATCATGCTGTTTTGACTACTACAGCCTTACAGTATAGTTTGATATCAGGTAGCATGAACTCCTCCAACTTTGTTCTTCTTTCTCCAGATTGCTGTGGCTATTTGGGGTCTTTCGTGGATCCACATAAATATTTGGATTATTTGTTCTAATTCTGTGAAATACACCCCTGGTGTCTTGACAGGAATTGTCCAGAGTCTATAGGTTGCTTTGGAGCGTATGGACAGTTTAACAATGTTAATTATTTCTGTCTGAGAACACAGTATGTGCTTCCATTTATTTGTATCTGCTTCAATTTCTTTCTTCAGTGTCTTATAATTCTCTGAGGACAGGTCTTTTGCCTCCTTGGTTAAATCTATTCCTAGGTATTTAAATTTTTGATGCAACTGTAAATGGGATTTTTTTTTAATTTCCCTTTCTAATAGTTCATTATTGGTATATAAAAATGCAACCAACTTCTGGAGATTTATTTTGCATCCTGCTACTTTACTGAATTTATTAGTTCCAGTAATTTCTTGGTGGAATCTGTGGGGTTCTCTATGTACAGTATCATGTAATCTGCAAATAGTAAGTTTTACTTTTTCCATTCTAATTTGAATGCCTTTTATTTCTTCTTCTTATCTGACTGCTGTGGCTAGGCCTTCGCTACTATGTTGAATAAGAGTGGTGGAAGTGGAAATCCCTGTCTTGTTCCTGATCTTAAGGGAAATGCTTTTATTGGGTTGGCCAAAAAGTTCATTTAGTTTTTTCCGTATGATGGCTTTAGTAGTACTTAGTTGTCTTTAACTTTATTTGAAACGGTTTTGTTAGATTGTATTGTGACAGCTGTCATATCAGCATGCATTTAAAAAAATTATCAAAATTGGTGAATTTAGATGTAGCCATTTTAATATTGAAGATGGAAAAAGCTATGCAACTTTTTCAATGTATTATGCTTTATTATTTCAAGGAAGGTAAAAATGCAAATGAAATGCAAAAATAGATTTGTGCAGTGTATGGAGAAAGTGCTATGACTGATCAAACGTGTCAAAAGTGGCTTGCAAAGTTTCTTGTTACTATTGACATTTTTGCCAAATAATTCTTTGCTCTGGGGCTGTCTCCTGCACCGGAAGATGCTGAGCAGCGCCCCTGGCCTCTGCCCACTGGAAGCCAATAGCAGGAGAGAGTCCACACACTCCAAATATCCAGATCAATAAAGTTATCGGTGAAAATGAGAAACGTGTCTTTTATTTTACAGAACTGAAGTCCACTAAGTCCACTAAATGGACTTTTTGGCCAACCCAACAGTCTTCCCCCAGTGAGTATGATGTTAGCGTTGCCATATACACCTTTGACATGTTGAGATATGTTCCCTCCATTCCCACTTCGACAGGTTTTATCATGAATGGGTGCTGGATTTTGTCAAAAGCTTTTCCTGGCCCTGGCCAGCACAACTCGGTTGGTTGAGCATCATCCCGCAAAGCTAAAGGTCGCCGGTTCGATTCGTCGTCAGGGCACGTGCCTGGGTAGCAGGCCAAGTCCCCGGATGGGGGCATGCGAGAGGCAGCCGAGGGATATTTCTCTCACAGGTCAGTGTTTCTCTCCCTCTCCTTCTCCCTCCCTTCCTCTCTCAAAATAAATAAATATTTTTAAAAAGCGCCTTTTCTGCTTCTACTGATATGATCACATGATTTTTACTTCTCATTTTGTTTATGTCGTGTATCATGTTAACTGACCTGTGGACATTATAATAACCGTGTGATCCAGGAATAAACGCTACTCCATCGTGGTGTACAATCTTTTTAACGTACTGCTGGATTCACTTTGCTACAATTTTGTTGGGGATTTTTGCATCTATGTCCATCAGGGATATTGGCCTATACTTTTCTGGGTTTTTATTGTCTTTACCTGGACTTGGAATTAGGATAACGCTGGCCTTGCACAATGAGACAGGTAGTCTTCCCTCCTCTTCAATTTTTTGAAATAGCTTGAGAAGGAGAGGTGTTATTTTTTTTTTGAAATGCTTGGTAAAATTCACACATGAAGCCATCTGATTCGGGGCTTTTGTGTGGGTCCTCCTGTGAGTCCTCCTGTGAACAGTGAGTGTAAGTGCTATTTGCCCACTGGATCACGGGGCCGAGCCCCAGGCCGGCCGACTAGGAGGACCAGGCCCACAGAGTGTGAGCAGCCCAGCAAGTGCAGACCGCAGGGCGCGGAGCCACCTCGGTGAGGCCCAGTGCCGGCCGCGAGCTCCCTCTGGAGGTGCCACTGTGACACCCCTCGATCCTGCTCTGATGCTGCCCGAACTCACCGCTGGGTGTGTCGGTTCTGGGTCTCTTGGGAGGGACTCTGGTGCTGACAGATGTCAGACGCTGCCTGTGACTGGCCTGGGCACCCTGCTTGGAGCTACGAAAACAGCCCACGGGCTGGGGCTGCCTCTGCTGGGCCTGGGCATGTGCAGGAAGGACCAGGCTGTGCGCCGGGGCCGGGGGCAGGTCCGTGAAGTCCCGGGCACTCTGGGATCTGCCTCTGCCTTCTGGCTGCCTGTTTCTGGTGATCCTCAGGTTTCAGGAGGCAGGTTCTCAGTGAGCCACCAGAGGGGTGAGCGGTGATTACCAGACTGGCGGCAGTGCTGGGTCTGAGGCCAACGTCCCAGGGCACACCAAGGCTAGCCGCCACCTGCCAGGCACCCGTCAACCTCTGCGGTGGTGCGGGGTCTCAGGGAGTCATCAGAGCGAGGCCATCAGAGTTAACCAGGCCCAAACAGACCAAGATCTGGCTGTGCAAAGGGAGGGCTCCGCACCAGTTAGGCATATAAGGAAAAACGGACCATGTCCTAGAATTACGCAACTGAGTCTGTCCAGGAGTCTTCCTCTCCGGTGAGGGGGAGGCTGGGGGGACGGCGAGGAGGAGTTACCTCTGTCCCGGAGCCACACAACTCCCAATCAGATGACTCCTCTGCTCTGGGCACCTCTGCTGTGTCCCCAGCAGAGGTCCCCAGGGAGTGACCACACCCAACAGGGAGTGTGCAAGGCGGGGCTGTTTCCACCCCGGGGCTGTGGTCCCAGGGGAGTGCCCCACTCTGGACAGACAGCGCTGCGGTGCGACAGAGGGACTCAGCACGGGGACCCTGGCGGCTGGCCCTCAGCTCGCTCCCTTGACCCTCGAACCCAGGCTCTCTCCCAGGACCAGCTCCTCCGCCACGCCTCCGTCGGAGCCCAGGGTAAGTGGCTGCGGACGAGACTCAGTGCGCTGGGCCTTCGAGAGGGCGCCCGGGTTCCTAGCAGAAGCCTGTCTCTGCCTGGCGGGCAGAGTCCCCACTGACTTCCACAGCCAGATGCCATGTGGGCACCTCTCCCGGCTCTGCTGCTCTGCTGCTCTGGGCTGGCAGCCCGGAGTAGGGTAGAGACCCCTCACTCCTCAGGGGGCCTCTGCAGCTCAGACATCCCTCTGCAGGGAAGGGCCAGCCCTCTCCCGGTCTCTGCGCCGTCAGTCTTGACGGGCTTGGTTTCAAGACTTTTGCTAAGCCAGTCGCTGGTGGATTATTCAGGCTGAGTGTTCCGTATTTTAGTTACAATTCCAGTTTGGGCCTAGGAGCACGTGAGTGCGGTTTCCACCCGCCCCACTGCCACGTTGGACCCCTCCCCAGACTCTCTTTCATGAGCGCTCGGGGTGGAAGGCTTCTTGGGGCTGTGTTCCTCCCGGGTCTAACCCCCAAGAGGTGGGGAACGGCCTCTTCCGGGAGGGCCCTCTGTGTACGGGCCCTCTGCGGGACCCAGACGCGACGGGATGACTGAGGCGTGGAGCCAGAGGGACCTGGGCCTGGCACCTGCCTCGCTCTCACTGCCACAGGGCGGACCCTCGCTCGGGCCCCGTGGTCTCGTTCTCACACGGAGACTAGCACGCCTGCCCCCTGACTGGTGTGGAACAAGGAGGATGAACTTAAGGCCGGTGGGGGGGTCTCTGTGACTTGGCCTGAGACTCGGCCTGAGTGACGGAGTGGCCGGGCGACTCCAGAGGCAGCGCACCAGCTGGGGGCTGCCCCCGGGTGGTGCGGGATGGGGCCAGTCGTCGCGGCTCCAGGGGGCCCTTCCTGGAGACGTCTTTCACCGTCCTCCTGACCTGGGGGTGGAAACTACAGACGGAGAGATCGGTAACTTGCCCGCGGCTGTGAGGCAGCTGGTGGCGCCTGAGGCCTGTCTGTCTGTCTGCGCAGCTGCAGGGAGGGACAGAAACACTCCCCAGAGCTATGCTGATGAGAGGACTGACTAATCACTGATTTCAAAACCCAAAGGCTCTAAAGAACAGCTCTGACCAAAGTCATTCACCTTTGTGAAAACTTAATTCCACAAAACATTTTTCCATGTGTTAAGCTTTATTTCTAATTATGGGCTGCCTCTCGCACACCCTCAACCGCGGACCCGGCCCACAGCCCAGGCATGTGCCCTGACCAGGAATCGAACCGGTGGCCTTTTGATTCACAGGCTGGCGCTCAATCCCCTGAACCACATGAGTTGGGGCATTATTTCTAACTATGTGTGAAAGGCCTTTTCCAACGTTTACATTTGGCAGAGAAGCTAGAGAGGCTCGCCGTGGGAAAGAGGTCTTGGAATGTGGGATGTTAGTGCGTCACTGTGCACGCGGTCACTGGTTGGCGGGATGCCCCGCTCAGGCTGGGTCACCTTGTAATTTCACGTTCCAGAATCTTCCCCTTGCATCATTACTTGGGTTGAGCCTTTAGTCTTTTTGACCTTTCTAGACACCGTATTTTCAGTAAAGAACAATACCCAGTCCCCCGCGAGGAGATGCTAATAACAACAAATCAGGGGTTTGCTACCACGGCTCCAATAATAATCTGAAACAAAAGCCAGCGCCCACAGTTCTCGCGCTGTAGATGCAGACACTGCTGGTCCCCCTCCTCTGCCCCCGACCCTCCCCAGCCACGCTCCCCAGCAGCCGGAGCGGCCTCTTCCAGCTGTAAACTGGAGGGAGTCGCCCTTCTGCTCCACACCTAACTCGGGGCCGCGTTCCCTCAGGTCAAAAACCAAAGTCCTTACCACGGCCAGCCGGGTCCGGAGTGATGCGCGGCTCCTCCGCGTCTCACCTGTTTGGGGTCGCTCTGTCGGAAACGGCAAACTCCCCCGCCGCCTACCCTGCTCTCTGTTTCCCTGCCAGGGCAAGCACTGCCCTCCAGCGCCGCGTGCACGACGCCCTTTCCCACGTTCACTGTGGGCCGAGCCTCCCCCCGACTCAGCTCTGAGCCTGAGGGCGGGGTCTGCTTCCATGTGCCTCACGGACGTGCTCTGAATCTAAGGGCTTCGGGCAGCAGCTGCACCCGGGAGGTGCGGGAGGAACACCGGGGACTGGGCGCCTGGGCCTGTTCGGCGACCGTTCGGCAGCTCTGCAGCCGCCGGACACAAACAGCGCTGGAGAAAAAGACTGCTCCGGGGAAATACTCACGCAATGCTAAGTTTAAAAGGACTGCAAGATGCAACGTAGATTATTTATGGTAAAAATCATGTATGTACTTATCTTTACTTTCCTGACTTTCTGCATTGAAGATGTGTTGCTTTCACGACAAGAAAAGAAAGTTATTTTCAAGAAGAGCAGACTGCAGGGCATGCCTGTGGGAGAGGGATGGACACCCAGGGGTGCGGGGAACTTCGGGGCGAGGGACCTGGGCTGTGTCTTCATCAAGACTGGTCCCTTGGGGCCGGTCAGCTCTCGTTCCTAGACCTCGGCTTCTCCTGGGCAGGGGTGGGGAGCAGGGCTGGCTGTGGCCCTGAGCAGGGTGACTGGTGATGACGCACCCTCCCGTTTGTCCAAGTCCAAGCGCTACACGCCGTGAAGGGGGTTCCACTGCATGTAAGTTATACGTTAAAAAACGTGTCACCTGGAAGCTACCACTGGTGCCGAGTCCGAGCCGCGGGGTGCCTTCCAGCCCCCACACCGGAAGGGCCGGCCCCTCTGCCCCAAACACCACCCTGGGGAGCAGTGCCCCGCGCCCGGCACTCACATCAGCTCTCCGGACCGCAGCAGGCGGATCTCCGCGTCCTGCCCCAGCAGCATGTCCTCGGAGTCCTCCGGGGTCAGCGAGCTGGACGTGGCGTCCCTGAAATGGCACGAACGAGAACGCAGGGTCACACACCCTTAGGTGCTCATCCTGGGAGTCACGAAGCCAACCTCAGACCTTGTGGGAAACCCTTCAGTCCTGGAGGCCGCGAGAGGGGCCTGGCACACTCTGTGGGCCGAGGGCCGCTGAACGGGGAAAGGACGCCAGGGCAGCAGTGACTCCCCTGATGACAGCTGCCCCAGGGGAAGACCCTACGATAAAGGACCGCCCCTCGTCCCACCCCACAGGCTGCAGCCACGGGACGGGGCAGCGGTGGCACGGATCCCACCTTCTCAGCGCCAGGCCGCGACCAGACGAGCCTGCGCTGGTCCATCTCCAGGAACGAGACCGGCGCCCAGGGCTGATGGGGCCGACAGGAAGGCTGTGGGGCAGGGCCAGCCGTGAGGGCCACCTGGCCGCAGGGACATCTGTGGTTCCCAAAGTGTGTCTGGCGGGACGCGGGTGCCAGGGGAGGGGGGCAGCTCCCACTCTCTCAGAAAGTCACAGCATACTTTATTTAGAGATTTTCTTTGGTTTAGAGGGGAGGGAGGGAGAAAGGGAGGGAGAGAAGCATCGATGTGTGAGAGATACATCGACCAGGTGCTTCTTGAACTCGCCCCCGACTGGGGACCAAACTTGCAACCCAGGCATATGCCCTGACCAGGAATCGAACCGGTGACCTTTTGCTTTGTGGGATGACGCCCAGTGGGGCCGTGCCGGTCAGGGCAGTCACAGCACACTTTAAACAGCCACAGTAAATTTGAGGCTCGGAGAAGCTCTGCATCAAAGTTATCCATTACATTTTAACTCTAGTGTTTCTGTATTTACTTGACCACGGAGTATCTTTAACCCCTATGGACAAGAACGACCTGGGGGCAGACCCGTGGAGGAGACCCTGAGTCGGTGACTTCCAGAGCGGGCCCGGACCCCTGCCAGCCCCGGCGGAGGCCCCGCAGGAGGCCCCGCAGGACGCAGCCGAGTGAGGCAGGCGGGGGCGGGGCTAGGAGCGAGCCCGGTGGGCCCTGCGGCCTGGAAGGCAATGCCTAGAGGCAGGTCCTTTTCAACAGATTTTCAGACTGTGAGTCACGACCCATTTAGGGGATTGTGAATCAACTGAAGTAAGTTATGGCCAACATTAAAGCACAGAAGAGAAATGATCCATGCACATTGAGAGGATCGGTATTGTTTTGCGAGGCTTTTGTTTTGACTTTACATCTCCCTACGCCCACACCTAGGCAGCAGGTGTGATGGAGGTGCCTTTCTGCCGTCCCTACGGGGCACCGCGGAGGATGTCTGAGTGATCCTCAGAAGGTGTCCAAGGATGAAAGACTGTGAGAAGGGACAAAAGCATGGCCACTAGGGGGCAGCCTGTCCCTACCAGACCCATTGCCTTCTGTCGTAGGGTGAGACAAACTCGCTGCCCACAGGTGACCTTCCTTCTCCCGTGGCCCCGGCCATGGGAGCTCACTGCCAGCTCTGGGGGCCTCGGATGGAGGACGGCGGAGTGTCACCCTTCCCTGCTGAGTTCCCGGATGGCCAGTCCGGCCGAACCTGTCCCGAGGCACGTACCTCTGCGTCATCCCGCTCCACCCTGAGGGCGGCCACCTGCCTTGCACACAGTCTCTGCTCGATAAATGTCTAGTCACGTGCCTCGGGCAAAGGCGGCTTTCCGTGTCAAATGCCTGCGACAGAGGACAGGGCCAAGGCTCCACTTTGGAACCAAGTCAGGGTGACGTGGTGACCACAGATGAGAGGGACACTGAGGCACTTTCCGGGAACATGGCCCAGGGCTCCAGCCCGCCCAGATGACGGATGAGGGACGGGTGGGGTTCCTGCAGCTTGGTCTCTGCAGCTGGAATCTATCGTACTTTCTTCTCACAAATCAAAGTGCCTCAGTCTCTTTTTGAATTGATTGCCGTACAACTTTAGTTCTACAGACCACCCAGGGAGTGGACTCCCTGCTTGATCAGATTGGCTGGGGAAGGGCCAGCTGCCTAGAAGGCCCCCGTGGCCGGAGCGTCCTGCTGACGCTCTCTCCTGGAGGCCACATATGCCCTCTGCCCTCTGCCCGGCTGAGCCCGGTGCAGCCGGGAGCGGCGCTGCGGCCAATGACACAGCCCGGCAGCCTCCTGTGCAGCCTCGAGCTGCGACCTGCCTCCTGTGGACTACAGAGTCTCTGGTTTACAAGTGCACTGTCCAGTACAGTAGCCGCTGGCCTCATGTGGCTATTTAAGCTCAAATTTATCAAAATTAGAAAAAATATTTTGTTTCCTTCATTGCACCAGCTACACTTCGAGTGCTCAGTGGCCACACAGGCTGGCGGCCATCGCGCCGGGCAGCAGGGACGCAGGCCGTGCCCGTCACTGCAGAAGGCTCTGCCGACCAGCTCGGTCCGGGAGGCTGGGCCGAGTCATTTCATGTGTCGCCTTCACTATGGATCGGGGGTGTCCTTTTACTTTACTATTAAAGTAAATTCCTAGTGCTTTCTCTTTTAGTTACCGGTTTTCTTTTGCCTGAAAAACAAGCAAAGAAGAGCACTTCTGGAACTCTGATTTTTGATTACTTGGTAACTATGGCCTGACACAACGCGCACACCAGCAAGCCCATCCTCACAACCAACACCAGGGGGCGCCGCCGAGCAAGCCACACCCAACTCCCTTGCTGCTGCCTTCTGGTGAGGGGCTACTTTTCTGAGGATGATTTTGAACTCACCCTCCACAGGGTGGGTGGTAAGGGGTCACCTGCCGATGCCTTGCAGCTGGCCTCTCCTGCCGGCAGCAGTAACTGCCTCGTCCCCAGCCCTGACGGTTCTGGCCGGAGCACGCCAGGTGTTCGGGGTGAGCGAGCAGGTCAACACAGTCTGGCTTCGGAGGGAACTCTGCAGCAGGCGTGGCTGCCACTTCCCTTGTACTCTTCCCTCCGTTCTGCTTAGAAAATGTTTCAGTGTTCCGGGGGAAACCCAGCACACAGGGGTGGGTCTTTGCCTTTAGAGTTTTCTTTCAAAGAAAAGTGAACACCCTCGAAACAATGAACACCACAAACTGGCAGTTAACAGAAGGCACTTTGTGAAGTGGCTGACATAAAATTCTGGCCCCCAAGTGGTGAGTGGCTTCGTTCCTCCAATTCAGCTGCAAGTTTTTCGCTGGAGAATGTTCCATGGAGAACAGTTAGGACAAACGCCGCTACGTTCTCCCACGTACACACCCCCTCTCCGCCCCCCGCGCCGGAGCACACAGGGGTGGCGGGCAGCAGCTGGGGGCCTGCTCGTCCCCACGGATACCAGCGACGACCGAGGGAGGGGGGCACGGCCGAGCACGTGTCGGCAAGGCTCCGGCCTTTCAGCCCCCCCTCACAGACCCGTCCTAAACGACATGGTCCCTGGGGGGTGGGGGGAAGCTCATCTCCCAAAGCTCCCAGATTCTAAAATGACAGGCTGGCTGACTCCAACGGGCTGTCTTGCCCCAGAAGGCCTTCCTTTGGAAGGACAAGTGCTTTGGCCCACACCCCCTCCAGTGTTTGGCTTGGCTTGTCCGTTTGCTGGCCTGTCCTAGGTCTGCGACCCACCCGGCCGTCCCCCCGCCTGTCGGTCCAGGGGCACACAATCCACACCTCGTCAGGGTTCCCGCCCTTGGGGAACACTTCGTGTGTACCGGCTTGGGGGAAGAAACAGTCTGACCTACTTCATTGAAAAACGACTTGCAGGCGTGTTCTCGGGCCAGCAAGCTGACCTCTAACCTCTCTAACCTGCTTCCTCACCGGCAAGTGACTGGGACTGGACGGCCGCACACGGGAGCACCCAGGCCAGGGCCCACATCCTGGTGGGACTGGGCATTTAGTCTCCAGACCCTGGGGCTGCGTCTAGTCACTGGGCCCAAAGCCTGACACGCTGCCCTCAGGAAGAGCCACAGGAGAGGGTGTGTTCAGCAGGGGGAGCAAGAGGATGGCTGCTTCTGGGAAAAAAAGCAGCGGAGCCCATATCTCTACCTGGTATCCTTCCCACGGGGCGGGGGGGGGGGGGCCACAGGGGAACGTGACCCAGGCACCATTCCTCCAAGTCCTGCCTCCTGAGCGTTGTTACTTCCCAGAAGCGCCAGCATTTTCGGACCATGGAGACCAACTGGAGCAGACACTGTCAGGGTGCTCGCTATCCGGGGAGTTCCGGAGCGGAGAGGGCAGCCTCAGGAAACCAGCTGAGCCAGCACACGCCGGGCAGGTGAGTGCTGCCGGCCGCGGGGCCCCGGCGGCACGGGTTCGGGAGGCAGGGCAGCCTCAGACCACAGCCCGAGAGACATCGGCCCGTTGGCCTGGCAAGGACCGAGAGCTGGGTCTGCGCCTGGACGTGCCGGCTGCATGCACACGGGACTGTCATCGCAGGTACGGCCTGCACGCCCTCCCCTGTGACATGGGGACACCCACTCTGCAGGGCCGCTGTGCATCGGCGGCGGCTCTCCTGTCGGAGCTGCACGCACACACGCACGGCCCAGGCCGGAGCGTGGACTTCACGTCGGTCCAGATTCACACTGTTCCCAGGAGACGCGTGACTAGTGAGCGAAACGACCTGGAGGCACGGACGCCACCTTCAGTGGACCGCCCGAGCCAGGAGCACCTGCTGCTCCCCTTCGGCTTACAGTCACGCCTCTCTCAGTTCCCCACAGAGCAGCTGCCAGCCAGGGGGCAGGGAGTTCACAGTAACAGAACCACAGCTTCCTATCTTTGACCCGAAATTGCATGGGTGCAGGCTGGTCATGTGGATTCTGATCGAGCTGATGGGTTAGGTCTCTTCCAATCACCAAGAGTTAAAAGCTTTTCGGCGGAAACATGGACCACATCACAGAGGGGTAGAGGTAGCCCCTGCTGTGGAGCAGAGCTCATCTCTGGAACCATCTGACAAAACACCTCGGCTGGTGAGTCATTCCTCGTCGTCTTTATAGGTAAACGCCAGGGCCCCAGGTCCTGCTGAAAATGCACAGGCTTAGGAGCGTACCGCGCAGCTGCTCTGGGTTCGCGTTGCGTCTCCGCTGCGTGCCGCCGAGGGTTAGAGGGCCGTGGAGATGACTTGACGTGGTGCGGGACTCACAGTAAGTGCCTGCTGGCTCGTGGTTCTGGGGGGCGAAGACACAATCCCGGCGGGTGGAGAGTCACTGCCTGCCTGCTCACTGAATAACCTTTCTGGCTTTGTTTCTTTTGCGTTTGATGGCAGGCTGCTCTGTCAGAGTATGGTTTGCTTTCTTGTCACAATACAGCGCTGTAGAAATTTTGGAAAATGTAAGGGAAATAAGTGGCCCTACTTTCGCCAGCTGGAAGCGCACTGCTGATTAAAACCTGGTCCTTTTTCTGTTTGAAAAAATATAGTCACTGAATGTATGGCTGAGAGTTTGAGGGTCCACGACCCCCCAGATCTGCAGGGGTGTGTGTGCATGTTTCCAAAGGCAAGGTCTGCAGCTCACAGGACGCAGCTCCCAGAGGGGTTTATGATCAAAGGTTAAGAACCACAATCGATTTTATATTCCTTTTTCACCTGTTCATTGTAACAGGAACAGCTGATGTTCATTTTGTGCTTACATTCTTCTGAGCAATTTAAATGTATTACATTTTTCGAAGTATTAAAAGTCCTTCCTAAACACGAATTATATTTTTTCTGAATTCTAACTTATTTTTTTATGGTCAGACATTTACACTGTTTCCAAAGTTGCATATATTACTATTTTTAAAAAATGTTTGGAAGTCAATATGTAAGTTTGGTTAGAGGAGATAAATGCATGGTCTTCACGTTTCTAGCAAAGGAATTTTTAATGCGCTGTCTGCACAGAACACGCAGCCCCAGCCAGGTAACACACTACCAAAGTGCACGGACTGTCACGGATGTATCTGCTCGGGCCCTTTGGGGACTGCGTGATGCTAGTGCCAGGACCCAGCAACAGCCACGATAGGAGGATTCAAAAGAAAGCCGAGTGGTGGTGGAGATTTGACGTTACTCTTAAGAAAAGCAGAGCTTCCTGTTTCATGCTCTAAACAGTGAGGAAATTTTGGCCCCTCGTGAAGCAGTCACACACACACCCGTCGCCTGCCCTGCCTGCCCCCGGAGCCCAGGGAGCTGGCGGCGCCTGCCGCCTGCCGCCTGCCGCGGGCCGGTCACACTCCGAGAACGAGCGTCTGTGGTCCAGGGGCAGGGACTTTCTGCCGAGTCGCCTCGCCCTTCAAAGGCAAGGTCCTTCCTGGCAGAGACAGGCACTCTGTTCCCAGGAAAGACCGAGGGGCGGCACCAGGGCTGACGCGTTTCCACTCAGGGAGAGTCTCCGAGTGATCGGGGAGGACCGATGATGCCTCCTTTCACGGGCCCTTGTCTGGTCGGTCGGTATTTTGACTCTTCTGCCTCCTCCTTCCAACTTTGAAATGTGCGATAAATAATGTCTGTTTCAGTTAAAAAAAAACTAAACTCCTTGAGATACCAGCAGCCACAGCACTGGGTCCCCAGAAATGAGCCACTGTGTGTGGTGACACTAGGCCAGGGGCCCATGCCCACGCCACGGGCCACATCACCTCTACGTCCTGCCTGTGGTCCTCAGTAGAGTCACGGGTCAAAGAGAGAAGGGTCAAAGGGAAGGGCCAGCCCTGAAGGGCTGGGGCCCAAGGGGAGAAGGGCAGCTACCTGGGCTTTGCTATAAGCCTCACTGCAGGGCTGGCCCAGGCCTCTGGCCACCTGCCCAGCTGGCATCCCATTTTGACCAGGTCTTCCACCTGCTAAAGGAGGCCCCGCGGCCCAAACTGCCAGTCACGAAGGCTGAAGCCATGCTCCCTTCGGGGGGAACCACCTTTTAAGGGATGCCTGACGCCACGGCTGGTGCGGCTCAGTGGGGTGGGCATGGGCCTGCAGACTGAGAGGTCACTTGTTTCATTCCAGGTCAGGGCACAGGCCCGGGTTGCAGGCCAGGCCCCCGGATGGGGGCGCATAAGAAGCAACCAATCGATGTTTCTCTCCCTCTCCTCCTCTCTCTCTAAAAATAACTAAGTAAAATCTTAAAAAGAAAAAGATGCCTGGAGGCCAGGACGTCTTCAGGAAACAGGCTCCCATGGTGGCTCGTGGTGACTGACAGGCGGTGGGAGAGGACGCTGGGGAGGAGAACTCCCCAGGCCTCGGCCAGGGGTCAGCTCGGCTGGGCCCACGTGCTTTTCCGCGCCTCGATTTTCCGTCGGTTGTCTTTTAAAATGCATGCAATTGAGAGCAAGGACAGGAGGGACGGGCCACCCGGGCAGGGGAGTCCTGGCCACCCCCCATACTCCTCCTGGTCTCCGGGCTCCTTGACAGGGGACCCCCTGGAAGGGGAGTATAGGCCTTGGCCTTCACGAGCAGTTCGGGGTCTCACTTAAGAACAAACGGGGCGCAGGGCGGGCGGGCAAGGCTGCGAGGCGCCGGCAGGCGGAGACGGGCGCTGCCGCGCTGCTCCTCCGGAGGGCGCCGCCCCCTCACCACAGGCACCCCGTGGCCACAGAGTCGGCACGCGATTTCACGGAAGGTGCGTGGTCTCCCAGACGGCGGAGACCCTCAGAATTTTAGGGCTGGTGAAGAACTCCTTGTCCCATCGGGCAGTTTCCTGGTTGGACTCGCTGCCTCCCGTGTACTAGACGGCGCTGGTGGGGGGCCGAGCAGGGGTGGGTTTAGGAGGGGACCACCTGCCCCCTGAATGTGGGCAATGGCTGGTCCGGCGGAGGACAGGCAGCGGGGACCCTCAGCCCCGGATATAATCCCCGTGTTCTGACTCACAGGCGTTCGTCAGAGCAGACACCATGGCCGGCGACCACGACTACTACTACGAAGACCACGGGCTCTTCAACACCTCCGACGGCGGCAGCAGCAGCAGCGGCCAGGAGCACGAACGCTTCCTGCACTTCTGCGGGATCTTCCTGCCCTGCATGTACGTGGCAGTGTTCGTCTGCGGCCTGGTGGGGAACTCCCTCGTGCTGGTCATATACGCCTTCTACCAGAAGCTGAGGAACCTGACGGACGTGCTCCTGATGAACCTGCCCCTGGCCGACCTGGTGTTCGCCTGCACTCTGCCCTTCTGGGCCTACGCGAGCATCCACGGGTGGGTCTTCGGCAAGACCGCGTGCAAAGTCCTGCTGGGCATCTACACTTCGAACTTCTACACGTCCATGCTCATCCTCGTCTGCATCACCGTGGACCGCTTCGTGGCGGTGGTCCAGGCCACCAAGGCCTACAACGAGAAGGCGAAGCGGATGAGCCGGGCCAAGGCCATCTGCCTGTCCGCCTGGGCGGTCTCCCTGCTGGTCTCCTTGCCTCAGATCATCCACGGCGACGTCCGTGAGCTTGACAGGCCCGTCTGCAGCCCCCACAACGAGGAGATTCCCACCGTGGTTCTTGCCATCCAGATGACCGTGGGGTTCTTCCTGCCGCTGCCCGTCATGGTCGTCTGCTACTCGGTCATAATTAAGAACCTGCTTCACGCCCGAGGCTTCCACAAACACAAGTCTCTCAAGATCATCTTCCTGGTGGTGGCTCTGTTCCTGGTGACGCAGACGCCCTTCAACGTCGTGAAGATCATCCGCAGCCGGAGCTGGGAGTACCACAGCAGGACCAGCTTCCAGTACGCCGTCGTGGTGACCGAGGCCATCGCCTACCTGCGGGTCTGCCTCAACCCTGTGCTCTACGCCTTCGTGGGCCTGAAGTTTCAGAAGAACTTCTGGAAGCTCATGAAAGACACTGGCTGCCTCCCTTACCTGGGAGTCTCGAGGCAGCAGAATTTCTCAGAGAACACTTCCAAGACGGGCTCGACTTCCCACCACGCGGAGGCCACCAGCATGTTCCAGCTGTAGGCCCTGCGGGGCTCGGAGGGGAGGCCTGGGAGCCGGTGGGGGTGGGGCTGTGTCCCCGGGATGGGAAGATGAAGGCCGCGCTCGCAGGGTGTAGGTTTTCCCGGACACGTAACCGAATGCTACAGCTGGTGTGGAATGCTGCTTCTCAGGCACGAACACCCCTGTTCCCTCCTCGGACACCCAGGCCTGGAGCTCAAAGCGGGGTCTACAAACTGGAAGGAATCTCCCTCCTCCATCCCCAAGAGTCCTGACACCGAGGGGAATGACGCGTGACTCTAAAACCCTCCGGTCCCCCTTCCCAGAGCCTGGACTGGAGGCTGGAGAGGGGGGCGTGGCCAACGGAGCTGCAGACGGCAGGGGACACTCTGAGCTCCCACGCTCAGGAGGTTCTTCTGGCTCCTGGGAGGCGGGGGAGATGAAGGCAGCCGGGAAAACAGGCGCCGGCCCTCAGGGCTCAGGCCTCGGCCACCCCGCAAGTGATGTCAGGTTCTGCAGGGCCTGACTTTCACATAGGGAGGGAGGGGTTTTCATTTCCCCGTGACTGATCCTCGAGGGACTAGCACCAGGCACCACGACCGGGCCCAGACGAGTTGCCTGGCTGAGCTCTCCAGGGGTCCCCAGAAGGCCAGACAACTGTGCACGGCAGAGTTCAAGGCTACCGTGCGTCTGAGGAGTGTTTCTGGACTGGACTCTTCGGTGGGTCTGCTCATTTTAAAACTGAGTTATCCCACGCCTCTCCCACACATGCACGCACAAACCCTCTATGTATGCACGTACGTATGATTCTCACACACATATACCACAGAGCATATAATTTTCATGAATAAGAAATAAAGCCTTTTAAGTCTCCAAACTACTTTTATCCCTGAGGCACCCTCTACTTTAATGTGATATGTCTGGAATACATCAAAGAGGTTATCTGGGGGCTCAGGGCACAAGAAATAAGTTAAAAGGTGCAAACTTTCAGGGCGCCGCCCCCCCAAGGAAGTGGAACACAGCAGGGCACACAGCCAGCGCCTGCGCTGTGGTTCCCAGCCGCCCGCCAGACTGCGGGCGCCCTTGCTCGTCTCCGCGATGCGGCGACAGGACGAGGCAGAGCTTTAAATGTCAGACACCGGGGCGTGTTTATTAGATCCTATCTGCTCCACCGGCTTAAAGGGGTCTTTTCGGTTCATGGGGCACTCGTCACTCGCCAAACTCAGGACCAGCCGACAACAGGGGACGTGGGTCAGAACGGGCTGGACGGCGTGGTTTGGAGGTTTAAGACAGACCAGGGTTCAATCCCAGCGCTGTCCCCTAGGAGCTGGTAAGACCGACCCGGTAGTCTCGTCACCTCTTTCGTTTTGGTGAAACGGGGACAATGACACGACTCTGACCTCTCGGGGCTGGCGTGCAGACTCGAGGTGATGCACGCAGAACACTTAGCACAGTTTGGTCTCATGGGCGGGTGCTGGGGGTGGGGGTGGGGGGTCCAACGGCAGAAGTTATGGTTCTCTCTCACCAGACTGGCAAACCTATTTGGCCATCAGAAAAGATGAAACACTGCAATTTGAATGGATCTTGAGTATTACGCTAAGCGAAGCAAGTGAGGTGCAAAAGGACAAGGATCATGATTTCACTCATGACGTGGGATACAGAACAGAAAGCAACAAATGAACAAACGAAAGGAACACACAAGCCCTGGCTGGGTGGCACAGTTGGCTGGAGCGTCTTCCTGCACACCGAAAGGTCACAGGTTCGATCCCCAGTCAGGGTGCACAACTAGGCTGTGGTTAGAGTCTCCAGCTGGGGCACGCGCAGGAGGCAACTGATCGATGTTTCTCTCTCACACTGTTTTTTTTCTCTCTCTCCCCCTTCCTCTTTCTCTGAAATCAATAAATATATTCTCAGGTGAGGATTTAAAAAAGGAATAATAAAACATCCACTGACACACACAGCAGGATGGTGTTGGCAGAGGCTAAGGCGTGTGGGGAGGGCTTGAGGAGGGTACGGGGTCAAACACGTGCTGACGGAAGGAGACCAGACTCTGGGTGATGGGCGCACAGTGCAATACACAGATGACGTGCTGCAGAACCACATGCTGAAAACGCATAATCTCATAAACCCATGTCACTGGGTAAGTTTTCAAAACAAGAGCAGAGAACTAACAACACGACACGGAAGCCACCTGAGTTGGCGAGGCACGGCGGCGCACTTCCCCCCCCGGGTGGGGGGTGGGGGGGCGTGGCACGTGCACTCTGGTCGCCACACGCGGGTCGGGCCCTGCAGGGCCCACGTGACCCCGCCTACTGCGTCGGGAGCGTGCCCACCTGCACCCACGAGGAGGGTTACTGTACTGCACTCGGGCCCCGTGGACAACAGAGTCCACTGTCAAACAACAACATCTGCCCTCTTCCTGATCGCAAGGCTGACTTCTGTGTCCTGTGAGTTCGCGTCAGTGGGGGCGTTCCCGTCACCTCCCTTTGCGTGTTCGCCTGCACGTGGAGCACTTGTAACAGGGGGGGCCACCAGCCGACTCCCTGACAGGGGCCCAGCCCCGGAGGCAGAGGCCCTACCTGAGGACACACGGTAAGGAGTCGGGTGTCCGGGCCCTGCAGCCTCTCCGCAGGGTCCCACAGGGGACGCAGTGCGGTGCGACGGGAGAAGCAGGGCTCGGGTCTCTCAGATACGGGCTCAGTGGCAGCTCCACCTCTGCGCACCCCTGGGAAAGCACGCGGCCTCCCAGGCCCGTTCCACCGCCCACACCGCTGGCGCCGTGGACAGTGCTCCCTCCAGGAGGGCAGGTGAGGCACGAGGGTCTCCAGGGGCCATGCTGAGGCTGCCGGGCCACGGCAACACGGGGGCAACTGCTGGGACCCCCGCCTCTCTCTGACCAGGCACCTGCCGGTCTGTACCCCACCCCCGGCCTATGCTCTGCGTGCTCGCTCTGGGCGCCACAGCTTAGGAGACCTGCCCGCCTGTCCCCAGGAACAGCACCGCGGCTGAATCTCCCTCCACCTTCCTGACTCATCCGTCGCTCGTTGGTCCGCCAGGCTCTGGGCCCTTCCTTACCTGCGACACCTGAGAGCAGACACGACTCTCCCACTCCCGCCCTGGGTGCACACCGTGCATCACCGGTGACACTGCGCAGCCCCGTAGGTCACGGGCTTTTGTGTCTTGACTTCAGTCCATGCACACAACAGCCCGTGAGGTCTACGTTCCCGCCCTCAGACCTGCTCTCCCCCCCCACCCAATCCTCCCCTTGGCCCACGCACACAAGTGCATCACGTAGGAGGCCTGGTGGCGAGGGGAGGCGGGGGCAGTCTGGGCGGGGACCCTGGTTGAGTCCAGTTTGTCTTGGGTGTGGCCTCTCCCTGACCGTGTTTCCAACACTTGGCAGAGCCCAGAGGAGGACACACTGCCCCTTCTGGACACAGAGTCCACCTGGGAGAAGCCCAGGTGATCCCCATGAGCGTTCTGGACGGAGGGAATGGAGCTGTGGGAGGAAAAGCCCCAAGCCGCCCCTGCTGGAGGGGCGGAGGCAGAGCAAAGAACATGAGGCCCCCGAGCAGTCAGGGCGCTCCTTCCAGCCTTCTCCCGAGAGGGGCTCTCAAGGCGGCACCCCCTTCCGCGTGCCCAGACAGTGGTTCACGGAACAGCCAGCACCACTCTGCAAACGAGGAAACTGGTTCAGACAGACTACTGGGTGCCAAAGCTCACACAGCAGCCCCAGGCTGGGACCCCGGTGAAGAGCCCCTTCCTCCGCCCCCAGTGCTGGTTAGAGGTGTCACAGCTCTGCGGCCGCCGGTGCCTGCCCGCTCCGCTCCCTGAAGGCGCAGGCTTCAGCGGGTTGACCTAAGCACAGAGCGGCTTTCTAGCCCTAACCATCGTCACCATATCCTGTTCTCATTTTGTTTATGACACACCAGGTGTCAGATGTCCCGGTTGGTAACAAGCCCACCACAGCTTCCAAAAGCATTTGACCACGAAGCATCAGTTCTAAAGAAATCACTAGCAGAGGTACGCTGGGGGTAGAGACAGTGTGTGGGTGAGTTGAAGCTGAGATCATCCGGGCATCCGGAGCGGTGTCCCTGGAGAAGACCGGCGGGCGCGGTGCCAGGACGGGCGCACAGCCCAGCCTCGCAGAGCTCAGCCCTACGCAGCACGATGCAGGTGGGACACCCCAACCCAGCACGGCTCCGGGGAAGGCTCCTTGGGCGCGGGCTCTGGGCTCAGGGCTTTGTACACCTCACTCCTCTCGGATCCTAAGAACCCTAGTGGCCGGTGCTGGCCCGTCCCTTCTGTACAGGGGAGGGATCTGAGTTCAGGGGCCCGGTGCCCGAAGCCACGGAACCTGCAGGAGGCAGACCGGGACCTGGCCAGGGGTGTCTGACTCTGGAGCCTAGGCCCTTCGTCGCCATGCGGTCTGTTCGTCTGGTCATCAGGCCAGGCCTCCAGGTCGCCATGCATGGGTGGAAGCTGAGCAGAGGCCAAGGGGTCCAAGGAGTCCAAGGCCCAGCCCCGACAGAGTATTCTTTCCTCCTCTGCTGGCTACCTCAGCCCTGAGAGCAGCCAGTGAGGTGGCAGAGGGCGGGCCTGGTGTGGGGGGGTGACTGTGGGGAGGGTATACGGCCACGACTGGAGGATTCTGAAGGCATCATCCTTTTACCCAAGGACGGGGCAGGTCCCTGCCTCACGCCACCTCTCCAGCTCTGAGCCGTGTGCAGAAAGGAGGACACTGGGAGGCCGCTCTGAGAGGCGGTGGCATCCTGCCAGGTGTCCCTGGGAGTCTGGATCTGGGGACCTCTTCCTGTCCCATCACCACCAGGAGGGGCGAGACAGACAGTTTGTCAGCTCCCCACAAACTGTGTGTGGGGGGAGGAGTGGCCACGGGGGCGGGGGAGGGGGTGGGCAGGTGTTTGCTGTGCAGTGGGGAAAGGGGGGGCCTGGCCAAGAGGGCTGCATTCTTCGAGGTGGACCGACCTCCAGCTGGGGACTGCAGGGGGCAAGTTACCTGGCCTCCTGAGGCTTCGGCGCCTTCACCTGACGTGAAATGGGGATCATGACCCCAGTCTGTGCAGGGCTGGGCAGGGACCAGGCGAGGCCACCTGTCAACGACGCTGCTGGCCCAGGGACGGTGCCCGGCGGAGTGGCCTCCCGCCGCTCGGCTCCCAGGCAGCCCTCCCCCCCACGCGTCTGGACTCACAGGGTGCTTCACCCCCGGGGCCACTTCCGACTCTGGACTTGCCGATTTCTTTCTCAAAGTTTCCTAGCATCAGGGATGCTTACTCACATCCTGGACACTACACTCCCATGCTTTCTGGGGACTCCTGGTGTTTCTGACTGGTCTGAAACTTGGGCAGAAAGAGAATATGGGGAAAAGCTCCCACAGAGGCCTGGGTCGGGCCCTAGCTAGCGCACCGAGAGGGTGTGTGATGAGGCAGGCCCCTAACTGGTGCAGGGGCTGGCTCTTCACCCCCAAGCGGGTTCTGCTGGTCCGCTGCGGATCTGCCCCACAGACCAGCACGCTGGCAGTCTCCTTGGACACGCCCTGATTTCCCATGACCGACACACACACACGGGTCGGCTGTCAGAACCCCTTCTGATTGTGCTCCCACTGGGGAGCGGGGCGGTGAGGGAAAGAGGGCGGCAGGGGCGCCACTCTCTCTCGCAGGCTGCCCCCGCAGGCTGCCCCCCCCCCCCGGGCCCTGAAGCTCAGTCCTGCCGCCGCACCTCCAGCTGCCTGGGGTCGAGGCGCTGGCAGGGAAGAGCTGCCCGGCGGTGACAGCAGGGGGACTTGGTGCTCATGGAATGGAGCACACCCTGGGGACCACTGGGCCACAGGGGTGGGGGAGGTCACTGCAGGCCGATGTGGTCAGGCAGGAATTCCAAGGTGGGGGTTCCCAGAAGGAAGAGAAAGGGCCCAAAGCCACAGGCGTGACGGTGAGCAGGGGCTTCCTTGGGGCAGCGGTCAGGGTGGCTTTCCCCGTGGGGCCACCGTCAGTGCGGTCACTCTCCAGTAAGAGGACACAGGACACGGAGGGACACCTAAGCCCAAGCCCCCGGTGTCGAGAGCCCCATGGAGATGACGTGCATCACCGCCCACTGCAGCAGAAATCCTGGGTGACAGACGTGACAGGCCACGTCTAGCCGCCTCTCAGTGCTGGGCAGGGAGAGAGGAACAGAGGGCTTGGCGGGCCAGCCAGAGCGCCACAAGCTCCCTGGCTGGACGGGAGCTGCGTCACGAGGCACCGGCCCCGGGAGCGAGGTCGGCTTTTTGTTGTGCTTCTGAACAGCCAGTGCTTTGCCGGGGGAACCGCACGGACGCTGCCACGGAGGGGGCCTGACCTTTTCCTACAGGTCCCACGGCACAAACTCTTGACACTTAATATGGTGGGACTTGGTGCAGTCACTACATATACTTAGAAACTGGCAAAACTCTCCTCACAAGCCCTGTTGGAGAATAGCTAGCCCAGAAAACTGAGGCGGGAGGCAGGGTCGCAGAGAGTTAGTGCCCAGGGGTGCCCCGTGGGGTCGTCAGCTGTCGTCTGCGGCGTGGGAGCCGTCCGGGGGTCCGGCCCCCAACCACGAGCAGCAGCGACAGCGGGGAAGCCCTGGCCCGGGCTGGGGGACTGGAGGGTCCCTGGCGCCGCGAGTGCCGGCTGATGGGCCCGCCCGTGTGTTTGCTGCCCGTAGAACGCTGGGCCCCGAGAGGCTTCTCAGGAGCTAGCGGGGCTTCTGGGAGAAGCCACCTGCCTCCCCAGGACAAGGGACAGAAGCCCCAGCTTCCTTTCTCACGGCCGGGGCGCCCAGCCTGAGCCGTGGTCCCAAAGGGTGAAGGGAACTGCTGGAGAGTGGTGCGCTGCTGGGCCCGGCGGAGGGCGGCAGAGCGGGGGGCTGCTCCGACGGGGCTGAGAGCATCCCTCCCACATTCTCGGGGACGTCCCAACCCCCAGTATGTCCGAACGCAACTGCATTTGGGGGCGAGGCCTTGACAGAGCTCAGTGAGAATAAGACTGATAGGGCGGGCCCGTCCAATCCGGGCGGTGTCCCCGGGGGAGGAGGAGACGGGACACAGATGGCAGGGCACACGCGCACAGACAACCACGGGGGAGCACGGCCGCAGTCTGCACGCCCAGGACAGAGGCCCCGGGAGAAACCAAGCTGCTGACCGGATTCCAGCCTGTAGAACTATGGGAAAACAGGTTTCTGGCGTCCAAGCAGGTGAACATAGCGGCCCACGCCAAGAGAGGCCCTAATGCATGCTGAAATCAGCGGACCACGGACGTCCCGGGGGTCTCTGACGAGGCTCCCACCGCCCACCCTGAGCCCTGGTGCTCGTCCAGGGCCTTCCTACCCCAGCCCTGTTCCGAGGCACCCTCCCTCGAGCAGGGGGCAGCCAGCCCTGCTTCTGAACTTCCCTGGCCGCTTTGGCAGGAAAGCACACGGGCCAGGCATTCTAGTGAACGCTCAGGAGACGGAGGCGACGTCTACTCACTGTTCGGCCACGCTCGGGTCCAGAGAATCGGCCTCAGTGGGTGTCTCAGGAAGGGAGGAGCCGGACTCCTGGATCTGGCACAGCTCCTCGTCCGTGATGATGTCGAACATGGTGTCGTCCGGGGGCCGGAGGTCTGTGTGCGCGCCTGGACCGCAGAGGCAGGCCGGGAGGGAAGAGAAACACAGCTGGTTGTGCACGGGGTGGGGGGGGGGCCTCGGGGAAGTGAGGGGGTGCAGCCACGCAGGACAAGCCACCAGGACACACCAAGGGCTCACCCTGCGACAGCTCTATGTCGGTGCGCGAGGACTGGCTGCCGGGACACGCCAGGGGCAGAGTGGGGACCACAGATGCAACGGAATGCCAGCTTGAGAGACTTCTCTCGAGCCAGGGCCTTAGAGAGGTTTCCAGCTCTCACCCGAGGCCCCCGGTTTAGAAGGGAAGGAGCAGCAAAGCCTTACCTTTCCTGCAAAGCAGGAAAGGCCCTGGCAGACACGTGAACACACCTCTGTGGTGCTGAGGCCTCGCTCCCTGACACTTCCCATTCACACCTCCGTGAAAACGGGGTTCAGTCTGACCTGCATGTCCACCCAGCCCTTGGGGGTGGGGTGGGGTGGGGTGGGGGTGGGGGAAAGACCCTCCCTCCTTGCAAGGAGTGGCAGCAGCCACCGTGTTCCTGACTGGGGGACTTGTGTTCGGCTCTGCGGGCCGCCCGGCAGGAAGGATGCTGTCTGCACGCTCCTGTGCCCGCCGCCCGCCCACAGGCACTCGCTCGCGCGTGTCACGGAAAATGTGACAGCCGGTCTGAGGTGAAAGGAAAGTAAGAATGACAGGGAGAGGGGAAGGCAGGCAGACAAAAGAGGAGACAGGGCATATCAGAAATCGAAACTAGTGCCCTCAGCGCTCTGGCCCAGTGCTGTGCCCCACTGTCACTAGAAGGCGCGCCGCTGAGCCAGGGAGGGCGAGAGGAGGATCCCAGTTCGCGAGCCGCGAGTTCCCAGCTGGCCTGCCACAAGGCTGTGGGGACCGGCTGTGCTTTAGAAGGAAGCTTCTTCCTCTCGCCTGAAGTCTACGTGATGAAGGGGTTGAGGCACAGGCTGAGAAGGGACCGGGGTTGGTTGCTTTGTATAGGCCCAGCCACAGGCGAGCACCAGGAATCCACACTGAGGTCCACCGAGGGAACCCAGAAAAGGGCCGTAACTACTGGAGCGCGGTACTACACTCACGGATGGGAGGCTCGGCTGATTTCCAACAGCGCTGCAAAGGCAATTCTTTAGGAAAAGAATACACCTTCCAACCAATGGTAGTAAAACAACTAGACAACACTATGCCAAAAAAAAAAAAAAAGAAAAAAAGAAAAAGAATCTCCATTAATAGTTCACACCATATAAAAAAATGAGCTCAAAGTAGATCATAGCCCTGACCAGTGTGTGGCTCAGTGGCTTAGGGGTGTCATATCACAAAGCAAAAGACGGCCACTTCAACTCTCCATCAGGGCATGTGCCTGGGTTGTGGGTTCGATCCCCGGATAGGACATGTGTGAGAGGCAGCCGATCGATGCTTCCCTCTCACACTGATGTTTCTCTCCCTCTCTTTCTCCTTCCTGTCTCCTCTAAAAATGATAAAATCTTTTCTTAAAAAAGGGTCATGGACCCCAAACTGCAACCTAAAACTATAAAACTTTTGGGAAAATCTGAAAAATCTTTAAGTCCTTGGGTTAGGCAAAGAGACATAGACTACACAAAGAAAAGAAAAAAAATCGATCCATGAGAAAGAATGGATTGGATTTCATCAAAATTATAGACGTCTGCTCTTTGACAGAAAATGAACAGACAGGTTGTAGACTAGGATAAAATGTTTGTAAAACACATTATCTGTAAATAGCTTGTATCCAGAATATATAAAGGACCCTCAAAATTCAGTAATTAAAAAAATTCTAACTGGGCAAAAGATGCGAAGAAATACTGAAGCTGTGCAAAGCACACTCCCACCCCGAGCGGTTCTTTGCACCTGATACGGGTGACGGAGCCCGCCAGCCCCCATGGCGGTCCAGTCTACTGGAGGAGGAACTGACTATTCCGGTGGCCAGCTGCCCTGGGTCCAGGCAGAGGCCAAGGGGGTCCCCCGGGACCAGCGCGGGGGCAGTGCCGCCTGGGCAGAGACGAGACTCACTTCTGCCCTCGCCGTGTCAGCGCTGCCTCCCAGGTACGCCCGCTGGCCAGTTCCCGAGGGGGCAGCCCAGGCAGGTCAGCGGGGCCGTGCGGGGAGCGGAGCGGCAGGCACCCAACAGAGCTTCCTTTCCCCGCGCCAGGTGAAAGGGCACGAGGAGAACAGGTCCTCCTCGGCCACTGAGCGAGAATGCGGGCTGCGGGGGGAGGGGAGGCGGCGGTCGTCCCCAGACACAGCGCCCGGCCTGCGGTCACTCGGGGAGAGGGCAGCATGTCGGGCATCTCCCAAGCGTGGGGTGCGGTCCCCAGGTAGGATGTGAGCTCACAGGGACACGGACCTCTTGTCCGCGACACTGAGCCACACCAGGAGGCAGGTATGCCCTCTTCACTTCTTGCCTGAACAGACCCCGATTACTAATTACTCCGTAAAGGCAGTCTCGAACTGGCGGCACTCCACTTGTAGCACCTCCTTCATGAAAGCCTGGGTTTGGAAACACTGACTCCGAGCTTGTTGCCGGTAACTAGCCGAGACTGGGTAGCGGCGTGTGTGTGTGTTGTGGGGGCAGGGGTGTGTGGCACCTACGGAACACTGAGGGCGGCGGCAGGAGCCTGACCTTGGCCTCCGGTGGCCTGGAGCCCAGCCTGGGCTGGTGACGGGGTGGGGCTGGGCTGCCCCTGGCTGGCGCCTGAGCTGGTGCTGTCGGGGGAGGCCCGGCCCCCGCCGAGCTTCTGGAAGCAGGCCCGGCAGCAGCGCTCCTTCTTGCCCCCCGGCTTGGTCACGGCGTAGTTGCTGCAGCAGTAGTAACAGAAACCGCGGCCGCAGGCCCTGGGGACCGAAACACACGGGCGGTGAGGCCTCCTGAGACTTGCACGGTGCCCAGCACCGGAATGGGGCTCCGCGCTGGGTCCTGGATGCCACGTGGCTCTCGTCACACCGGGCTCTGCCCCCACCTCGGGGAGTGGCCTTAAGGCCCATGTGGTGAGGCTCCAATAAAGCCACCCTGGAGAGCTGGGTGGGAGAACGTTTTTGTCTCCCAGGCCGTGGGAGGCCAAGACCACCTCCCTGATACAAGGCCTCGGGCAGGGTCAAGGCCTGAGAGACAACAGCCCTGCCCTCTGCTCTGGCCACAATCCGAGATTCTTTGTAGCCTACCCTTCTGGGCCCTAGGGGTCTTGTTCCCTGGGTTCCTCCGGGGAGGCCTCAGACCCTGTTCTCCTTGGGGTCGAGTAACGCCATTTCCCTTTGGTCCCTGCAGGCTGAGGGAGGGCCCGGGGCTGCTGGTCTCTGGGTGCTCCACATCCCTGTGGGTCCCCTTAACTCCACCCACCCATCAGTATTAAAGTCTCCTCCCCTTCAGGGATCCCCGAGTGCCCTGCTAATACCCTGCCTGACACACCCGCCTGGCCCAGGTCCCTTACAACCAAAGAGCCCCGTGCTCTTCTTCGCAGACAGGCAGGCCCAGTGCCAGCGCCTGCCACGGCCGTCTGCTCCGGCCGTGGGCCCTGGCGGGGTGGCGCCAGCCTGCGGGGGGCGCCGCTGACCTGCAGTGGTGCCGCCGCACCATCCAGCTGAACTCCCGCTTGCAGTCCAGGCAGTGGTTCGCCTCTGCGTCCCCAAGCAGCTTCTCCTCAGCACTGAGCTTCTGCTGGAACTCCAGGGCATCGGACTTCTGCCAGAGGGCGTCCTTGTCCCTGGGGGATGCAGCCGCGTCAGAAAAAAAGAAAGAATCCATGAAAACAATAGAATCATCTCCAGTTCATTTCAAGAGACCAACGCCAAAATGCCCAAGACACAGAAGGAGAATTCACTGTTACCCTGGAAACGTGTCCCACTCTAGGTCCCCTCTGTCACCTCACATCAGTCCTGGACTCAGGAGGACCCTTCCTAACACGCAGGCCCTTACCTGACACCACACGTGAAGGCACACAGGTGGCCTACGGTGTCAGTAAGTGGCTCTGGCAACCTTAAAGAGTGGCTGGCCAGCATGGACAAGGGTGACGCACTGCTCAGGCACCTCAGTGGCGGCGCACAAGGCCACTGGGAGTTTAAGCTACAACGTGCTGTCAGACTGCAGGCCAGTCTGTGTGCTGTGAGCCCAAGGACCAGGCGTGCACGGCCCACTCAGGTGTTCAGTGTGCTCGGGGCCTTTACGTGTCTACGGTTTACGGTTCCAGGGAGCACTCATCACTGCCGGAGACCAAAGGTCCCCCGGCCTGAAGATCTGACGGGATGCTCATCCCCGCCGGCTCCTCCGAGAGGTGCGGACCCCCCGAGGAAGCGAGTCTGAGAGAAGTGGGGGATCTCGGGAAAGGCCTGGCGGTGCCCACGTATGCCAATACACCAGAGAAGGTGGGTATGGAGGCGTCCTTACTGCTGCTACTGGTCATGTTCCGGGTTTTGGGCTTCTAACGCAGGAAGGTTTAATTCTTTCCCAGAGGGAACCCGGGCCACACCCTGAGGGTGACAGCGGCCCAGCAGCACCTCGGCCCCTGAGGGCCATCACCAGCGCCACTTAGGTCCTGAGGGAAACTAGTTCCATCACCAGCCCGGGACTCCACGTCAACCCCAGACAAGTCCCCTAAATCCAAAAGCCAGAACATGGGATCGACTGGCTTTTTAAGCACACGTGAAACTGTCAGGAAGCAGGGAAGCTCACTCTCTGGACCAGCGCTCCTCCCAGCTGGAGCACGACTTGTCTCATCTGCCCCAGGCACCCCCACCCTGGGAACTCTGGAACACCTCGGACCTGCGCTTTTCCGTAAAACACAAAACGTCACTAACTGTCGCTTGAGGCTGAGCACACAGAGACTCTGAAAACATCACAGAGCAATATGAAAACACCAGCCTGCTGGGCACTTGCTGGAACACTGAAATCCACTGTTTGCCTAGGGCCTGAGCGGAACCTGTACGTCAGGGTGTGTGTATGTTGTGGGGGGTGGGGGGATGGGGGACCCTAGCACGAGAATGCAACAGCTGGGGCAGGGGAGGGGCATCTCCCCCTGAAGAGTCCTCTCAAGGACAGCTGCATTTCTCTGAAGGAAAGCCAGGCTTGGGGGACAACGCCAGCCAGCCAGCCGGCTGGGGTTAATCCCTGCACTCACCTGAGCAGCTCTATCAGCCGCTCCTCCAGGTACTTCTTGGTTCTAGACAGGTCGTCCAGGTCAGCCAGCAGCTTCTGGTCATTCTTCTCCCGGTCTGTCACCTCCTGGCAGAGTTTGCTGCGATACTCTTGGATTTCTGCTGTGGCCTTTTCGAGTTCCTTCTGGGTCCTGGAGGGGGAGGGCCAGTTTTCCTGAGGACCGGCCCCTCCCGCTCCCCCTGTGCCTCTGGGCCCAGCCAGGCCTCTAAGAAGAGGCCCCGCTGCCCTCCCAGCCTTTCCCGTCTCGGCAGTTGATGCACCCCGCTAGCCTTGAAGACCCCCCTCGCACACCCGAACTCTTCACCCTCCCCCGCACACAAAACACCAGGGGCATCCTGGGAAAGCAGCTAACCTCAGGTCACCTGGAACACCCCGGGTTGAAGGGAACTCTGGGCAGGCACCGAGGCTACGAGAGGAGCCCGTAGGGCAAAGCTCAGGGGCTGCTGATGGCGGGTATTTGCAAGAGGAAAAGGAGTCAGGATTGGAAGGACAGAGGGGCACAGCTTTCTGGAGCTGACCACATGCAGGAGTCTTGCACGTGTCTGTAACTCTACACACGGGGCACAGTGCTGGGCACACGGCGGGCACTCCCAGCCGTGCCGCCAGCTGCGCAACCTGAGGGCCCGCAGAGGGTGCCGGCCAAGCCACGCCGTCTTCCAACCCCTGCCCACCCACCTTCGGCTCGGCTATCCCCCAAGGCAGTGCCTTTCCAAGGTCTCCACCAAGCCCAAGGCCCAGCAAGATGCTTATAAACGCTCCCGTAAACAGACGTCTCTGCAGGGACGAAGCTGCATCTCATCCAGTACAATGCAATGCTGCCAGGAGGCTGTTTCCTAGACACCGCCCACCGGAATGATCTCATGGGCATGCACACACCACCATGGTTTATTCACACAAGTGTGACATAAAATCCAATCTTGGACAGAGAGATTGTGCAACTCTGAGCAGCTAAAACAATGGCTTGGAGACCTCACAAACCACCACTGTTACAGCATTTAAAAAAACACATCACCAACTGAGAAAGTTCTATGTAAACTGCCATGCACACGGAACCTGGCTAATGGCAGCCAAGGAGAGCCGGAGGAGAAGGAATGCATGTCCAGGTGACTGCATGTCAATGTGCTCTGGACGTCCGTCGGGGCTGGGGCCCAGGTCTCGAAGGAGGGTGCCAGGGGGATGAGGGGTGGGTGGAAAACTGAAACCCTTGGCACGATTCGGGGTGCCTGCCTTTGTGGGGGGCACACAGGCAATCCAGTCCCAGCATCTCCTGCTAAACCTGTTTTAACCAGGCCCCGGCAGGACTAGCTTGGCTCCACCAGGACATGGGGGGGCTGGTGCTCACGACTCCAGGTAGCCCCCAAGTCTGACGACGAGGCGGCGCAGGAGGCCCGGGGGCTGGCCGCACAGAGGCCCACAGTGTAAGGTCACAAAGTCACGACGGAAGGGTGACAGCGGGAGGTGCTCTCCACAGACCCAGCTCCAGACGGGCTGCAGGAACACAGGCTGGTCCGGGGCCCCGGCACACTCACTCACGCTCGGGACGCGCTGGGGGGGACCCACACCTAACACAGCGGAAATGAGGGGGGGCTGGAGTCACATCCGAGGCAGGAAAGCACACGCATGCATGTGCGCACACACACACACACACACACACACAGCAGTACCCCACGGTAAAGCAGAACACGACACGATCTGTCTGACTGTTTCAGGGCAGTCGCTGAGAAAACAGAGTCTGGAGCCAGATGCTCTGGGCTCCAACCCTGCTCCCGTGGCTTACACGCTGTCCGACGCTGGGGGGGCAGCTCGGCCCTTCTGAGCCGCGTCCCCCCTCTCCGACGCGGGGATGATAGACCATCCTCATTGGACGGTGGGCAGGCTCAAGGGCAGGAAGACTCAAAGAACTTAAAAATGGTGCCTGTTCCACTTTAGGCATTTTTTGCTTGCTGTTGTTATCACCACTATCTCCCAATTTTTACTTCCTGTGAGTTTTTCCACAACACGACACTAGTGAACTGAAACACAGCCCACCAGAGGCGCGGAAGTGGGAGGAGGAGAAAGGCCGCGCTGCCTACAGGGCTGTGATGGGGAGACGGCCGGGCTCTCTGCGCCCCGCTTCCGGCGTAAGCACTTTCCGAGTCTGTGGCTTTTCTCGAAAAAGGACCTCTTTGCCTTCATGTGAGTGGCTGACTTTCTAAATGGCTGCACCCAGCACCCCTTCCCTGAAGACCACCACTGGCCGCGTGGAAGGACTGTCGACTGACCTGTCCAAGTTTTCGCGCAGGGCGGCCCCCTCCTGGTCCTTCTTCAGCACGGCGGCCTGGCACTCCAAGAGGTGCGCGCTGGTGCGGCTCAGCTCCTCTCCCACACCTGCCTGGGCGGCCTGGCAACGGGCGCCACGGAGAAGACACGGCTCGCAAAAGCGCGCGCCAGACACCGCAGAGCGACTGCCGTGCGCTCTACCCCGTCTGGCTGGGCCACTTCCCACCGGAGGGGCTCGTGTTTGTTTGTGTGTGTGTCTGTCTGTTTCTCAGTTCCAGAGGCCAAGGGCCTGTGTCTCTGTCTGTGGCGTCTCGATTTGTGACGCGCTCCAATCTGCAGTTATGTCCCTTAAGCAGCACTGCAACTGGCTGTGGTGGCTAGAGGGGTGGTGGGCATCAGAGTCTCCGGGGGGCGGGGGGGGGGCAGGGTTCAGTTAGACCAGCCGCCGCCCTGAGGACCGTGGTTTCAGCGCCACCCGTTACTGCGCAGCTCAGAGCCACTGGCCTGGAGCACGTCTGCAGGGTGACTGCGACAGGCCACTGGTTTCCCTTCCACGAGGCCGCGTGAAAAACACGCTTGGCCGGTGTCCAGGGAGTGGAAAAGGACCATGATACAAAACTCAGGGGGTCTGCAAAAGTGAACTGACGACAGCTTCAGCTCGGGACCCGGAAGCCCTACAGGGAGCCACTCGATGGCCCAGTGAAAAGCTAACCAGGTCCCCTCCTCCCCGAGAGGCGCCCACACTGGGGGTGGAAACGACCGGGCAGAGGCCACCGCGCCAGTCCCCCCGACCCACGCGGTCAGCTGCAGGTCGGGCTCCCGGAAGGGCACTCCCCCGGGCCAGGCCTACCTCCAGCTTCCCCATGGCCTCCTCGGCAGCCCGCAGCTGCCGGCCTCGCTCCTCCAGCTGGTCCTGGAGGCTCCTGCACTCTTCACTGGCAGTCTGGAGAGGACGAGACAGGGATCGCAGAAGTGGGGTCCTTGCTCTGAGACTCCCTTAGCCACATCCCGCAAAAGGGTGAAAACCAAGCTACCTCTCTTTTTTTGCCCCAAACTCAGTAAGCATCGGGCTTCATCGGTAACAAAATCTTTTCAAGCCTACTAAGAGACGTGGCTTGGTCCCCAAACTTAGAATTGCATTTCTACGAGGGGAAAAGCGGCCTCTGAGCCACATGGAGCTGCACGGGATGGGCTCACAGGGCAGGAGGCACACCTGTGGAAACAAAGGCCACAGCTGCCTCGGAGCAGAGCGTGGGAGCGACCTGAGAGGGCACAGGCCTGGACGCAGACGGCACTGGCAACCAGAGCCGTCCTGACCCCTGACCCCTTCCCTTTGTGCAGTATCAAAGGCACGTGGTAACTGCTGTTCTCATCTGTGCCAAGGGCCTCGCGATAACTAATTGACTCAGTTCCCTCCAACCGCACCTGCTACCAGAACGGCGCCTGAAGGGACAGAGAAGCAGAGGCAGGGCTCCAGGCAGCCAGGAACTGCTGGCATTCTGCAGTGGGTTCCAGGCTACAGCAGGGCTCTCAAACTCGCGTGCCCGAAAGGGCTGGGCAGCTGCATAAAGGATCGCAAGGAAAATGCCGAGGACGCCTGTCCCTTGATGTGGGCAGCCCCCACCCTGCTCCTGCCCACCGCTGCCCCGTGGGGTTGAGGGCACAGGCTTTAAGGTCTCTCAAGATTTCCAAAGGAGCACCCAAACTGAATTTGTAAACATCTTGCTCTTTAAATGTTGACTGCTAACTAAAAAAGTGTTCTCTGTGGGCCAAACCTGTCTGCGATGGCCTAGAGTTTAGACTTCCAGGCTAAGGCATCACTCCTCAGCATCACACCCCTAGCGTCTCCTGCAGGGCGATGCTGACAGCGGAACGGGAGCACATTTGCCTTGGCCTTCAGGACATTCTTGGGCCCTCGTGTGCCACATGGCTGAGGATGCAACCTATACCCTCCTGCACCCAGCAGGTCCCGCCACAGGAGACAGGAGCATCCCGGGGGTCAAGGCTAGGGTTACCTTAAGTTTGCTCTGGTAGTCCATGATCTCGGTGCTCATCTGGAACTTGAGGGTGTCGAGCTCCTGGTGCGCAGTCTCCTGGAGGCTCTGGGCCCGCTGCTCGGCCTGGGCCAGCTGGTCCTGCAGGCGAGGCAGTAAGCTAGCTGCCTCCTCGGCCACCTTCAGCTTCTCCTGCAAGCCCTCCTTCTCTCGCTGCAGGCCCGCCACCTGGTGTAGCAGGTCCTCTCGCTCCCTGGAGGCCACCTCTTTGGCATCCTGGAGCTCCTGGATGGTGCGAGCCAGTACGCCCTCCATCCGCTCTTTCTCAGCAGTCAGCGCGCAGACCTGGATGCCAAGCTCGGCGGTGTCCGTGTTGGCGTGGTGCAGCTGCTCCTGCAGCTCGGCGTGTTCCAGCTGGGCTTCCTGGGAGCTGCATTTGGCCTGAGACAGCTCCTCCCGCAGGGCATGGAGCTCCTCCATCTTCAGATGGAACTCATGGGCCCTCTGCTCCTGCAGGGCCCCTTCCTGCTCTGAGCACTGCAGCAGCTCCTGGATGTGGGCTCTGTTGAGGGCTTCGTTCTGCTCCTTCAGTTGCTGCACAAGGGCCTTGTGCTCCTGCAGAGCTGCCTCGGTCACGCTCAGCTGGCTCTGCACCTTCTCTTGGTCACCCAGCGCTGCCTGCAGCTTGGCCCGGAGGTCCACCACCTCCGCCTGCACTCGCTGAGCCTCTCCCTGGTGGACCTCCAGCTGCGCCTGAGATAGGACCAGCTGGGCAGCTAGCTCCTGAGATGCGTTTTCTTGAGGTGAGCTGAGCCCCTCTTGGCCTTTTTCTGCTGTGAGGGTCTTAATCAGCTGGGCCTGCTGCTGGCACTGGCTCTCCAGGGCCTTGAGCTCCCCTTCCCGGGCTTCTGCCAGCTGCCGGCCCTGCTCCATCTGCTCCCGCAGCTGCTGGCACTCGACCTCCTTGCTCTGCAGGGCAGCCTCCTTCTCTGCTACATGGGCTCTCATGGTCTCCTTGGCCTTCTTCACAGCCAGGAGGCTGGCCTCCATCTGGTCACCCATGTGCCGGATGCTGGCTTGCTCGGACTCCAGGGAAGCCAGGGAGCCCTGGATGGCCGCCTCCCGCTGCTGTAGTGCCTGGTAATCAGCCTGCAGGGCCTGCAGCTTGTCCTCCAGGAGCTGGTTGCGCGCTACCACACTCTGCAGCTCCTTCTCCAACTCCCTGTTGGCCTGCTGCAGCTCCTCCTCCTGGCTGCTCCCTTGCATTTTGGTATCGCCTGTCGGTCCCTCCTGCAGGCCTCCCTGCTCCCCCGGCATCTCCGAGGCCGGCTGTGGGGCAGAGCCCCGAGGGGTGGAGTCCAGGGCCTCACTCTCCTCACCTGCCACAGGCGGGCCTGGGCTCGGCTGCCCAGCAAGCCGCTCGAGTGTCCCCACCTTCTCACTGAGGTGGTCCTTGTCCCGGATGAGCTGCTTCTTCTCCTCCTCCAGGTTACTCACATGCTGGCTCACCTGTGCCAGCTGCGTCTCCAGGAGCTGCAGCTGCCACACCAGGGACTTGGCCTCTCGCTGCAGCAGCTCCTTCTCCTGTCCATGCCGCTTCTCCTCCTGCCTCAGCTCTGCCAGCTCTTCCTCCGCGGAGTTCAAGTGGGCGAGTGCCTCCTGCAGCCGTTGCTGGAGCTCGGCTGCCTCCTTCCTCTTCCCGGACAGCTCCTCCTGGAGTGAGGCCGTCTCCCCTGCGAGGCGCTCCAGGCCCGCCCGGGCCTCCTCCTTCAGCTGCAGCTCGTTGGCCAGCTGCTCCAGCCGGGCACTCTGCTGCCGGTTGAGCTCCTGGGCCTTGGTGCTCTCTCGTTCTAGAGCCTGAAGCTTCTCCCCCAGCTCCTGGATCTCCCGGGCCGAGGCACTGGGGACGAGCTGCTGCTGCTGCCCCGCTGTGTCCAGTGCCACATCGGCCTTCTGCTCAGCTGTGCCCGGCGGATCTGGGACACTGGCTAAACTCTGGTTCTTCCTGCCCAGTGAGGCCCGGGTGGCCTCGAGCTCCTGTGCCAGCAGCTGCAGCATGGGCTCCAGTCGCTGCAGGCCCGAGTGGCGGTCCTCATCCTTCTTCTCCGCAGCGCCCAGCTCCAGGGCCTGCAGGCACGCCTGCAGCTCCGTCACGGTGTTCTGCGTGGCCTGGGTGATCTCCAGCTGCTTCTGGAGCCCGGCCACCATGTGCGTGAGGCGAACGTTGTCCTGGGCAGCACAGCGACCCTTCTCCCTCTCCACTTGCAGCTGCTCTTCCTTCGAGTTGACAGCTGCCCTCAGCTCCTGGTTCTCTCTGTCCAGCTGCTGTATGCGCTCCTGCAGCTGCTTCTCCCGCATCTCCAGCTGGTCCAGCTCCACCCGCATTTCATCGAAGCCCTCCAGGGCCTCGTTGTTAAAGGTGCTGCTCAGGTCAAAGCTGGAGGCCATATCCTGAGTCTGGGGAGGAAAAGCAAGAAACAAGGGGCTTTGGGATGAAATGGCATGGTTATTTGGAAAAGCTTTAGAGTTTAATGAGAACACAAGGAAAAACAGAGCGATTATATGATCTTAGGTTAGTCCATCGAGCTGTTCAAAGAAAAGCCCTTTGCTCACAGCACCTGCCAGCAGCGCACCCTGAAGACCCAACGCCACTCACGAGCCCCCGACGCTCAGAATCGCACTCGCCACTGAGCCTCCTGCAGCTCTGGTAGCATAATGGATGTCAGCTCTTAAATAACTCGTTATGTTTCAACCACTGTTCACCACTGCACTGTACCTGCAACTCTCACTGTGATTAAACCACAAAACAGGGCAAACAGTTAGTCAATCTTCTACTCGTAATGCTGCCTGATTACTTTTCATTTTGTTTTGTTGATTAACTTCAGTGGTCTTCCCCATAAAACCACACACAGCTAGGACGTTCGCATTTCTAACAAAGCGAAGCCCACCCACGAGCATGTAACGGGCACTCGCTGCGTCAACCCCGCAGGCACGGTTCCCGTGTTCCCTCAGTCAATCCCCCCGACCAGCGGCAGAGGCTTTACGCTCCCCACTGGGCGGGTGAGAGGCTGAGGCTTCTGGGGCGTCCGTCACCTTCCCGGGGGGCACACAGGTGGCAGGCGACAGTCCGGATCTGACAGTCCGGTTGCTTTTAACCGCAGTGTTAACTGCTTCTTTTCAAACATTTTTAAAGCCTCTAAAAGAATTCCGTTTTTATGAGGCCTAAGTTCTATTTGGCTGTAAAAACCCGGACCCTAGAAAACAGTGGGTCTTGCTCCGGTTGGAAGAGCAGGTGTCGGAGAACACCGCCCTGAGCTGTGAAGGGAAGAGCACGCCCTGGCAGGCGCCAGAGCGAGGAACCTGCCGGCCTTTTGGCATTACCTGCAGGTAGCTGCTCACCAAGCTGCTCATGCTGGAGCTTCGGCTGGGGGGCTTCCACATGTAGGCAGAGGAGCCGGGGGACAGTGTCCTCCTGCAGGGCCACAGAACAGACATGCCTGTGTCAGAGCAGGACACGCGCTCGCACATACACACACACACGAAAGCCAGACGGGGGCAGGTGGGATTTCCCGGGCAGAGAAAGTGTGAAAAGGCAAACCCAACAGTTTCCACCAAAGAGCACATCTGTGTTGGTCTGTAGCAAATGGACTCCATCGCCAAAGTTTAAACACGACGGCCTTCCTCCCAGTTCCAAAAAAGAACTAAGTGAACAGGATGTTTCCCGACCTTGGGTTTAAATTGTCCTTCACTTTTGGTGTCTGCTAGAGAGGAGGAAGGAGCGGCCAACCTGGTAAATGAAGGCCGCACTGTGCTCAGGCGCCCATGGCCACTGCGTCCCAGACTGCGTTCCACTCAGGTCGTGCACTGGGCAGTGTGGACGCAGAGCCCTCCCGCACTGGAGAGAGCTCTGCCCGACAGCCCGGCAACGCAAAGACTTGTGGGAGAATCCCCGTTTAGCAGGAACGGTGTGGACTGAACACCTTTTCGCTTCAGCAGAGTCCTCTCCTTGACCTACAAGTACTGCGTTTTAAAACTGCTGGTCCCCACAGCCCAGCAATCCCACATCTCAGGGTCTGCCTACAGAGGGTCACACACACGCGTGCACAGGAGGCATACGGGTGTTCCTGGCAGCACTGTCTGCAGCGGTGCAGAGGGTGGAACCCGTATCACTAGGGCAACAGACAAGCTGATTAATTCACGTGGCAGAACACTCTGCACCACGGGCCAGCAACCTTTTGTTGGGAAGGGCCAGATGTAAACATTCTGGGCTTGCAAGCCTTATGGTCTCAGTCAAAACTCACCTCTGCCAACTGTAGCATGAAGGCGGCCACAGACTCCACAGTTGTTACACACCGCCCTATGGGCCCGAGCTGCTGACCCTACTATACGTCTATAGAACTGCAGCCCCGACTGGTGTGGCTCAGTGGGCTGGGTGTCCTGAAAACCGAAAGGTTGCTGGTTCGATCCCCAGTCAGGGCACATGGTTGTGGGCTGGGTTCTCAGTTAAGGGTGTGTAAGAGGCAACCAGTGGGTATTTCTCTACCTCTCTTTCTCCTCCTCTTCCCCTCTCCCTAAAAATGAATAAATAAAATCTTAAAAAAAAAAAAAAAACACGTGTGCCAGTACGGACAAAATGTCAAAAACAGTGTGGAGTAGAAAAAGCAAGTTGCAAAGGGATAGCTATCTCATGATGCAAGGTATGCAGACTGAACTGCACATCTAAAAACATTTAAGAATACAAGCGTGGTAAAACAACTCTTGCCCGAATTATCTCAATGGATGCAACAACTAACAGATGAAAGACTGAAAGAAACAAGATGGTAACCCAATCTCAGAGTGTCTCACCATAAGACGCATATAGACCACAACAGGAGAGACAGTCACTGCAGGAGGGCCCCGGCAAACACCGCCTAGGCCAAACTGTCACAGTTGGCTGAGCTCACGGCGGAGCAGAACAACTCCAGGCATCCCGCCACAAAGGACACAGCCTCAGAGGTGTTCCTGCCAGACTGCTCAGCCCGAGTCTGAGGAGGAGACACGCTCATGCAGAGGCGACGAGAGGCAAACTCTCCTTCAGGAACATTTCACAAAGCAACCGACCTGCACTTCGCACAAACGTACGCCATGAAAAACGAAAGCTGAGACACTGTTCCAAATGAAAGAGGGCTGTTTCGGATTGGAGACACGGTGACAACCGCACCGTGTGATCCTGGACGACGAGTATGAGCGACATTACTGGGATAGTTCTTAGCACGTACACAAGGTCTGTAGATCAGACAGTAGTACTGTAACGATGTCAGTTTCCTGATTTTAATGCCTGTACTGAGGTCACGCCCCTGATTTTAGGAAACACACACTGGAGTGCACTGGAGTAGAGGAAAGGCAAGTCTGTAACTTACTCCCCGATGGCTTAGGGAATAAACCAACGTGCAGACATGGAAGAAGAAGAAAACGCTCCTGGTAAAGTACTGATACTTGGGGGATCAAATCGGGGTGAAAAGATGAGTATTCTGTACCACTTTTGTAGCTTTTCTGTAATTCTGAAATCACTTCAAAGTCAGTAAGTTACATGTGATGTAGATGTGGCAAAATGTTAACTATTCAATTGTACACGGGAATCATCATATTCAGTACTATTCTCTATGCAGAAAGTATGCCCTAATACCAACTATGAAAACTGAAATTTTAAAAGCATTATGAACAGAAAGCAAAGCGAAGAGAGAAGGCTGCACTTGAGTCTGGTGCCCTGCCCTGCTGCCCGCGAGCTGCGTGACTTGGGCGAGTCCCTCCCCTCTGAGCCTGTGCCCTCACCCCTCCCTCCCTCCCTCCCTCCCGCAGTGCTGCGAGGATTCAGCCGGATGCCGTGTGGAGTGCCGTCCCGGTGTGAAAGGTGAAAACACCTTCCAGCACCCCTCACATGGGTGGGCCGTCGCTCTCACGCCCTCTCTTACTGCCAGGAAGGCCCCCGTGATAACCCCCTAAGACACCCCCCTAAGACACGGATGGGAAAGCACCCGTGGGCTCCTCCCCAGACTTCCACACCAAGGCCCTTGGCACACTTACAAGCCTTGGGTTTTGCACATGCGTTTCCAGACTCACTCATACCACCTGGCCAGTCAGGTTAGCTAAAGGCCGGAGCCTTCGGATGTTATTGTGAGTCATAATCCAACCAGGTCTGTACGATTAACAGGCCTCAGTGTTGCCAAGGTTTATATGTCTGCCGAGCAGACAAAAGTGCTCTGAGAAGACTGGCGGTGACCTTCAAACCTCCAGGCATCTCTCCCCCATCTTTCAAACCAAGCGATGCTTCCGGATACCTGGCAAACGTCGGCCAGGCGGCATCTAAGTCGTAGCCTCTGGACGCCAGGTCAAACTGAACGTCGGTCAGCTCATAGAGCTGGCCCACAATGTCCGAGCTCAGCCTCGGCTTCAGAAAGGGGCTTCTTTCGTAGTACCAGTCGCTGCAGGGAGACAATAGGGTGCGGATTACCAGGCTGACACAGGAACACAAAGAGTGAATTTAATGGGTCCTCTCGGCATGCCCTGGCCTCGCCCGGTTCTAACTCAGGTTACGAAGTTAAATACACAGACAGACACCCCCCACCCCCATCTGATTTTCACTGCAGGAGCACACAGCTCGCAAACAAGCTGCACTTCCTCACAGGGATTGCCGAGATGAACTAGATGCTTCTGTGTTTATTATTTCTATCACAGCTATCTCCCAAAAAGAATACGAGAAACCTTAAACCTCAATCACCTGCCAAGAAAGGGTGGCCGCGGGGGGAAGAACACTTCCTTTGTGAGAGGTAAATAACCCCATTTCCTATTTCTTCTGGAGAATTCAGTCCAGGACACTGAACTCACTGCTAATTTCTGTCTTGGCACCCATTTTAAAGACAACAAACAAGAGCCCCGCACTGTGTGTTGTTGGGTGTTTCACTTCCTGTGAGCAGGAGGACTTTAAACGGACGACGGACGAGTTTAAAGGGCACCCTGGCTGAGTCTGTGCACCGGGGGCCCCCGGAGGCCAGGCTGCCGTGATGGTTTTCACCAACCTCCAGAACAAAATAACCTGCAGATCGAGCGTGCTCCTGCAACTCACATGAACTCACCAAGCCCGTCGCATGTCTCGTGCGTGAGAAACACACCTTTACGCAAGCCCATCTTAAAGGTGACAAAAGGAAACAAAGTATTTCCCCCACAGGTCTTTTTTAAAAGGTCCAGAAGCAGTTTCTTTGGTTAACTGGAGGGGCGCTCCCCAGGCAGAGAGGGGAGGCAGAGTGGGAAGGGGTGCGGGGCCACCCGAGGAGGTGCCCAACGGCCTGCAGCTCCCGGTCTGACCGCCCCTCCCGTGCTTCACAGGCTCAATCCCCTCCCCGCCCCACCCACTCCATCACTAGTGGCACAGAGGCTCCCAAACTGGTCGCTGTCACATTCCCCAGGGAGCCCAGGCGTGCCTGGCAGGTATTAACTCAGTGCCTGAGTTATCGCGGTGAGGCCCAGGCTCAGTGGTGTTAAAAACCCCACAGGGAATTCTGCTGAAAGGCCAAGGCTGCACCCCACTGGTGACCAGTGGGGCGTGTACAATCACTAGGGCCAGCACCAAGGACAGGCCACCCCCCAGGGACGACTAGCTGGCAGCAGGAGTTAAGCGAGCTGGACCCGACTCCTGCTTTACGACCCACTCGGTGTTGGTGGGGCCTCGTGGAAGGCACTGAGCACCTCCCTGAGCCTCGCGTTTCTCACCTGTAAGCACTCAGTGCTCCAGCCCCACGGGTGTCGAGGGCTGCGGCTGGGAGGGGAGGGGACAGAGCCGGGAGGGCTTTGCTGTGCCGGGTGCGCCCCAGACAGGCACCGCGGCTGCAGCTGTCACTGCTGACCAGGGACTCCAGTCCACCCGTGCACGGCGCAGGGCCAACCCAGTGCTGGCCCGCCCGTACCTGGTCACTTTGGTGTTCATGAAGCACTGCTGCAAGGTGTCGGCCAGCCGCTGGTGCACCAAGGAGTAGCGGATAAATGCTCTTCCCTTCCCCAGAGATGTGCGGAGCTGGAAGAAGGTTACACAGAAATGAAGAACGGTTAGCCGAAGTCTACGCAGACACCCGGCCTCACGGCTGGCCTGCAGCAAACAGGAACAGGGCGGTAATACACGTCACCCGCCCCTGCCTACACAGTGGCTTCACTCACGTCTCTCGAAGGACCTGAAACATTTGATGACGCCACCCCTGAGCGCGAGGCCTGGAGTGGGTCGGCGTCTTCCGGGCTCCCTGCAAGAACGATCTACAGACTCCGGCAGACACGCTAGGACAGGTGTGCCCACGGGAGGCTCCCCAGCATCTGCGGCTGCACTGCAAGGCCGCTGACCCCCTCGGCCCCACTGGGCCCTCTGGGTGTGGAGTCGGAGGAGGACGGCACGGCTTACTTGGGACACCCAGAGTAAAACCTGGAAGTCAGTGAAGGGCTCTACACCCCGGAGTGAGCCTGAGCGAGCGCTGGTCTCCGTGCGGCTCACGTCTGGGCCGCTTGGGGGCTGCTGGGAGAGCAGACGCAGGGGAAGAGGCCTATCGGGCTCGGCTGGAGTCCGTGTGGAGGGGCAGAGGGGGCAAAGGGCAGAGTGTGGAAGGGGCACTTCAAGGAAGGTACGACGGCTGTGGGACTGCCTCCTCTGTGTTCGCATGAGACCATCAGTGAAATCCACGCATCTGCCAACTTTCCTGGCGGGACTTCTCCTCAGCTGTGCCCACTCACTGCATTGGTCAGAAGGTGCCCAGGGGGCGAGAGCCGTGGGCGGGGAGTCTCCAGGTGGCCCGGTCACACCGGGGTGATGAGAAAACGGGCATGGTTCTATTTCAGGGAGTCTGAGGTGGACGGAGGGCAGGGGCGCAGGCCCGTGTCGACACCTCTCCCGCCACGCCGGAACACGGAAGCCTGCTGTGACGGACCTGGGGTCTGCCGGTCAGAGACTCTGCCGGCTGCAGACAGAGCCACCGAGAAAGACGGGATCAAGGGGGCAGCCACAGGAGACACGTGAGGCCAGTCTGTAAATCAGGATTCATACTGCCCATGCCTCAGCCCAAAATCAGACACCTTTTAACTCAGAGCTTTACGACTTCCTACTGCTGACTTGAGGAAATGGTACCACAACACAAAGTTTTTTAAACAACAAAAAGGTGTGAAACCCCAAAAGCTGTAAATGCTGTAAGATATTTTCCACATGAGTTTTGTGGGTTTGTGGTAAAAGTCAGGATACCTGGAAATGGGGGTGGGCGGCAGCCTGCCGCGGGCTTCAGAAGCCCACCGAGGCATGTCTGCAGGCAGCCGGGTGGGCCAGACGCCCAGCGGAGAGTCTCAGTGCCACCCCCGGGTCTGAGTGCTCTCGCCACTGACGAGCGAGGTGAGGACGGAGTGTCCGGTGGGGACGACCAGGAACCGCGGGCAGCTGCGAACAGCTGAGCCGGGGGCCGTGAAGCCAAGCGTGGCAGCCGTGCAAACACACACCCACACGGGGCCCCACGGGGCCGAGTGAGAGCCTCGCAGGGCAGCCCAGGTCTGTGAGCTCCCAAGCAGGCGGCTTGTCTGTGTTAGCAAAACGGCCACTGCAACAGCACTTTGCATATTTAATTTTTTTATGGAAGACATGAGTCTGTAGTTTTAATCAGGCCTACTAACTGATTTTACATACTTATATAAAAGGAGCTATTTATTTTAAGAGGTCTCTTCAAACACCCCTCGGCGAAGAGAACAGTAGTTTCTTTGTACTATAAATGAAAACACGGCACAGCCTTTTTACTTTCTATTTTTTGAGATCATGGGTCCGCTTTCATTACCTAATTCCTGATTTTTTTTTAGCATTTAATCACAGCTCACATGCACCGTGCCGGGAAGCGATGCAGCAGCAGCGGAGGACAGGAAGTCTGCAAGGTGCATGGGAACTGAGTGCGCTCCAGGCCAGGCCGCACCCAGTTCCGCCCCTGCCCCCGCGGGGAGAGGCGTGCAGTCCAGGTGGAGCCCACCGTGAGCCTGCAGCAGTGGCTGACTGCAGCCTGGGGCTGCCTTAGTCCAATGGCTGCCTCCACACCAAAGGGGCCTACGGGGCCCCGCAGTGCTTCCTGTCCACTACCTTCTTCCTCCTGGCTCGTTGGCCTGGCTGGCACTTGATGACTGACTCGAGGCGGCCCGAGTGTCCAGCGGCCCACCCTGCTAGTGACACCCCAAGCCACTCTGCCCAGTGGTGCCCAGAGAGCAGAGCCCTCAGCAGGTGAGACAGCCGGGCTCTATGCGAAGTGGAGCCTGTGCCCGCCACCAAAACCCTGAGGACGTCTGAGCAGGCAGGGCATGCTGTCGCTGCTAGAGGACAGTTTCTCTGGCCTGGATGGGCTTCCCCGCACTGCGAGAGAGGGGCAGGGTGGACGTAAGCATTTCCTGACCCTGGGCTTCAGCTGCCGGGAGCAGGACGCCGAAGGCTTCGGTTGCTGCGAGGAGTGGAAGAGACGAGAGAGGCGGGCGACTCCCAGGTGCACGAAGAAGGGGGCACACTGAGCACCCGCTCCAGCTTTACAACACGTCAGACACCGGTCTACACCGTGGACCCGAGCGTCCTACCAGGCACGATCCCCAAGACCCGTCTGTGCAGCCTGGACATGAAAGAAACTGGCGGAGCAGACTCCTCCGAGGCCGGACGCTGCCTCATCAGCTCAGGAGCCAGAGGGTGCAGCTGGTGGAGAGTGCCCAGCCATCCGGGCCAGCCCATCCAACTGTCCCTCGCTCTAAGAAGAAACCCATCTGGCTCCTGGGTCGGGCAGGAGTTCTTCCCAGAGCGCCTGACTCTGAGGTCTTTGCCGGAGGCCAGCCAAGGAGCACGTCTGCGGGCCTTCGGGTGTCTTTAAACGTGCGGACAAGACGCCAAAAGGGAAACGTTCGAACACTTTAGACCCCCCGTCCTAAATCCAGGGGGTTGTTTGCTCCCTAATGCGTAAAGTTCTTTACTCCCAGATGGACCAGGCTTTGCGAGAAAAGGAGATTCGTCGGGAGTGGGGGGTGGGGGAGAGGCAGAAAGAGAGAGAAAGACAGACTGCTCCGGAGCTTTGTAAAGCAGCCAACCACGGCGCTCTGCTCCAGGGACTCGGAGCGGGACATGGGCAGCTACCTAGCACACCAGCACTTCAGCATCTCTTAAGATCTCACGTTACTCTCTTCCTTTCAAATCCAAGTTTTCTGGGAAAACTGTAGGGACAGCAGCCTAGCAAACATTAAGATTTCTACCTAAGAAACACAATGCTGTACACCTGGGCGGGGGGGGGGGGCACCATGGGCAGACTGGGTAAGGTGCGGGTCGCAGTCGTGGTCTAATAACAGAGCCGGGACTGAGCCACTCTCAGCTTGGTAAACACTCACGCAGGGGGCTTCCCTGAGCTAATGGTGGGCACTGAGTGTCCCTGGACTGGACTTCTTCTTTTTTTTTAGATTTTATTTACTTATTTAGAGAGGGGGGAAGGGAAGGAGAAAGAGAGGGAGAGAAACATCAGTGTGTGGCTGCCCCTCACATGCCCCCTACTGGGGATCTGGCCCACAACCCAGGCGTGTGCCCTGACTGGGAATCGAACCGGAGACCCTTTGGTTCACAGTCTGGCGCTCGGTCCACTGAGCCACACCAGCCAGGGCTGGACTTCCTCACTTCTTTGCCACCCGTAAACCCCACTTCCTCCCTTGGCTGTCTGCAGCAAAGGTCTCTGCAGAGAGATGCTTAAGGCAGGCGAAGAGCAGGACGGGAGGCCCATGGCTGCTCTGCTCACCTCCGAAATGGACTTGACGAATCGGATCCCATCGTTGGCTCCTTTCACCTTGGCCAGGCAGGCGCAGAAGTAGTCCCAGTAGTCCTTCTTGTTGCCCAGGAGGGTGGCCTTCTCCTTCTGATCAAACTGCGCAGAGAATGGGACAGAGACGGGCGATCTCAACCACAGCCATTCATCTCATTAGGTGATAAATAATGACAACAGCTGCTTAGCTGCCTGGCCCTGAGTTAGCCCCTTTACCGGCATTATTTTTATTTCTTGTCAAACGAAAGTGTTTTAATCCCCAACTTACAGATAAAGAAACTGAGGCTAGGAGATGGTAAGCAACTAGCTTGAGGTCATACAACTACTAAGATTCAGGAATAACAGCACCCCCTACCAAAAAAAAAAAAAGATTTATCTCTTGAAGGGACCTCTGTGCAGAGGTGCATGGAAGACCACCAGAGTTGCCATTAACGACTTTGATAAAGATACGTAGCGACTTATGATAAAGACATACAGGTGAAAAGTCCTAAGGGCAACAGGGAGAGTGCCAACTATGTCCCAACTCAGGGAAACGAGTTAGTGACATTTTATCTCAGTTACTTGAGTGTCAACGTCTTAATATATAAACGATACATTCAAATCGGTGTCGGTTATGAGTCATTTCAAATCCAAAACCAAAATGAACTTTTTGACATGCGAGAAAACAAAAGGTCCGTAAACACCTTCCCAGTGCGAAACAGAGAACCGGCTGAGAAGGCAGGCGCCGGGGGCCCGTCAACGGGTTGCGGCTGCCCCTCCGGCGGGCCCTCGCCCTGCGCACCGCGGTGGGTGTGAGGGCGCAAACGAATGGTGTTCGAAATGTGTTGGGGTATCTCTCTGTAACACAGCATATTTCACAGTCCTTTTTTCTGATTGTAGAAGGCATGCACGTACTGTTAGGCAATCTGGATAGAACCCCCCAAAAAACAGAAAAGAAAAAATTGTAATGCCCAATACCACCTCCTAAAGGTTCACTTCTGTTACCACTGTGGTCTACTTCCTTCCTGTTGCAGTGAGTTGCCTGTGTTTTTCCACGCCTGCAGAGTTCCTTAGACCTGTGCACTTGAACCGAGCACACACAAGCGTTCTGCTGTGAGCGTGTTAAAGGAGGAACTCCTTCCTGGGCTGACCGCAGAGATCCTGACTCGGGGCATCAGAGGGGGACCAGGAGCACGTCCCTGACATGCTCCTGGGGGACACTGGCACTGCCGGTCTGCGGACCGCACTAGGGCGCAGCAGACGCGGAAGCAGGCGTCCGGCCAGACCGCGTTCAGAGGGCCCGCAGGCTGCTGGGAAGTGTGTGCCTGGTTGTGCACACACGTGCGTATCCGTTAGGGCAGAGAGAGGTTCGATAGCTTCCCCAGACTTTCACAAGGGGACGTGACCACCCCAAAGCTACGATCTGCTATACAGTGACCTTGTTACTTGCCTTAAGTTGACCTACATCTCTAAAGAATGTTCTGGATCCCCGAAGTCATCCTAAGGGGTGACCTTCTGATTCCCCAGAGCATGGCACTCGGAGGCCCGTGCCCTCGATGGGGGCCACCCAGACCGTCGGTCAAACCAGGACAGCTTCAGGGCTGCCCCGAGCTCCCTGGACCACATCCTGAGTGCGGATGAGTCAGCCGTGAGGGAAACAGCAAAAGACAGCAGGGCAGAGGCTACACACTCCAGGAGTCACTTACTTGGAGGAGATACTCGAGTTTGTAAGAAAACTTATGCAAGCTGGTACTGTCGTCTGTGATGGGTTCCCCTGCTTCCTTAAATTCTTTGCTCAGTTCTGTCACAGCACCTTTAAGACAACAAACAGGAACGTGTAACCAGGTGGAGCTGGACCTCCGAGAGAAAAGCAGAAGCCCGGGCAGCCCGAGGAGGAGGGAGTCGACGATGGCGAAGCACAGGGGAAACGTGCAGCGCCAGGCCCACGCCCACGGGGACGTAAGGCCGAGCCAGAAGGCGCCCAGGTGTCCTGAGAGCCCGGTGCTCTGCCCCAGCTCACTGGGTGGGCACACTCTGGGTCCGCCCTGCAGGCCCACCGTGCAGGCCTCGAGTGCACACGCAGCGTTTGCTCAACAGAGCTTTGCTGTGGGGCGAGTCCCTCAGCAGGGCCCTGACGCTGGCTTCCAGAGAGCCTTGCCCTTTTCCCTGGCCACGCTGCTTACGGCTCCTCAGTACCAGCCTGCTGCTCAGTGCAGGGGAGTGCAGGCTCCAAGGAGACCCAGAACGTGTAAACAACACTAAGGACAACGATGCCAAGAGTGACAATGACAGGACCCGCTCTGGGAACTGGGCACCTACGAGGGGCCAGGCTTTGCACGTCCTTCTCCTTTAATATAGCTCCGTGAGGCAGGAATATCACTTCAACAAATCTACGGTGCAACTGATTTCAACACACCCCAACTCCAGAGCTGCTAAAAGGTGAAAAGGAGTAAGCATGACGTCGAATTTTACACGGGAACCTTGGCTTTCTCAGGCGCTTTCCTGCCCAGAGTGCACCCCGTAACTTCTAAGATAACTGACCTCCCAGGGCAGAAAAGGGGGAAACCGCCTTCAGCCCTGCTGTGAGGCGGGGCGGAGGGGGCTGTGAGAGGCTGGGTTTGGCTTAGAACTTAGAAGAATGTCCCCAGCTGAGATGGCTGGAACGCGCTGGACGACAAAACTACCTCCTTCTCCGACAAGTCTCACGAGAAAAGGAGCCCCAGGGCCTGCTCTCACGCACCTCGGCCAAGAACAGGTCTGCCCAGTGCTGGGCCTGAGCTGCGGCGAAGTCAGCTCAGGGCGAAGACAGGTTCTTGGGACGGATTCGTGTAAGTGACTGCTGCCCAGCTGTGCCCTAGTAAAGTGTCAGCTGTGGCTGGCCTTGGTGAAAAGACTCTCAGCTTCCCTTCTCCATGCTTAGGCTGGGTTCACGCTCCCAAACTGATCTGGAACTCCTGACATTCTGAAAGAGCCTTTCCTTCAAAGAAGTGTCAAGATTTCAGCACCGATCTCTGATAACCCAGACACAAAACTTGTGGATATCTCGGTTTCCTGTGAATCACACGTATGCCCTGCCAGCACCCAAGGAGTGGGTGTCATCACCATCCTCCCCTGCACGGGAAGGAAGCAATCGCACCTTGGAAAGGGGGAGGGACCTGTCTGACATCTTCCAGGGTTCAAAGGCGGAGCTGTGAGCTGACCCGCGGCCCTCCTGACACCAAAGCCCAACGAGTAACTGCCGCCCCCAGGAGCAGCGGGCTGCCTGCAGGGGGGGTGGGGGGGTGAGGGCTGGGCGCTGCCCCAGGACACCTCAGCCAAGGACGTGCCGCTCTCACGGCAGAGGCTGCCGATTTGTTGGATGCTTGTTAAGACAGCCACTGACAGATGGAAAGAAAGGGTCCCGAGAATGTGGTGCCTTTAAGAACTCGCACCAGAGTGCTCCGTGGGCCGGGTCTAGGGCACTGAGACGGCTGTGGGACGTCAGGGGTGCCCAGAAGCAGCCAGAACACGGGGTAGACGAGGGCGACCGAGCAAATGCTGATGCCCGCCCTCCTTCCGGCGGGGGGCAGTGTTGCGGAGGGGAGGGGGCGGCTCCACCAGGGCTCCTCCCTCCCTCCCTTCCAGTGAGGGGCGCCAGGTCCCCGACCAGACACTGAACAGGGAAGCCTGCCTATGCTGAGGAGAAACCTCTCAAGGTCAGTTGCAGAGACTGGCATTTCACTTCCCCTGGGCACACGTGCGTGTGTGTGTAGGTTCTTTAGAAAGCACCCAGCATTTTAGCTGGAGGGAGATGGGTGCAGTTAAGAGCAGACTCCTGAACTGGGTGTGTGTGCAAGCCAGACTCTGCGGTCTGGACGTGGGACCTTGGGCAAGTCACTGAACCTCTCTGCGTCCACTTCCACATCTGCAAAGTGGGAATAACGATGAGTCCCACGGCACGGAATTGCACGTGAGGACTCTGACTTATCACGCATAAGACACGTGTGAGACAGTGCCTGGCACACGTGAAATGCCATGGAATTATTAGCTATTAGAGGCCCGAGGAGCTACAGAAATAGGAGATAAGCCTGAGAAAGCGATTTTTATCTCACCGACTGTGACCTTCAGAATGAGGACAGCACCGGGCCCTGGCAGAAGAGCCTGCAGCGGGCCCTGCTGTGTGTGAGCGGTCTGTCTGTCACGAGGGTGTCACTGCGCCGCACCCTGTGACGGGGAGGAAGCGCTGAGCTGCAGCCTGAGGCAGCCACCGTGCAGAAGCCCCAGAGAGACTTGGGAGACCGTCCCCAGAGAGGCAGACCCCGGGCCCTGGGCTGCCCCTCGCAGGGACCCTCCCGCCGCGCCTCCCTCCAGGGGGGGCCCGCGCGGCGGTCTCTCTCCCCGGGCCAGGCCTCGCGAGGGGATGCCCGGGAGGCGGCAGGCCCACGCTGGAGTCCGTCCAGAACAGGCCGCCTGCCCACCACGAGCAGGTGAGACACCGAAGCGAGAAGGACGGGCATCCAGTCTCCTGCTCAGAGGGAAGGAGACTGTTCTTCCCAGCTCCATCAGAGCCCTGAGGCTCACGACTCAGCCAAGAACACACACACAGAAATCAGCCCCAGACCGCAAAGGAGTATTTGATTTTGTTTACAAAGAGCCCCTCCAGGGCCCTGCGAGGAGGGCCAGCAGCTCTCCCGGCCTTGTGGGATGGACACTTGAGCCCCGGACATTGTGGCACGATGTGCCCCGAGGGCCCAGTTACCCCCGGGGTGGCCACAGATGGAAGGGCTGAACTTCGGCTGGCAGCGGCAACGGCACGGCGACGGCTCCTCCAAGCCGAACCCGCACGCCGTGTGGCCTGGCGTACCTTGCAGATCGCGGATGATCCTCTGGAGCTGGCTCTCCACGCTGGCCGAGGCCATGGCGACGGGCTGCAGGCCGCCTGGCCTGGCGGCGCACCTCCTGCCCGGTGGTCCGGTCAGCAGAGGTCAGACCCCATGCTGGCACCTGCGTGAGGGAGGCGGGGGTGAGGAAGCAGCAGTCACAGACTGGCGCAGAGACGGGGCACGGTCGCTGCTCTGGGCCCAGCGCTGCCCCGCCGGGCACCCTCCTGCAGCAGGCCAGGCTCGACCTTCCCGTGTGGGCCTGGCTCTGCGGGCTTTCCCTGGCCAGCTCCGGGCACACTTACCTTCAAACACAGGGAACTGGCTGGGGCCTTAAAAAGAAACAAAATACACCCAACAGTGTGGCCCATTCTTTGTGAGTTCCCCTCCTAACCTGCCCCCTCAGCTCAGCTGCACTCTCTACCTTTAAAAACACCTCCCGGTGGCCCCCCCATTCCCTCAAAACCAGGGCCGGCACTAGACCAACCCCACCCGGTCCACCAGCCTGCCAACTCCCGACCCCCGGCTCCCCCACACCCTTCTCTGAGGACTGCTGGGGGCGGGGGGCCAGAGACCAGGACACGAACCCTCGGGGTGCTGGGCCAAGGGGAGCGGCTCCCTCGGGGCAGGCCTGCAGCTCCAGGCGCCCAGAGGCCAGCTCTGCCTGGCTGGGCAGGTACCGCCGGCCTGTCCTCGGGGGCCCGGGCGGCCCTTGGCACCAGTGAAGGGACACTTCTATTTTAAGCTCGGTTACTGTCCTCCTGCGGCTGGTGAGTCCCGAGTTACCAATCCTACTAGGGCAGCTGCTGAAGTGACTTAGGGACACTGTAGCGGCCGAACCCCACAAGGATGAGGAGACGAGAGCAGTGCCAAAAAGAGGCCTGAGTGCGTACTTGGAGACCCCCGTGTCCTCGTCCCGAACCCCGACTTCTTTCCCCAGGTGTCCACGGGAAGCTAGAAGGTTTGCTGGCAAAGCAGCTGGCAAGACTGGAGGTAGCCATAGGAGCGGCCACCACTGAACGAGGACCTACTGTGCACTGGGCCCACGGGGCCATTTCCATTCCCAAGGTCACCCAGCAGCACCGGGTGGACACTGTGCAGAGGAGAAACTGGCGTTCAGAGAGGTCGCGTAGCTTCCCTAAGACCACAGGCCGGCAGGGAGCCGCTGCGGCTCGAACGCCCCGGCAGTCTGATGTCACACCGTGGGTGTGTGTGCAGCTGAGCCACTGCCACCACAGCAAAGGGTCGGCCACTTCCACTGACTTCCAGGGACCATCCCGACCTCCAGCCACCTCCCAAACGCGGTGCTGCGGCCCCGAGGGCCACGCGGCCCCACCCAGCCGCCACCGTCGTCCCCTTACTGCTCTGGGAGTCCAGGCAGGAAGATCCTGGAACAGAGATGGTCAGCAGCCTCCAGCTCCTCCAAATATTTACACAAGCATTCCAGAGCCAGCCTGGGTGCGGAGGGCCTGTCACAGGGCCGATAGGCCCGGCCTATTTTTAACTCACAAGCCAGGGCAGCTGTGACTTAGTAAAAACAAGGCCCAAAGAAGGCCTCTCCAGACGAGGAGGAACGGGACAGGCACAATCCTACACACACCCTCAGGAACTGAGGACATGGAGCTCCAGCGAGTCAGGGGATCCGGAACCTTTGGAGCTCCCCAGCAAGGGCTGGCACCTGCCCACCACAGACAGCAAACCGAGGGTGGCGTGCTTACAAGGAGCCAGGCCACCCAGCCCCTGCCCACAGCCTGAGCAGGGCCCTGGGGAGAGCTGGCGCCCAGGCTGGCCCGCACCTCTGCAGGGGCTCCGCCGCCCGGGCAGGCACTTCGGCCCCCCTGGTGGGGGAGAGGATCAAGGCCCATCACTGTCAGTGCACAGCTGCCCGGCCCCACGCGCTGCCACCACCTACTCTGTGCGGGCTGGGGGCGCAGAGGTGGGCAAGGCCCAGCCCGGCCCTAGGAGCTCGGCTGGGCACCAAGGAGACAGACAGAGAACTATCCAGATACTGAGACACGACAGGAGAGGTCCATGCAGGTGCGTGGACAGAAAGTGATGGGCACTCAGCAGTGAAAAGGAACAGACCACTTACACACACAACAAATGCTTTATGCTGCGTGAATGAAGCCAGACTGAAAAGGCTCCGTACTTTACGATTCTACCTGCATGTTCTTGCAAAGGCAAAACATCGAGGAGGAATCAGATCACTGGTTGCCAGGCGCTGGGGGTGAAGGGGGGCTTTGACTACAAAAGAGTACACAGAAATTTGGGGGGGCAATTCTGTTCTATCTTGGTTATGGTGGTGGTCACGTGACCGCAAGTATCTGACAAACGTATTTCGAGTTGTCAAAACTCACACGCTGTGAATGACGTCTCAGCCACAGCACCTGCACTGCGATGAGTTTAGGAAGCTGTGTGCGGTGGGCCCGCAGAGAGGGGAAAGCGAATTCCGCCTGGGGAAGGGACAGGAGGGGTGGGCGCTGTGAGGGCAGCTGGGCGGGGCCGGGCCTGAAAAAAATGGGCCGGAGGTCCTCGGGGGACACACGGTGGAAAGGGCACGAGGAGGGCGGCTGCGGGGGAGCTGGGGTACAGGGAGCCTGTTTCTGCGACGGCGTTCCTCTTTTTAGAGTGCTGCCAGCACAGAGAGCCTTGCAGCTTCTGGGAGAACCAGTCCCAGAGGAAGATGACTAACGCCCACGGACCGACCGTAAAGGAAGCCTGCTGGGCGTGCGTGTTTACTTGAAGCCCAGGCAAGACCTGCGCACGTGGGAGGGGTGGGGCGCCGGCCGGCGATCAGGACAGACCCCGTGCTCTGTGCTAGCTCGGCAGGCCCGGCCCGGCCCGGACAGTGCAAGGCCTGTACCACAGCCGGGTTTCCTGGAAACCTGAGGGCGAGGCCCTCTGTGGAGTCTGGCGTGAGGGAGCAACGCGGGCAAACCAAACTGGCATCTTGGCACGATGAGCCGAACACAGACACGAGCGAGCTCCTTCGAGACTCCCTGGCACTCTGGTGAGGCCGCCCGGTGTGGCCCGAGCCCAGCGGCCCTTCCTCGCCTGACCCCGGCCGGTGCCCCGCTGAAGCCCAGTTCCCGGGCCGCGGGGTGAACGGTGCCAGCTGCTGACCGCGCAAGCTGCCTTTCCAAACCGCCCGCGTCACTACCAAAGTACCGAGCCCCGAGAACCTGGTGCTGGGCCCGCAGGCCGAGGGGGCTCCCCACCAGGGCCGCGGGTCACCTCCTCACCCGGTTTTAGGAAGGCCGGGCTTCCCTGAAAGACACGGCCTCCACGGGGACGCCGACTCCACGGGTCTGGAAGGGACGTGACTCAGCACCGCGCCCTCTCTCTTCCTTAATCCGCGGCCGCTGGTGACCAGTGCGAGCACAGAAAGGGCCCTGTCTCCCTCCACACTGTGCTCAGCTCCTGTGTCTCCAGATAGCCTTGCCCTCTGGTTGAGGAACGAAGTTTCTTTTTTTCTTTTTCTTTTTTTTTTAAACTCACAACACTCTTAACACCAAATCGTGGCTGTTTCCCACACCAGGAACCACTTCTGACACCTGGTGTCCCACAATTCAATCCAATTCTGACACTAACCACTTGGGAGAACACTGTGTTTTCTTGCCAACAACTCAAAATCATGTTTAAGCTTAGCCAGAGTGTCTGACAACACCCAACCTTCTGAAAGAGGAAAAGGGACTAAATGCATTTTTTACTATTGTTTTACCTGGGACTATTGTCTGAACACCTAGTCATGGCTTAGGTATTATATGAGAGGTCAAGGATCTTCCCCCACCTTGAAATTCCCCCTAGACCTGCCCAGAAGCCCTAAAGGCCTTAGACAATAGACACAGCAGTTGAGTGCCAAACCAAGGTACAAAGACTGACTCACATAAACTTATTTACACTATGGTGCAAATGACTAATATTCTCGTCGCCCAGAAATGGGTTCTGGCAGGGGCAATACAGCATCCGAGTATCCAGAAATGAAGGATCAGAAGGGGAGGAGGATATCTAGGGCATGAAAGGCAGCCCGGTCCGGCCTTCAAACTTCGTCATATTGCTCATAACAAGTACTGACAACAATAACACAAGAACTGAGAACTGACCCAGAGAGGGCACGGTACAATGGGGCTCCTCCCACTCTCAAACAAATCCCACCCAGACCCAGGAAGGGTGTTAACAAGTTCAGGTCAAAGCAGGAAGCCTTTCTGGAAGAGTCCGCTGCCTTGGCCTGGTTCAGCACACCCAGGAGCAACTGCCCGGCTACCGTCTGTGGGCGGGGCTCTGGGATGGTACCTGTGGCTCTGAGGGCCCACGGTCCCGCTGGCTCGGCGCTGAGTCGGTGGGTGGGCGGGCGGGCTGCCCTCACCAGAGCTTCAAGAAGGTGCCTAGGAGAGTGCTCAGTTTGTCGGAGGCCGGCCCGGAGGGAGACACTGCCGCACACGTGAGCCGCGGCTCCTTGGGCAGCCCTACCCTCAGACCTATAATTAAAATGTTGACCAACCGTACGCCTGACTCATCTTTCCCAAGCACTCCTTGCTTGCAATCGTCTCCCTTTCTTGAAGGGGATGGAGACTTCAGACGCACTGACCTGGCCGGACGCACTGACCCAGCCAGCACTGCCGCCACTCACCCAGCGCTGCCCAAGGCCCTCGGCCTCCTCTGTTCCTGAAGTCGGGGTCTGGAACCATCCAACAGGAACACTGCGAGGGTGGGTGGGGGAGGCACTGACGGATCTGAGCTCGGCTGTGCTCCTGGGGTGACAAGGGCAGCGACCCAGGGATGGGTGGGGCAGGGGCCGGGCTATGCTGGCAGATCGAGGGGCAGCAAGAACCAGGGCTGTGGGGGTTGTAGCAGTGGGCAAGGAAACAGTCTTCTTTATCAACTGTAGCTGAGTCTCGCCAATTTGGACCTACTCAAATTTAGAATCAGACTAGTCATGTGAAATTCCCATTACCTATCGTGCAATGAATAACGCAATAAAGATCACGCCAGCATGGGGTGAGGTCCACGGTGCCTTTAGCTCACCAAACTATTTCCAGGCAATTTTAGCAAATATCTCCGTCCTGAGGGTGTTATTTGACCTCTTCCTACCTTGTGTATGTGAGTGTATGTACGCATGTGTATGTGTGTGTGTGTGTGCGCGTGTGTGTGGGGGGGGGAAGGTTGTTCGTTTGTTTTTTAGGTACAATGAGGGGAGGATACCTTGACCTGCCTTCACTGCGGAGCCGGGGAAAGAGAAGAGCAGGCATCCTCAGCAGTCACCTTGGGCTGAGGCTCCTACTAAGTGCCCCCGACCTGACTAACCAAGTCTGCGGGTGCCCTGGAAAAACTCCCTCCAGCTCCACGTTAAGGGGTCAGTGGTCCAGCCCCTCATGGACCCTTCTAGGGATTCTCTTGGCCTAGCTCTCTGCATGCTAATGACTTGCTTGGAATGCTTTTTTCTGCTTCAAGTTTTTCTTCTAAATTGCAAGTGCTTCCCTAACAGTTTCCTGCCCCAGGCAGAGGGTGCACTACCGGCCCCTGCCCCAGATGGTTGGTCAAACCTGCCCCTGACCCCTGAACCAGCCGCAGAGCCACAGGACCAAAAGCGGACCGAAAGTTCTCCTGTCTGTCCTCAGAACTACACGGATGTACACACACACCCTCATCCCTGAAAGCAGGAACAAAGAGCCACTTGGTGTCTTTCAAATGCCACCGAGAGCTGCGGGGGGGGGGGGAAGGACCACCAGTGGTCAGCCACTGCCACCACCTGGGTGACTGGCTCCAACGTGAGGAGGGGGGACACGCCTCCCCTCCTGGACAAGGCAGCACAGCTCCGCCCCCCTCACCCTCTAAAAGCCACGGAGCCCACGTGCTCTGACAGTGAAGCTCTTATTGCTGGGACAGTGCAGTGACACATTCAAAAACAGCAAGCTAAACAGTCTCATGGAAACAACTCAATACCCACCCCACTGGGTTGCTGAGTCGTTCAAACAGAGGCTCGTACACCAATCAACAGCTTGAAAACAAACACACAAACAAACAAACACTGGCACTGAGATTACAAACAGAAAACACAGTTTGTCTCTCGAGCAAGACAATGACATTCCTCCACCAGGTGAGCAGATGTTGACAAGGTCAGACTCCACTCATGTCTGCTTACGGGCGGCTCCCGGCCATGACACGCCACGGCTAGCGAACCTCACCCGCTGCGCTGCCTGGGCCGCTCCAGCGCCCGGAGCTGCCCACTGGGTTCCTAGCCATGGTTTTCACCAGGAGCCCCCTGCTAGCCGACACACTTCCTCTGCTGCGAGTCAAAGGCGTCCCAGGCCTGAGTCAACAAACGTGGCCCTGGAATCACCAGAAAACAGTTCACCCTTCAGCCAAGCCTCTCCCCTGGAGGAAGGTGGTCAGCCGGCCATGGGTGCTGGCTGCGTGTTCTGGACGCAGCAGCCCACGGCCTCGGCGACCAACGTGGGTCAAAGTCACCAGCTGCTCTTGAAGGGGAGCAGAGTTCACCACTCCAAAAGATGCCTCTTTGGGATACCGATTATTTTCAGTTACCGTATTTTGCCCTGTATAATGCGCACCCAAGTTTTGGGCCCAACCTTGAAGGGGAAAAAAAATCTTTTATTTTAATTTTTTAATTGTTTTATTTATTTATATTTAGATACTTGTTTTTTGTATTATGAAGGAATTTTAGCATTGCTCTGGAACATATTATGGGACAAGAAATTTTACGCAACGGATATTACCAAACACAAGAACAGACACAAGGTATGTGAGGTACCACCCATGTATAATGCACATCCTTATTTTTCCCTCAAAAATGTGGGCGAAATGCGCATTATGCATGGCAAAATACGGAAACGGGCAGATGTGGGAGAAGCTCTGAAAGCCTGGAAGCTTCCTTTGGTAAAAGGACGTTCACATGTGGAAGGGAAATCTCCATTGGCTGGTTGGGGTGTTCCCCCTGCCTGTGCCGGGCCTGCTTCTGCATTCCACGGGGCAGGCAGGGCCGACATCTGTGTGACAACCGCACCCCCGTGTTTCCCGGCTCACCTGGTGACCTCCCATCACTGTCCCTCCACCCCCAACCCCTGCCTTCCTCTTTAGCTGAGGGCGGTATTTAAGGTGATGGCTTCCACCATTGGGGGAGCTGCCCAGTGTTGCTGGGTCTCTCCCATGTATACAGGAGGGTTACGTATGATCAAACTTTAGCTTGTTTTTCTCTTACCCGTTTGTTTTATGTTAATTTGACTAGTAGTCCAACCAGAAGAACCTTAAAGGGTAGAGAATAATTTTCCCTTCCAGACATCTGTTTTAAGCGGTCCCTCTCCTCACAAACAGCTGTGGGAGCCATCCTGTCCCCCGAAAAGGACCAGGCTAAACACGTGGCTTCGGAACCCATTTGGGTCCCGGGAAACCAACCACCAGGAGCAAAGATCAAGGAGTGGGCAGAGGGCTGACTCTAACACAACTACAAAAACCATCCAAGTAAAATATTACTTGCAGAATCTAACAGGTGGGCGTGGGCTCACTACACGATTCTTTCAAAGATCCTGTGTTTAACTGCTTCCCTAATAAAATCCTGAAAGCAATTTAAAAACAAAAGAGGCAGAAAACCCATTTCCCAAAGCAAGAGCCCTTTCAGATCCTTTGAATCAGAGAAACTACAGCCCATCTCCGAGGCAGCTGATTAACTCTGCTTTCCGGGGTGACAACAATAATGGCCCGCAACCGGCACGGGGCATTCAATACTTTAAGAACGGGTCCTGTCACGGAAGGGGGGTGGGGGTCAAGTGCGGCTCACTCAACCTGGGCCCACGGCAGAAGGTGGGAGCCACGGAACGCAGAAAACCTTCCACCTGACACCTCTCTGCCGGCGGCCGCATCACCCAGCACCCGCATTACGCAGATGGCAGGGACCCGAAGGCTGGCGGTGGCAGGAGGGCCGTGAGCAGATTAAGGCCTGATCCTCCGTCCTCAGAGCCCCTGACCCATTTCTCTGCCGGAAAAGGAAACGGCTGCGGCCAGACAAGCAGAGGGGCAGAGAGCCTGTGGCCAACACGGGCCATGCTTCACTTGGTGCTCTATTTTTTTTTCTTTTTTTTCTTCTGGAGGGGGCAGCCAATGAGAACTGTGAAGAGTGACAAAAGCCACCCGGAGATGCAAGCACGTGGTTAATGTGTCAACCCCACAAGATTTCTTATAAAAATAGTACAAGTCAGCCCCCTCTCTACACCCCCAGCCTAGGTTCTGCATCGCACGGACTCCATCAGGTCCGCAGCAGCGGCCGCCCGGAGGCAACCCGCAAAGCCACGGGCGATTCGGGAGAGGTGGCCCGGGGGCGATCCCGAGACCCTGCGCCAGGGCACAGGGCCAGTGGGGCAAGCGCGACGGGCCGCGACCGGAGCATGTCCCGGGATGAACAAACCGTCCTCGGGACATCAGTGGAGTCTCTCCAAGTGGAGGTCCGCGCTGTGCTAGCCCAGCTGAGCCTGGAACCTGCTTCTTCAGGTCGGCCAGCCTCTGGGCCAATGCAAGCAGACACCTGGGGACCTGTCCTCCGGTGCCTAAAACATCCCAGCTTGTTCTGACACCCCTCACAAGGTGGGTTCCTCTGCGGCCCCTCGGCCGTTAGGGGTCTTGGGGCTGGTGTTGGGGGGGTTCTAACTGGTCACCAGTGGCAGCCTGGGTTCCAGGGTCAGTATCACCTGCCTGAGCTACTTCCCCGGGCCGCTGGGCAAGGGGCCCGGGAGGGGTCTGTGGGAGACGCGGGAAGGGCAACAGGTGACCAGCCGCGACTGGAAGGAAGTTCTCCGCTGGGGAGCCGAGAGCAGCCTACGCAACCCCAGAGTCCGGCTGGTCCCCCGGTGGCACTTACGCGCTCGTGGGTCCACCGCTGGGCAGAACCGAAACTTTCTGGGGCCAAGCGGAAGACTGAGAGAGCGCGGCGTAGACGGCCATGATACGCAGACCCCGCCACAAGCGGGCGCGGACTACAATTCCCGGCATGCTCCGCAAGCCCGAGGCCTACAACGCCCACCGGACCCAAGAGTGGACGGGCGCAGACTACAACTCCCAGCATGCTCCGCAGAGCTGAGGTCTACAACTCCGCAGGTCCTCCTGGCGTGCGGGCGGTTAACCCTTTCAATCTCGCAGGCCTGTGTGTCTGCAAGCCGCGCGTCTGGGCGGTTTCTTGAAAGCAGAGCTGTCTATGCCTGACTTCTGAGAGTTTGAAATGCGGCCAGTTTGAGTTGAGTTGTGCATGGATTTTAAGTGCAGAATACATCTGAATTCCAAAGACTTAGTACGAAGAAGAATGTAAAATGAATATTTTTATATTGATTACATGTTGAAATGATAATATTTTTAATATGTTGGACTAAATAAAAAACATTACACATTGTTGGGTCTAATGTCCCGTCTTTTGACCTCCCTTACTTCTTAACACAGGACACTACTGAAAATCTAAAACTGCGTTCATGTACGAACTAGCGTTCCTAACTTCTGCCCAACTCTCAGCTCAATTTCCATTCACAAGTTATATTTTCTAAGTCGCAAAGCACTCTGAGGCTGGACTCAATAGAGCAAAATGCATTCATTAATATGGCTCTCTGCAATAATATCTGCTCTTATAGTGTGTATGTGGGAAAGGTAATAACAAAATCATTTTGTTTTCTTGTTGATTCCCCGGAAGCACTGTAGATAACACTTTGTCATTCTTGGGTGTAATTAGCTGGGAGGTCTTGCCATCAAATAGATGGAGCTGTGGTTCCAACTTGGCTACCACCCAGTGGTGTAACCCTGGCCAGGTCTCTTTTCCTCTTGGTGTCTGCTTCCTCACCAGTAAAACGAGGAAAAGTGTTGTGAAGACTGAATGATATAATAGGTGTGAAGTGTTCCCCAAATTCCTGGTACCCAGGGTGCACTTCAAAATAACAATAATGATGATGATTATTATATGAATTCTATTAACGCGCACCAGGATGTAATCAGCAAGGCAGCCAAACAATGCTTTTAGATTTTGCTGTATCTCCTCCTTCACAAAAGGTGAGGTGTTCAAAGGGCAGGGTACCACAAGCACGTGTCCATTCCACATGCTTGACTAAAAGGATTGTCATGTGAATTAAAAAAAAAACAACAATAAACCCAAAGGATATTCTTCCAAAAGCAAACTTAGCTTCTGCGGGTCACACCTGAGGAAGTCACGCACATACAAAATTTCCCTCTCTGTAGTACTGCTTTGCTATATTGATTGGTTTTCCTACCTTAACCTTTCGAGTCTGTTCCTCTTTCATGACTGTTGTGTCTTGTGCACTAAATGTTCAGTGGCTGGTACAGTACGGTGACTCTGTGACCTGACGTGTGCCAGGCACATAGCACAATGCCTGGCACACAGTAGTTGCTCATCAAATATGTGTTGAGTGAGTGACCAAATGAATAAACACGCCAGATCCGGTTTCTCAAACTTGGCTCTGCATTAGAACCACCTGGGGAGCTTTTCGAAATCTTGGTGCCTGGCAGCACCCCAGACCAATTGCATCAGAATCCGTGGATGTGGGACCCAGGCATCATCAGTGTTTTTTTGAGCTCCCCATGGGATCTAGCGTGCGGCCCAAACTGAGAGCCACGCCCTGGATGTGGGAGTGTGACCTCTCAGAGCCATGATGTTCTGCTCAGTCTAAGTGGGGAGACCGAAGCCTCGCAGGGTGGCTGTGAGATGTGGAAATGTATGGACCCAGCACAGAGTAGGTCCCAGGAGAAGCCAGTTTGCAATCTCCTGCATGCATCTCCAGTTAGCTGCAGCCTTCCGTGTGGGTGAGGCAGACAATGAAACCATACTGGGGGCGTCTGAGACGCGCTGGAATTCCCCGCGCACCCACTGGCACTTGTGCCCCGTGCCAGTTTGCTCGGGTGAAGAGATCGAGGCGTTGACAGAGTTGGTTCCTTTTGCAGCCGTGAGGGAGGATGGGTTTCGTGACCGCCTCCAGCTTCTGGTGGTTGTTGGCAATCGTTGCTGTTCCCTGGTTTCTGGCAGGACAACCCAGTCCTCACACGGCATTCTCCCTTGGTCCAGGTCTGCGTCCACATTCTCCCTTTTTCAGAAAGACTTCATCTTAACTCATGCCATATGCGACTACCCTGTTTCCAGCTAAGGTCGCGTTCAGAGGTACTGGGGGTTAGGGCTTGAACACGCAAATTTGGGAGGAAGGCACAATTCAACTCATAACATGCCCTAAGCTAATGGAGATGCAACCTGTGACATTATAGACCCATAGACTTTATTTTTTTTAGAAATTTCAGGCAGTTTTTTTAAGATTTTATTTATTTATTCTTAGGGAAGGGAGGTAGAGAGAGAGAGAGAAACATCAATGTGCAGTTGCTGGGGGTTATGGCCTGCAACCCAGGCATGTACCCTGTCTGGGAATCGAACCTGCGACACTTTGGTTCGCAGTCCGCGCTCCATCCACTGAGCTACACTAGCCAGGGTAGACTTTATTTTTTAATCATGGGAAGGGATCTTTGACATCACTGAGTTCAAACCCCTCCAGTGAAACTGAAAAACAAAAACAAAAACAAAAACAAACCTCTGAAGGAGGGAAAGTGCCTTGCTTACGGACCCAGCCAGCAAAGTGGGTGTGACTTCCCATTGGGACCAAAATTTGTGGGTCCTCTAATTTTGAAATAAGCAGAAGATACTTCGGAGAATTAGCAATGTTTGGTGGTGGTGTTTTTTTTTTTAACCTTATATCTTCTTTACCATTGGATGAGGTCAGAGGCAGACTGTTGAACCAGTCACAATCAAAGTGGGGGGAACAGATACAGGTGGGCACTTCCTTCCCCGAACTCCCATCATTCATTGCAAAGTTCCTTGGAATAGCTTCGGCGACAGGTTTAAGGTGTGTATCCCCAGCTATGTGGACAATCAGGCCAGGTCGTTTTCTCTTAGTCCAGAGGGTTCGTTCAGATCGTCTGGAAAGGGGGCCAGGAACTCCCTGGGACTGCAGTGGTCCTATGGAAACCTTTCTCCAAATGGAACGGCTAGCGGCTGACCAGCTGGGGAGTAGGGTTAGTTCGTCCTTGCCGTCTCCCCCCCACCCACAACACAGGCTTCGCACTGGCTTGGCACTGGCGGGCCCTCCACAAAGGAGGCCAGGAACCACCTCGAGGTCCACACCTCCTCCCGCCAGCTCCTCCCTCATCCCTGATCCCTGCAATCGTCCAATCCCCCAGGCCCAGCTGTCACCCATTTCTTCCAACTATGAACGATGCTCAAGACTGATTTTCTGAAATGGTCAAAGTCAAGGAACTGGGCTGTCTTTGTCTTCCTGTGGTCCCTCTTGCCACACTTCCTTTTGTGGGGGCTGGGGAGGTTGTGTGGGAGGGCACTGCAACAACCTCACACCTAAAATCTGGACCGGTCCATCCACGGTGGAGAGGCGAGCTCTGTACTCAGAATAATTTAGTGAGGAGTTAGGATAATCCCACTTCCCCTTCCCAAACTCCTCCCCAGACTGCGAAGTATGTCCTGCCAGATCTTCAGGATGCCTGACATCCCCAGCAGGAAGCAGTATCATTCCTTCTGGTGGGAGGGCTGATCTCTGGACGGTTCCCGTTCAGACACAGCTGGATCAGGAAATAGGAAAAAGCCCCGGACTTGGGGACAGAACATCTGGGTGTTAGGCCACCGGAGAGACAGGGACAGAAAACCGAGCCGCAGAGCACTCAAGGCAGACTTGGCCTCGGACAATTTTTTCTGAGGCCTAAATGGGGCCAGTTTCCTGCCATCCTGACACACCTGGGTCTTGTTCCACTCTTGAGCTCCAATGCTTCCTCTGTATCCCTCCTTTCACCTCTAAATCCTAGCCCAGCCCCCCTCTGCAAGCAGAGAACTTTGAGGAGTCTTATGTAATGATCTTGGGTAGCAGTTTATTTGTGTATATGATACAAGGAAGCTTTCTGTTTTCATAAGATGATCACAAGAGGAATGCATGTTAGTCTGCGGCCAAATGCTTTACAAAGCAAGTATTTTTACACACATGACCTCCAGCACACCTTTCTTGTGTGGTTACGGTCTGTCTTTGTGTTGCTGACATTTATACAGTTTAAGAGATAACCGTTTACTGAGGCTCTGAGAGACCCAAGGTCACAGTGAGGGAGTGAAAGAGCTTGGATTTGGCGTCTGGGTCCAGGCCTCCCATTCCAAGGGCCTGCTCAGCCCGTTTACTTTGGGAATCTGTCTGCTGGGCTTCCCATCCATGGGGGCCCCTCTGCCAGCTTTCCCAAATGGAAGCCTTCAAGACTTCAATGCACCGGCCGATGTCTGGGCTGGCGGGCTCAAGAGGAGGATTATGGGAAGCCCATGGGTGGGGCCAGGAGTTGACTGGCAGACATACTATAGGCAAATGATCAGAAGAGGAAATGGAAATAGAAAACAAAGCAAACCAAAAAGATGGTCTCCTATTCACTTACTCCCCCAGCCACAAATAGTCCAGGGCACCAAGGAAGGTTCTAGACATGCAACACAGATTGTGCTCTCGAGGGAGTTCCACGCTGGCTGGGGTCATTGGAGGTTGGGGGCTGCCCTGGGCTTGGAGGTTGTCCCTGTTTGACAATCGGCAGGGTTCCTCTCCTCTTGCTTCTGTCTGAGAGAACGTGGCGATGGAAATGCTGTGGGGAGGGTCTTCCTTGGGTACCACTGGGGATTTTTTAGGCTCCGGGAGGGTAGGTCTGCAGCCCAGCGTCCGGGGCATCCTTTTTTTAACTGTTGGGAGAGCGACAGTCCCGTAAGAGTCTAGCTGAGGTCGCACAGTGGTTTCAGTGGGTGGCGGGAGGGGGAAGCAGGAGGTTGTGGTGAGTGGAGGGGGTGGTCAGAGAACAGAGAGTGTGATCCCTGGCCTCATCCATGCTCCTTTTCTGATAGGATGTCCCTCCACCTTCCCATTTATACCTCTCTGTCTCCTGGCCTCTCCCCTTGGATTCTCAAGGAGCTGGATTAGGAGAGGACTCTTGGTTAAAGATCCCTCTGAGAGCTGGTCTATCAGGAGTGCCAAAACAGCACTAGAAACGTAAAGAGATGAACATGATCGTATTTCACGAAGTGCTCCTAGGGAGGTGGCTGTATGTGTTGAAGGAAATACTTGGATACGCATCTGGGGACTGAAGGAATGGGGTGGGGCAAGGAGACGGTGGATCAAGCCTCTCCAAGGGGATGCCCCGTGGTGATACAAGACCTCCCAAACCTGCCTTCTAAGAGGAGCAGGCTCAAAACCCACTTTGGTTTGGCCAAGTGGATACAGGAGCAGGAAACCTCTGTCCTTCTGCTCCTTCAGCTCAGCCTGCCGTGCACATAAAAACTGAACAAAAGTTTAATACTATCCGTTTGAGAGGTAGGGGTGCCGGGTGATGCGCCCGACAGAGGCCCACAGGCTTAGCTCTGACCCTGAAACCATCTCACCGTCTCCTTCCTCTTGCTGTTTCTTCCATCCACGGCGAGTGACGGCCCCGCCTGCTGGTTAGCCAGTCCCTTCTCTGGTTCACTGCCCAGCCCTCTCCAGCAGGTGTTACTGACCTAATTCTTAAAATTAGAGCCTCACTCTTCCCCGGCAAGGTCAAACTCCTCCACGGCTGGCCACCCACGGGGCAACTGGATCATCGACATCATAGCTGGAAATGGAGGGGAAAATGCCATGTAAGCTCTCTAGGCTCCAGCCCAGGGCGGTCTTCGCTGCTACCTTATTCAACAGGCATATATTGAGTGCCGCAGTGACTCTGTGCAAGGTCCTGCCCAAGGATCTGTGGCAGATCCTGGAAGTCCCATTTTCAAGGAGTTGCAGCCAAATGTTTCCGACTAGGGTGCATGTCTGGATCACCCGGGGAGCTTTGCCAAAGGCTTCGCTGCGGAGCTGAATCAGGTCGACAGATTGGGACCAGGTCTGTGTGTATGGGAAAGTTTAGAGGGTGGCTTTCCCCTCTGTCCTTGGATGTGAAGCGGTGGAACCGTGTAAGAGACAGGCATGTGTACCATGAACTAAAAAGCAAGATCAAGTGTAGTCATTGCCCCTTGACCTTGGAAAAGATTAAGCAATGTACTCTGCGCATAGACCAGGAAAGGAAGGTTAATATCTATAAAGAAGAGGCCTGGGGCAAGGAAGGTAGAAAGTGCCCCTGGGCACAGCTCCTCAAAAAAGCACAAATTAGAAGAAGAGTGACAGCTGTCATTCTTTGCTCCCACTTAGTACACTGCGACAGAGCACCAGGGTCCCTGCTTGGCAGGGCGTAGGACCAAGTTCCTGCCCTCAGGCGATTTGCGGTCTCCTGGGGCAGGGAGATAAGCCATGCGCGTGTGTAACTATGACATGTGGTAGAAAGGACAAATGATATTTTTGAGGGGACCAGCAGAGTGCCACGACAGCCCAGAGAGTGCTCTCCTGATCTGAAGATTGGGGAGGGCCTTCTGAAGGAGCTGGCCTTTCAGCTGGGGCTTGTACATTAGGGAGCAGAAGCACAAGTGTCCAGACCCAGGTGGCAGCATGCCAGAGGCCCAGAGGAAACTGGGAGAAGGATGTCTGGAAGAGGCCCCATGGTCTTTTGTGGTTGGATCCCAAGCTAGTGGGGGTGGGGCTTTAGGGTGGAGTGAGAATGGAAAAGTCAGCTGGCACTGGATTGCAGGGGCCTTGGAGCACTTGCTGAGGTGTTTGGTCTTTCTTCCTGTGTGATAAGGAGCCACTGGGGGTTTTGAGCACCCTGATTTCAACGCAGAGGACACTGGTGGGGAAAGAGGTGAGCTGCAGGAGGGCACCGAGGAAGTGAGGCCATTTGGGGATGGATCCGTGGGCGTGCAATGGCGAGAACAACTCTGAGAGACCTTGGGAAGGTGGAGTCAATGGAACCTGGCCATGGGAGTGATGGGAAAGGACAGCAGGGCTCAAAGATGACTCAGGTTTGGAGGCCGAGCGACCGGAGGGGAGGCTGGTGCCATCAAGTGGGAGGAGAACATTGCAGGTGGGAAGTGACGAATCTGAAGCGTCTGTTCAACATCCAGCTGGAGAGAATGAGATGCCAGAGGCACCTGCACCTTAGGCGCCTTCACCGAGGTGGGTGCTTACTTATCTGCGCCTTCGGAGCTGGACTGTTGGCACCTGGTGGGGAGCAGCTCTACCTTGTCTATCTTTATCTCCTCCCAATGCACACTCCATGCAGAAGACAGCCTTTGTTGCATCCATTTGTTTCCATAAGAGACCGATGGACTAAATGGGCAAAGCCAGTTCATGTGCTGGAAACTGGAGTCACGACACAGAACACGTCTCCAGTCCAGCCGCGAGCTTCTAGACTCCAGACTTCCTTCCGACTATGCTTACATGAGACTAGGGTTACTTTTTGTCCTGCGGACAGTCTCATCCAGTCGCCACTGAGGAAGACAGAACCCATGCTCCCCAAAACCAGCTGGGACAACCCGACAGTCAGGAATGGCAGAGACCGTCTCGCCGGCAGCCTTCTCTTGTGCAATTATCGCTCCTAGTGAGTTTCGGCCCCTCATCCAGTCTTGAAGAATGCTCCTTTCAGGGAAGCCTTTCATGGTTTCCATTCATTCAGAACCTTCTGAACTCAGCAATGATAAGAAATACAGGCCTCCATGAATGCGTTAATGAAAGAATGAGTAATAAACTCGGAATCTAAGAAATGTTTTTCTCGAGGGCAATATACAATTTCTGGGCAGTGAGCCACCTTTCTGCAGAAGAGGGGGCATAGAGGACTGGCCCAGCGTGAGGTATGTCGCCCCCACCCCTGCAGCCGGCAGCACCGCCAATGTTGCGCCTTCTGCGATGCACCACTCCTCTTTGCTCCCACCCCAGCTCCTCCGTGCACCTCAACCTGCAGCACCGCCCTCTTCTAATAGAAGGAGGCACCCTCCGAGTGGAAGGCACGTGGGGAGTGAGGTGGCGAGGAAGAGCTGGGCGCCTGTGACCGGCAGAGCCAGAAGGTCTGGAGCAGACTTTTGAGGTGTCTGCGGAACTTGACGCCCACGAAGACGTAGAGCACTGGGTTGAAGCAGCAATGGGAGAAGGCCAAGTTGCGGCAGATGAGCAAGGCGTAATGCAGCTGCTCGATGGCCCTGCAGCTCTGAATGATCTCCAGTTTCTGCAGCGTCTGCAGGAACAGGACCAGGTTGTAGGGAGCCCAGCTGACGAAGTGTGCCAGCACGATGGTGAGGATGAGCCTGACGGTCCGGTGGTGCCGTTTGGACCGGGAGCGGCACAAGGTCCTGAGAATCTCCACGTAGCAGAACAGGATGACCCCCATGGAGAACAGGAAGAAGACGATGTGCTGGTAGGCCGAGGCGAGGAACCACTTGGTTTCAGAATAATCACATATTGATGACGTTTCTAGATCATCAAACACCTTGTGGAACATGGTGTCGGGGATGGAGGACAGGATGCTGGCTGCCCACACAGCTGTGGTCACTGACACACGGCACCAGAGGGTGTGGACCCGCAGGGACGAGAGGGGGCTCACCACGGACTGGTAGCGCAGCATGGTCATGATCGTCAGGAAGAAGATGCTGCTGAAGAGGCTGGTGGAGAACATCAAGTTGGAGAGCTTGCAGAAGAAGTCTCCCAGCACCCAGCCCAAGTGGTACCCCAAGGTCCACAGAGGCAGCAAGCAGGCGAACACCAGGTCTGAGAGGCACAGGTTGAGGATGAAAACGTTGGTGAGGGACTCCAGGCTCTCGTACTTCACCAGGACCCACAGCACCAGGCTGTTGCCCACCAGGCTGAGGAGGAACACCAGCGAGTACAGGATGGTGGTGTTAAAGGCCGCGAAGGTGGAGGTCTGCAGCTCGCACATGAGGCCGTCAAGTTCATAATCCCCAAGAGTGGTGGACTCTGGGATGCCTGAGGGCTCCATCTAGACACCGGGAGCATCTGAAAGGATACAGGCATGGAGTTTAAAGCCACGTGGTTAGGCTAGAGTGCAAGAGCATTCGTGTTGCAGACATGGGTGGTCCATGGACCCGCTACCTACCGGCTGGTGAATTGTTTGTAGTGAGATTAGGAACTTTTACCAGAACATGCAGGCATTAAGCGTACTCTAGCATGCTTAGCGCTTTCTGCTTAGCAAGATTTTCTTGATGAAGAAAGAAGTGAATGAATTTACATTCTATCCTAAGTCCCTTTTCTCCTTGAAGATTGGTATTTGAGGAGCACTAAGCTAGACCGGTCTCCTAGGTGCAGGAAAAAGAAGTGGAACTGGATTCAAAGATGTGAGATCAAATTCCGGCTCCATGACTGCGTTCCTGGGCAAGTCACCGAAGCTCTCTGAAACTCAGGTCCTCATTTCTGACACAGAGCTAACGAGGCCACAGTCACGCCATAATTTATTCAACAAATATCTAGTGAGCATTTACTATGTCTGCCACCTCCCTCCCTCCTTTTCTCTCCTCCTTTTTTTCTTCCTCCACTCCCTTCTTTCCTTCGTCCCATACGATGTTGAAGTCCCGATGGCAGGATTGTTTGAAAAACCTTGCTGTCTCCTGGAACAGGCTCAAACAGAGATGACAGAGATGGAGCACGACTCTCTCCTAGGAGAGGGCTAGAGAGCAAGAGCCCCGAATTCTGTGCATATCTCTGCCATAGAAATGTTGGGCTGGCCACTCCACCATGAGCACACCAGTGCAAGCTAAAAGAACTGAACTTTTGGCCCTGGCTGGCGTAGCTCAGTGGATTGAGCTTGGGCTGCAAACCAAAGTGTCGCAGGTTTGATTCCCAGGCAGGGCACATGCCTGGGTTGCAGGCCACAGCCCCTAGCAACCGCACATTGATATTTCTCTCTCTCTTTCTCCTTCCCTTTCCTCTCTAAAAATAAATTAATAAAATCTTAAAAAAAAAAAAGAACTGAACTTTTGAGCTGCTGCCCACTTCAGGGGAGTCAAAGGTAAGAGTTGAGTTGGCCACATTCATTGTCTGCTAAACAAATGAGCAACATACAAACAATCAATACTTATCAAAAGAATAAAATGGAATTCAGTCTCCACAACACGGCTTTTATGAAATTCAGGATACCGTACAGAATTACTCAGCTTATGAAGAACTAGGAAAATATGGCCCATATTCAGAACAAAAGACAATGCAGAAACTGACCGTGAAATGACCTGGGTGTTAGAATTTGCAGGAAGGATGAAAATGCAACTATTATAACAATGCTCAAAGGTAGAAAGGAAAAATATTCATGATGAATGAAAAGATAAGGAATTTCAGAAGAAAAAGAAAGAAAATTATGTAAAAGGTCCAAAAGGAATTAGAAGTCAATAACAATAAGATATGTAGAAAAGCCTCAATAATGTGGAAGTACAACTTCCAAAAAAAAATCTACGAGTCAAAGAAGAAATCACAAGGCAAGTTGTCAAATACAGTGTCCAGAAGAAATAACGGTGCTGGAGCGTGATTGGGAGGGTAATAATACGGGTGTAATAAATTAGTTTTCACTTGAACATTTTATCTAAAATGGCACACAGTGTGCTTGAATGTGATATTGTTATGTTACAGAATTGCATGCTCATGATTTTGTAATGCAAGATTTTGTAATAAGAGGGGGGCGTTATTTGTGCCACACCCTGCAATTTTTTTTTTTTTTTTTTTGGAGTGGGTCATAATGAAAATAGCACATACCAAATTAATGGGAGGCAACTAAACAGCCCTTGGAGAAAACGTTCCAGCTCTCAATGCTTTAATTAGAAAGAAGAAAGGTCTAAAACCAGTGACCTAAAATGAGTGACTCAGAAACCAGAAAGAGAAGGACAAGTTAAACCCGAAGTAAGTCGAAGGAAGGAAATCAAGGAAAAAGAAGACATACGGGAGTAGAAAATAGAAAAGAGAGAAAATGTACAGAACAAAAACTGGCAGGTTGACAAGCATCTGTCGCAGCCCTGAGACTCCAGCCAGACCGATCGCGAACAAAAAGAGAATGGAAACTGTCAACAGCGGGGCGAAGGCGAAGTCATCGCTGCAGAGCTGACGGACTTCAGAATAGCACATTGATGAAACAGTGCTTTAATTTTATCTGAGCAAAGTCAACAGCTTCAATGAAATGCAAGAAAGCTTTCAACATTCTCCATGTACTAAAACTAATCTGAAATGATATGGCAAACGGAAATATCCTGCATTTTAGCACAGACATTTCGTTAACGCTAAAGAAAAACTTCCCCACCAAGAAGGCTCCAGATCTACATGGCTTTTCTAGCGAATTCTGTCACACCTTTACAGAAGAAATGACACCCATCTTACAGAAACAATCTGAACTATAAGACGGGATCCTTCCCAAGCCGTTTTACGAGGCCAGCCCCATCCTGATCCCAAAACCAGAGAACGATATTGCAATAAGAAAACAACAGCTACAGACCCAAATTCCTCATGAGCATAGAAACGAAACCCCCCGACCATCAAATCCGGCAACACATTTACAAGGAATAACACACCTGGACTCAGTGGTGTTTATCCTGGAAATACAAAATTGAAAAATTTCAATACATATCTGAAAAATTAGGGGAAAACGTAACATTAAAAGGAACTCACCTATATCGACACCTCTTTACACACGTCTTGAGGCAGAAGTCGTTGTGCTTCCCTATTTCGCTCAAAAAAACCTCAACACCTGCTCTGCCAGGAGGCGGGGGGGAGGTGTGGAAGGCTGTCGTACCCACCACCGGCCTTCCTGGTTTGGTCCACCGGCACAACGCCTTACTGCCCTCCTAGACCTCTGGTTAGCACCTGCCTACAGTGCTCGCTGTTCACACAGAGAAGAGCTGGTACCCAGTCAGGCTCCACGGGCAGGTGGGGTCAACAGCATAGGGGTCATCTGAGCCCTGGGTCCCACCAACAGTAGATTCAAGTAATTTTGGAGTTACAAGGGGTGTTAAAGGATGGTGTATTTTTTTAAAGGTTTTATTTATTTTTAGAGAGGGAAGGGAGGGAGAGAGAGAGAGAGAAACATCAATGTGCGGTTGCTGGGGGTCATGGCCTGCAACCCAGGCATGTACCCTGGCTGGGAATTGAACCTGCGACACTTTGGTTCACAGCCCGTGCTCAATCCACTGAGCTACGCCAGCCAGGGGTAGGATGGTGTGTTTTTTTTATTTCCATTTTTATTTTATCAAACGTTCTATTGGATTAATGTACCAGTTATATATAATTGTGGTTGTCTTAGATTGAGATAAAATTCATGTAACATAAAATGTACTGTTTTAAATTGTAGAGTTTGGAACTTTTTAGCATAGTGACAGTATAACATACAGTCATCATTACTATCCAATTCCAGAGCATCCCCATCATCACCTCCTCCCCCAGAAAAATCCCAGTCCTGTTAGTAATCAATCCCACTCCACACCCCGCTCCAGCCCCTGGCGAGCACTAAGTTACTTCCTGTCTGCATGGTTTTGTCTACTCTGGACGTTTCATGTAAATGGAATCACAGAGCACGTGACCTCTTCTGTCCAGCTTCTTTCCCTCGGCGCCGTGCTGTGAGGGGCGGTCCTGCTGTGGCACGTGCCCGGGCTCCGTTCCTCTTCATGGCTGAATAACTGATTAAGTAATGTGGTTGAATGATTCCACCGTATGGTGAAACCACATTTCATGTGTCCACTCATCAGCGGAAGGACGTTTGGGTTGTTTTCATTTTTTGGCTATGACGAATAATCCTGCTCAGAACATTCGTGTCCACGTTTTACGTGGGCATATCTTTTTAATTCTCTTGGGTGCACACCCAGAAGTAAAATGTCTGGGTTGTAGGGGAACTCCACGTCTAACTCCTGGAGGAATTCACAAACTGCCACAGAGCAGCACCGTTTTCCTCTCCTACCAGCTGAGTAGGAGTTTCAGTGACTCCTCATATTTACCAACACGGGTTAGTTTTCTTTCTTTCTTTTTTTTCAAAAAAGTAGAGTACAAAATGGCAACTCATTATGATTTACATTTACATTTCCTTAATAAATCACAATGTTGAATATCTTTCCATGAGCTTATTGGTCATTTGGGTTTTGTTTGGTGTTTTTTTTTGAGAAGTGTCTATGCAGAACCTTTGCCTTTTAAAATGTGGGGTTATCTGGGATTTTATTATTAAACTGTAAGAGTTGCTTTATGTAATCTGGACAGTAGTCTCTGATCAAATATGTGATTTGCAAATAACTTTTCCAGTTTTGGTTTGTTTTTAATTTGTGGGTAGTGTCCTGTCACACACAAAAGTTTTTCATTTTGGTAAAGGTAAATTTATAAATTGTTTTTGTTTCTTGTGGTGTGGGTGTCATATTTAGAAACTGTCGTCCAACTCGAAGTCGCAAAGATGTGTCCCTATCTTGCCTGCCTAGAGCGTCTCAGTTTTAGCTCCGAACTCTAAATTATATGCAAATTAGATTCCATTATTCTCCAGGTCTATTCTTCAGCCAACTTGGCACTGTTCTGATTTCTGCAACTTTGCAGTAAGTTCTGAAGTCAGGAAGTATGCGTTCTCAAAGTTTGTTCTTTTTTTTTTCTATTTAAGATTGTAAATGTAGATAGGTTTTTCTATCTATAAGTGGTTTCAACAAGGGTGCCAGGACCACTCAGCGGGGAAACATGAGCCTTTTTAGCAAATGGTGCGGGAACAGCCTATTAAACACACACTACACACGCTGGATCTCGAAATGACTCTTGATGAGGGAAGTGAGAAAGAGGATCCACGGTGTGATTCCATTTATATAACATCATGAAAAAGTGAAACTAATCTGCAGTGACAGAAATCAGAGCCATGGTTGCCTGGGTGACATATCTCTATTGCCACATCACATCTGACATGTGCTCTTAACCAGATACTTACAAAGGCAAAGTTCTAGGTCACTATCCATGTATTTGATACCGTAGGACACATTAGTCACCTGAAGGTGTATAATGAGTGACATTGGCTGGTGGCCCTCCAGTGTCCTGGAGGAAGGACGCAAGGAAAAGGAGTAGCTCAGGGCTTCAGACTGTCAGGTCAAGCTCTGTGTAAATGACATGAAAACTTCGGTGTCTGTCCTTCAAGAAATCCTACGTCCTGTAGTCAGCAGGCTGAGATTTCTGGAAGCCAAACCACCTCTCAACCTGCAGTGGCGGGATTACAGCGCAAATGACATCCACAGGTTTGCAGTGTGTCTCCTCACAGTGAGGGCGTTGACTGGGAAAAAAAGAGATCCTGAAAATTGGAACGGGAACTTAACGGGAGGATCCCAAGGAAGCTGGGGGGTATAGAACCCCTAAGTTGCCAGTAGAGGCAGCCCTCTGACCTCCGTGCGTCCCACCACACCATCAACCGAAGGTGTTTTATATGAAACTGGGACCAAGCAGACCCCGAAAGCACAAGTAAGTTGGGTGAGGAAGTGACCCGAGGCCCCACGGCTCCTGCTCTTGCTGCGCCGCCTTCTCACTCCCATCCCACACACGTCTGACCTCCATGAGTCCAGGTGGACGAGGCGTGCTGCATCCATGCCTGGTTTACAGAAGGCTCTGCGGGATCCACAGACACCACCCCAGAGCGCTCAGCGGGAGAGAACTGCAGCGTCTTTCTGGCAGGTCCCGGAGGCACAGGGTGGAGGGAAAGCCCTCCGCCCGCAGGACGTTGAGCGCCACACCCGGTCGTTCGCCTGCTGGGAAAGGGCGACGGGCACCCGCACTCCAGGCGTGTCGTTTAGAGACAGCCTCTGGGTGCGGTCCCACCGATCGCACCCTGCGCACGCCAGGCTGGCTGGTGGATTCCGGAAGGGAAATCTCGGTTCCGGATTCCCAGATTCGGGGACCAAGAGGTAAAGGGCTTTCACTTTTACTTCTACGTAACATGCGGCTTCCATTTCCCACTTGTGGCCAAAAAGAGGAAAGGTGCCTGCTCACTTTCACTTCCACTTGACCGAGGTCCAAGTACCTCTGACCACCGTAGCCCGCAAGACTTTTGTTTCTCGTTCAGCTTTATCGAGCTGTGCGTAAATCAGGGTTCTACCGGAGAAAGAGAACCAGTAGCATTTAAAAATATATACACATTATATGTATGTGATATTTAGATATATTATAAATCACATATTTATACAGAAATATAACTATGTAGTTTATATAATATAAATTGTGTAAACATTTATCTAATATATAACATATAGTTTATATAAATTATAGGTATATACATTTACCAATGTACATATGTATTATAGACACATTTATAAGGACACATATGCACACATTTATGATTGATGCAGACACATGTCCACAGTGTCCACGGCGTTATGGAGGAGATGACACAGATTCACACAGACTGGCAAGTCCTGTGGAGAAGAAGGGACGGCACGGCCACTCTCTCAAGGGGAGAGCGCCCTGACCCTTGCCTTCACGGGCTTTTATTGGCTTTCTAACAGCATAGGTCCAAGAAGGGTTTCATTCATTATACTTTGGTTTGCTTTAAGTAATTACTTTTTACAGATAGCAGAGGAAAGGATGACTTCTTACAGATTAACAAGGAAAAAATGTTGCAAATGCATGGGAACGATAAACGTGATTGGTCTGGTTACACTTCAGTCCTTGGGAGAATTAGGACAGACTTCAGGAAGTTACTTTAAAGATATGCAGTAAGCATTTGCTGCCTCAACTCAGGGTGAGGGAGTTTTAGCAAGAGCTAGTCTCAAAGCAGTCTCTTTAGCAAGAGCTAGGTACAATGCAGGCCTGGTCTCCCACGGGAGAACCGATCCATGGGTTTGGCATCCTGCGTGCCACCACACGCCTGTGGGTGTTACCCTAGGGCTGGGCTACATTTGCCATTCCACGCCGATCAGTTCCCTGTATACAAGAACAGAGTCAGACTTCTGCCTAATGTGATATAACTGTGTTGCTCACAGCTGCAAATGTGCTAACCTTTTCCCGGATAGGTTGCAAAATTCTTAAGCAATACTTATTTTTTCTGCTTATCTAGTAACTTGAATCCATAATGCAAAGTTATTTGTTATGAATATATTTTATGTTCGAGGATAAGAGGGAAGAAACATTTATTTGCTAAATACATATGTATGTAGACATACTCGTGACAAAATAAGGAAAAGATACTCCTCGCTGTTACGGTGCTCAGTTCTGCACGTGACCAGGTGGCCACAGCTGGTACGACGTTACCTTCTCCCACCACCCATTCTGTGGGCTCACCGCTCTGGGCAAGCACCTTAGCTGGTCGTGGTTCTTGGACTGATGGGCGATCCAAGCTTTCATTCCTAAAACCCGGACCATTAGCACTTCAGCAGGTGGTCCTAAGAGACACCCTAAGGAATCGCCCACATTCCAGACATGACCTTTCATACTTGTACTGTGGAGCAGAGTGGCCCGCAGGGGACCCGTCTGTTTCAGTCTGGCCAATGTGACTCGGCTCTGGATGGAGAACCCACAGAAGCGAGCTGGTGGGCAGGAGCCAGACCTTCAAACCGAGTTTTCCCGTGGGACTCAGGCCCAGAAAATGCATACTGACTGTTACGGCTTGCTCTTGCTAAAACTCCCTCACCCTGGTCTGAAACAACAAGTGTGTATTGTGTATGTATCTTCAAGGTAGTTCCCAAAGCCTGTGTGAACTCACCCAAGGACAGAGCTC